ATGGTAGGTGCATCTGTTTTGGAAGTTTGCTCTCTGTATTTAATACCTGAAGAAACTTGGTGGTGTGGTAGTTTCAGGATGCTAATATTCCTTTCTTTTATTATAAGCCTAATTGAATATTTTACTGAAATGCAAAAGCTATTCAGTTGTTTGGAATATTTGTAAACTAAACATGTGAAGTAGTGAACATGTCACTACCCGATACTGTCACTCATTTCTGTCTCCATATGTGGAGACTGGCTCCTGAAGAGAGAGGGAAGAATGTCTTAATTTAAGAAAGTGTCCAAGGTGACAGATCTGAGTAGAAAGAGAGAGTGTGGCTAATGCGCTTCTACGCCCTGTGCATCTAATCTGTACACATTTCACTTGGCTGAATAGGGCTGTAAGGAGGGAGGTGCTTTTTTAGAATTTAAGCTATTTCCAGGCACACTTTGAAAATCAGCAAATTTGCTACTACAAATAGGAAAGATCAGGCTCAGTATAATTAAGCCAACAGCTCACCTATCTTAACAATTTTTTGGCTTCTGTGGTTTAAATAGCTACATGTCTGGCATTTTAGACCAGGAATTGGCCACATTAAGCCTTTTCAAAGCTTTCCATATATTTGACTTGAGTGAATCATTACAAAGTCTGGGAAGATGAAACCTTCATTTTGGAGTACATAACTGATTCATAGGGCAGGAGGCCAACAAGCTGAGAAGGCAGGAAGCCTAGAATAGGCGCTTTCTGCAGTGGAGGCATGTGGAACTTGTTTGTTCTTGTTTGCATTTCCTTGTCTTAGTGGACTTGCCTGATGTGCGGTACACAGCCATTCTTGAGCCAGTTCTCTTGATCCTGCTGTACGTGGTTTGAAAAAATTTCACTCCTTTTTTCCAGAACAGTTTGGAGTGGTTTTGGTAAACTTTTCTCCCAATATGGGAAATCAGAAAAGTGTTTTTCAAGGACTGGAATAGGGTGGAAAGATTCAAACCTGATGTGTAGGATTTTGAGCAGGTTTGAGAAAATAGGATGCAGCAGTCTGTGAAGTTGATGGGCTTGAGGCAATTTGCTGAACTTCATAGCTTACGAAAAGATTTAAACTTCTCTGATATCCAAATCCGAACAGTATTCACTTCCTGTTTATTTCAAAATGTTGTGTTGTATCTTTGTAAAATTAAGGAAATTAATAAGGTAAATATACAGTAGGAACTTGTAAAAATAAAACATTTAGAGGAACTCATAATTTCTGGGAAGTGATAACAAGTCACTGAAAGCTGCTTCGAAACAAGATGTAGTCCAGAGCTTAAAAAATTTTTAAAAAAACTGCCTTGGGAGTGAGAAAATTCCATATTAAAGGGGCCATCATATAGAATGCCAGCATGCTTTCACGGATTATATTGATGGAACTCAAAGCAGGGCTTTCTGTGAGGCTCTTAAAAGGCAGAAGAGCTTTCATCCTGATTGTTTAACTTTCAATACATTTTAACCAAAAGGCACCATTATAATCAGGATATTGTTTTTTTAAATAATGAAACATTTGGATGCACTGAAGATTAAAATATATATTAGGGATTATGATATAGAACCTTATAGTTTTTCTGCATATGATTTTGTAGAGCTGGTTATTTTCATGAAGTGTAACTTGTGCTGTGACTGATACTCCAATCCTATGTTTATTCATCATTTAAAAATCAGTTATTAAATACTTTGCCAATGTTAAGCTGGTTTCTATGGAGACTGTAATGTTGTAACTGTACCAGAACAGAATGTGGAGGAAATTCAGTCTACAGAAGTAAATATTCAGGGTTGTATTTTCTCCTTCCCAACCTTCATAGCCTTTTCAATTTTCCAAAAGAAAAATTGGAAATTTGGGAGAATACCAAAAAAAAAAAAAAAAACATGTGGAATATCTATTTTGGAACGTGTGGAATGAGTTTTAAGACAAAGTTTTACTAAAGAACCATGCTGGATCAGACCAAGGATCCATCTAGACCAGTGATGGCGAACCTTTTAGAGACCGAGTGCCCAAACTGCAACCCAAAACCCACGTATTTATCACAAAGTGCCAACACTGCAATAAAACCTGAAAACTGAGGTTTTAGTTTAGAAAAAAACAACTCACAGCCAGTTCAAGCTATATATCCATGGGAGCACACTGACCAGCCATGTGAAAGCTTGGACGAGTCGCGGCTAATGAGTCGCGGCTTGTGACATCATCGCCTGGCGCCTCTGCTCCTTTCCGAGCATGCGCATGGCCCCTATGTGTGCTGCTATCCGATGCTGGGCTGCTGGGGCAACTTTGCTCGTGTGCCGACAGAGGGCTCTTCATGCCCGCTGTGGCACTCCTGGCACAGGTTCGCCACCACTGCTCTAGACTCTTCAGCTGCCATGGGAAACCCACCAGCGGGACATGACTGCAGCAGCACCTTCTGTCCAAGCTTCCAGCTCCAGGTGTATGTGGGCATTCTGCCTGATACTGCAGGTGTCATTTAGCTGCCAGTACTAGTAGCCTCTGGCAGCCTGCTCCTCCGTGAACTTGTTCAGTATCCCTTTCAGATGAATGGCCATCACTGCATGTTGTGTCAGTGAATCCCATAGTTAAGCCATGTTCTGTGTGAACAGGTATTTCCTTTTATCTGCTCCGAATCTTCCACTAGGTCTAGTATTATGAGAGAGGGAGAAAAATGTCTCGCTATGGCTTTCTGAACACCATGCATTATTTGGCATACTCTATCGTGTCTTCTCTTACTGACCTTTTCCCTAAATTTAATCATCCTGGTCGTTTTAATTTTTCCTCACAGAGTTGCTGCAGCACTTTGATGATTTTAGTTGTCCTTTTTCCAACTCTACAATATTATTTTCTAAGTACAGTTATCAGAACTGTACACAGTATTCTTAAGTGTGTTTGCGCCATACATTTGTATAAGGAGTCTACAATATTGGAAGCTTTATTTTCAGTTCCTTTTCTAACTATGTATAGGAAATTAGCTTCGTTAGAACAGCACTGGGTTGCCTTTTTTACCAACCCAATTACGTCCATCACAGCTCCCACTGTCTCTTTCTGGGTGAGCCACCTCTAGCTCTGATCCCATCAGATTTTGCATGTATAAAATTGAGGCATTTATACTTACCAGGTTGCAGTCCTCTGCAGAGTTACCTGGAAATAAATGCCGATATGTAAAGTGGGTATTAACTTTGGAGAAAATGCACATAAGATAGGCATGTAAACATACGTGCTCGAAGTAGTACACTTTTATATGCAGAGTTATAAATGATGCATTGTGTATTAAAGAGTAAAGTAAGTTTAGATTCAATTAAGCATTGCATGTATTTTCATTTTCCCCACCCCCAAAATGGAGTGTCTTCAACATTTCCAGAAATGTTACATCTCTGATTTCTTGCCCTAGACATTTGGAAGTAAAATCTCATGGTACCTTGTCCTGCAGTCCTCAGATTTCCTTATATGCATGAAATAAAGTATTAGACAGTTTTATAGGGTGATGGAATTTTGCAAGGCACTTGTAAGGTTCAGTTTTCACTAGGTAAAAGGTAGGTTGGGAAATCAGTTGAACTAAAACAAGCTTCCTTAATAGTTTCAGTCATTCTGCTCAGCAGAGATCACATGTCTCTGAATTCATACCTACTTGTTTGTATTTCTTTGTCACAGGAAAATAAATGTTCCTCCTGTCAATCCAGTAGATAACCACAGAATAATCTTGTAATTTAAAGTGCTATGCGGAATTGCATAACTATGGTACCAGTTCTGAGTTTTCTTAATGCAGAGTTTGGACTCCAGTTGGGTTCATAATGTATAGGACTACCTCGACTGAATTTAGATTTGCACATTCCTTTGTGGCATGGCTATATGCTGCCTTACTGGGGGTAGTTCCCAGGATGTGGGCTGTTCAAACACCTGTGCTTTCAGCTTTGTACATGGAGGGAAGGATTTTCCTCTTACATGGTCTTTATTGGGTTCCCGTTCTTATTTTCTTTGGCTGTAGTATAGAGAAATGAACAAATGAAGCAGAGGCTACTTGAACGCGGCATTTTTCTAATTTTCAAGGATTAAACCTGAGATTTGTGTTCACATTAAATGGATAATTTCCCTGTTTCATATCTCTGTTTCCTGGATACAATTCTGGGGAGGAAGTATTGCCTGGACAAATCTGTTATGCTCCAAGTCTTTGAATACATGGAACTGCTATAACAGGCTTTTCAAGGAATGCTAAGTTACACAGCCACACCTCACCAATACCCGATCTCTCTGCAAAAAGTCCATCCATTATGTTTAATGCTTACACACTGGCTTTTATCTTCAAAGTACTCTGCAATCACCAGTAATCACTGCACTCTGGCAAGGCAATTACGTACCTCATTGTTCAGGATAGGAAAACTGAAGAGCCTGTGACCTGGAGCTGGGATTACAGTGCTGGAAGTTGACTTCTGGTCTTACACTTACATTGCGAAACAGTCATCTGAAATCCACAGCGGCTGCTTCCTCCAGCTTGTGCTGGCACTACTAAAAATTTCAAAGGCTTCTCAAAAGGATGAATGCAATGTTCCTGCTTAATCAGTCCAAAAGTCCATCTGGTATGGTTGCAGTGGCCAGTCAGACGCTTCTACAAATCCACAAGCAGCTCTCCACACCCCACCTCTGGCAATGAGAATTCAGTGATCTCCTAGTCTAATTTGGATGATTGTACCTTGGCTTAATAAGCTAGTATCTGCCCAAATAAGCTAGTATTTGCCCTTCTGTGTGTGCAGTCACCATCGTTTTCCCCCCTCTCAGTCTGCTGGATTTTACCCTCAGTTAACTATCTCCCATTATGTCCAAACTGGGAAACTATAGTTAGAATAACTAAGTACAATTTAGTACTTACAGGATTTAATTTATCTTGTTTGAAATCAAGTTTCCTCAAGCGCTATCAAATACTGATGCTTCACCATGTTCTGCTGAATTGCTTGCTTACTATACTGATAATGTGAATGTGTTCTCATTGGTTTTTTCCCCCTCTTAACAGTGCTGTAGGTAAAACATGCCTACTCATCAGTTATACAACCAATGCATTTCCTGGAGAATATATACCCACTGTGTGAGTATTTTTTTTAATCTGTCCCTACCATCTTTTTTTTTGGGGGGGGGGCAACACTTGTATATCTCTTTGCAAAAGTGTGAGGCAGATTGAGCTAAGAGAATATGGCTACTCAGATAATTTAGTGGCTGAACAGGAATGTGGATATCTGACCGCTGGTTCTTAGCCATAAATGTGAGTAACTTTTTAAAGACTCCAGCAGAGAGGTAGTTGAATTGGCATAGTGGGTGGCATTAAAATTTAACAGTTTTCCTTTTATGGCTCTCTTAAACAGTGGCCAGTATTCCAGGGACCCACTTGGGTATACCCATGGATATGAATATATTTTAAAAGTGATTTGCTATGTGAATTTGGGGCTGATGCTCAAGAAACACAAGTCTGAGACATGTTCTTTTCCACCTGTTAAATGTCTTAGATTTACACCTTATATTTCTCTCTAAAACATATTTATGTGAAACATATCTTTGTTTCTCAATTCCTTGTTTGAAAGGAATACATGTCACAGGAGACGGTGGAAGATGTTTTGGTTCCTTCGAATTGGGGTGGACTGCATGTGGCATAGGAGTGCCCAGAGGCGACACACACACGCACGCACCCCTTGATTAATTTGGGTGGCTGGGAGGATGACAAACTTTAACCTCACCATCCTCCCAGTGATTTTAATTCAGCTTGTTTGGACAGAGTCAAGGACAAAAACTCCCCCTTGTCCCAGAGCTCCTACTAGTAATTGCTGGAGTTGTGGGGTGGTTTATGTTTCCCCTCACATGCTCCCACTTTCTCAGTGCTCTTGGATGTGCTATGAAATGATGTTCATAATTAGTATCATTGCTGCATGCCTTTCTCCCAACAAAATAAGGCACTCGCCAAACTGCTGTTTGGAGGAGACAGCAGAAGTCCCCCCCCCCCGTCTCGATTCTACCAGGGATGCCTCTCCTCATGCACTTTTTGTAATCTGATTCTCGCAATATCAAATTACTGAAGTGCATACTCTGTAAAAGGAGCAGTAAAAAATGTACATCACTATTCGTTAAAGGTTTGGGCAAATACAGTCTTGACCAGTTATCTAAAACATTATAGTTTTGGACATTTTGCTAGCTTTAATTTTGTACATTTTGTGCATGGAAACTAACTGGGCTTTAAGGGAAATACACTAATGTTTCCTTGATACCTCGTAGTTTCGACAACTATTCGGCCAATGTGATGGTTGATGGAAAGCCAGTCAATCTGGGATTGTGGGATACAGCTGGACAGGAGGACTATGACAGATTACGCCCGTTATCTTATCCACAAACAGTAAGTTTTTATAATGAAAGATTTGACCATTTTGCTTATATGGCTTTTAATTGCAGGTTTGATTAAGACTAAGAGTGCTTCCAGTTGAGTATAAAATATGCCAATACAGCATGTCAGACACCTTGTGTACACAGAACTGCTGCTGATTTCTGTACTACTCTTTCTTACTCCAGGCAGTGCAGATGGAGGCTAGTAACAGCCTGGAACCAGTATGGAAGACAGTGTTTAAAAAATGTTGAACAAACTTTCCACATTAATTGGTTGCTGTTTGCTTCAGAACTCCCACCAGTTCTGCTTCACCCCTACAATACCATAGCATCTATTTTGGTAACTGCCATGTTGGAGAAATCTCAGAAACTTGATCAACTGAGAATTTCTAGTGTATACGCCCCATATCACGATGTAACATTTCCATGCCTTCAGTCTAGTATGTGGGTTTAGCAGGTTGTGCAAAATTGCCATGTCTAAACAAAGTTTTCTTCACAAACATGAAGACATGGTCCTTTCCCCCCAGAATTCTGCATATTACCTTGGCTGTGCAGGATTGCCAAGCCTGAAGCCACCTGGATTATAAGTAACTTCATGATGTACAGAAGCAGGCCTGAACTTTGGCCTGATTTGTTTCTGTCGGACATCGTAGAGTGGAAGGTTCCGATAGCTTCAGTTGAAATCATTAACCCATAATATATAGCATCCATAATTGCAAGCTTCCCTAATGTGACAGCGCTCTGGCTGACAACAAATTTTTGCTGACAATTAATCATTGCTGCTAACATCATGTATTAACACACAAAAATTCTCTAAACCATTCGCACATTCATTTTATAGTGTCATTCATTTGTTGTCCTCCCCTTTTTTAAAGAACAGAAGCTGAGGTGGTAGTGGTTGCTTTTTGCAGTGCTATCCAGGGGGTCCATGGCTGAGTTCAGTAATTTTTTTTTAAAGGTTTGATTTTCTGGAGGGTCCGTTGGACAGAATAAACTGCACTGCCAAATAACTACGACACCTAAGTGCTTCGCTCAGATTCACCCAGAAAAAGTTACCCTTAAATCATAAATTTGGGGTGCAGAATATTTTTACCCTTGATGGGAGGTCAGCAGCCCTGCTAAGAAGCAGCCTTTGTTCACGCCTGCTGGACAGGCACAGTCTGATACCATCCTTGCTAAGCACCAGTGATGCTTGGCTTTTCAGTGCAGCGCGCGGGATGGATTGTGACAGGGGCTCATTTAAATGAAAATGTGGGCAAAGCCATAGCTGATTTGAATCACTTTGTGTGGTGTCAGTTGTGATGCACGATATTGGCAGCCCCCTCACAAGCTGCTGATTGAACTGCCACGTGCTACTCTTTGGTCATTCTTGACGGCAGCAGTGGGCAGGGAGGATGGAACTGAGAAGAATTCCTTAGGTGAATGAATACCTTGTCTTGAGTTAGTGCACTCAAGTTTGATAGGTTAAGGATGCCATCCTATGCATGTTTGAGTTGAGAAAGGTCCTGCAGCTCCCAACATGAGTTTTGTCTCAAGTAAACTATTATTCAATGAATTGTGAGACTTTGTCAAAAATATATAAAATCAAGAATTAAATAAAATTGCTCCCTAATAAGAGAAGGCAACAAAAATGGGGATGCGTATTAATAGTCCATATATTTGAAATTACCTCCTCGTGCATAGAAATTCCTTAACACCATTTGCTGTAATAAATACTGTTCTCAAGATTTGTGCAGCTGCAACAGGTCTTGCAACTCTGAATACAATGTATTCTTTGTTGGGTAAATATATTTCTTCCTATGCAAATTGTCCAAGCCGAAATACATAACAGTGTTTCGTTTCATTCATTTTGAATGTTTGTTTGGTTCTTGTGGTTTTGCCCTGAACTTAGGATTCAGAAAAAGCTAGCTTTCTTCATCTTACTGATGCTCAAAACAATCATATGGATTTTGCATGTCACTTTATTTCCTTAGCATAGATCAGGAAACTGTGTGTGTGATAAGGAAAGGGGATTTAGACAGAACTTAGACAGGGGACAAGGCAGAAATGAAATTAAAACAGATCTCTCATGTTTAATATCTACTCTGAGAACAAAATGCAGTATGCTTCAGAAAAGAAAGCAAAGCTTTCCTAGATGGTATAAAAAGTAGCAAACCAAAACAAAACTCTTGCTCTCTAAGAAAAGTAAAAAGTCAACCTGTTCTATTAGTGTGAACTTTCTTGGCTTGTGCATAAACTATTTTTCATTTACAGTTCTGGGAAATCAGTTCCTACTCCTGCTTGTTTATATACCCTGTGAAATAGCCAAATGGGCCTTTTTCATCTCCGGCCTGAGAGTTAGGGGCTGGCAGTGCCCCATTGTTGGCTATATTACTGTTTCTGAGAGAACTGCTGGAAAAGCCAGAAAGAAAGCAGAAACGGGTTCTTTGTTCCAAGGGAGACTCCAGAGCGCAGAGTGACTCATTTGGGTTAACCACAAAGCGATGAGGAAGAAGCACACCTCAAACGTGCCGCTGAGTGGCTGTGTTAAGCCTTGGTGAAAAGAGCTCAGCAGCTGCGGTAGTGTCACTCGTGTTCCGATTGCTGGCCTGTTCGCATCTACTAAGAGGTAGATCTTGACCAAATCAAGGTGCCTATGAGTGTATGGATTAGACATAAAGGGAAGTTCATCCCTCTTTATGTAATCCATTCGATAGCATTCCACCAGTGCTGTGCTTCCTAGAGATGGGGCAAGTCCACTGTGTGCTTTGGACAAGGTTTTGGGCTGTTTTTATATACTGCCTCGTCTAAAATAGATTCAGTAAAAAGCTCTGCCCCTCAAAAGAAAGTGTATGTGCATTTATTGCGGGAAATTCCCATAATTTCAGTGGTGCTCACTTCTGATTGGTTGTGTTTAGCATTACTATCTTGAAGCTTGCATTAGATACTCAGGTGAATCACAAACAGTACTTGTAGGACTACATCACTTCAGAAACATTGCGACAAGGGTAGCAGTGGCATTCCTAAAGGCATGCCTGCATTTTTAAAAATCCCATGTAGAAAGCCACCAAACCAGGACAGGGTTCTGCTAGAACCCTTCACTGTGGTAAGACTAGTTTTCTACAAGGTGTTCCTTTTTACACAGGTGAGCATTCAGTCCTGCAGTTTACCCATCTGCAATTCTGATCTCAGAAGGTCATACCATGTAGTTCAGATGATCATATAGGTGTAGAAAGTGATGGAAAGAGAGCTTATTTTTCCATTAAGTCTCTCCTAACCTTAATTAAAGTTGTTTTATGCTGTTATTAGGATGAAGGAACGAATGGTAAGGATTTAACTCCCAGGGTGAAACATCAGCCATTCTGCGTATGTAAAATTTTCAACCACTAAGCGCCAAGCTTTTTCCTCCCTCCCTCTCTCTCTCTCTCCCTCTCTCTCTTTTTGCTTCTGTTCCTGCAGCCATAAAACTGGCTTCCCACACTCTAGTGCCCTCATATCACCATATGGATTCAAGTTCTGGGCTTTTCTTTAAAAACCAAATGTTGTATTTAAGAAACTGAATACGTCAGATCGGACTTTCATTGTACAAAAGCCACTTACTTGAAGAGCTTCAAGTAATCCTTGATTTTTCTGAATGGGAAACTGGAATATTTGGAACTGGTAGAAGGACACAAAGACATGCTCAAGAGGCACTTCAAAACTGGCAAGCTGGAGGGGCAGTGGGGGCACGTAAACTGCAGTGTCGCTCTTCCCTGGTGGTCCGCTTGCATGGATAACTGCAGTTTTGAATTCGGAACAGTGGAGGTGGCAAAGCGCTGGCCTAACATAAGCCTTGAAGCTGCAGCCCAATCAACTAACACTCCAACATACTTTTGATTCTTCAGTGGCTGAGCTGGTTATCTGTCTTTGGGGCCAGAGGATGCCAGAGCAGGAGATGCATTTTCCCAGCAATTGCAGCTAAGCAGAGCCTATCAGAAGGGGAAAGGAGCAGTTCAGATGCTTTGAGGAGGAATGGCTGTTGGGCCCCTTTTGGCTTCTGTAACCCCCCCTCCCTCCTTCTCTCCTTTTTTACTCCTATGCTTAAGAACAAAGTATAAAACTGCTGTCCCTCCAGTCACAACGTTATGCTGGATCGGACTGCTGGGACTTTCAGAAGACTTAAGGCAATGAGTTAGTGCTGGTCTCCACACACAGAGATGAGACAGTAACACTGATCGTGGTCTGTACAGTGTTTAGGCAATGGTGGTAGAACCCCGTAAAAGTGGCACTCACACCAATTCAGGGAAGAGATCACCTTTTCATGTTAGCTTGCTTTGCGCTGTAAGAAAAAGTTTAGACTCTCACCTGCTCTCAGTGTAGACACTAACAGCCTGTGATTTGCTGCAGGGGAGAGTGATGGAGAGTACTAGATACATTCTGAGAGTTAAAGGAATCTTCACAACAATTCCACAATCTGGGAATGTGGGGGGGGGGGGCTGGTGGCTGCTCTCATCCCTTCCTTGAAATCAGCAGTGCTTGCGTTCTAAGTACCCCCCCCCCCCAACTTTATCCTTGTCTGTGAGAGAGCTGAAGATAAGGGAATACCATTGACGATGCTGCAATTGAATTCTGATTCTTTTGGACAATAGGAAACTTTAATATTTCATATTCGTATTTACTATAAACTCACGTGTGCTTTGAATTGATCAACTACTGGGTATGTTCTGAGATTCAGGATGTAATCCTTGATATATTTGCTAGGAAATAATTTCTATCGAATTGTGTTACTTTCTGGTTGGTGGTTTTCCTCATGTTTCATGAGGCAGTATGTACAATCTTGTTACCTTTATGGATAGTGTATATCCAAATGAGCAGTTATATTGGGATCAGAAGAACCTTATGTTGGAAACCATGAATTGATTCCAGTTTTCCCAGGTGATGGTTTTTAGTGCAGCCACTCAACAAACACAGTATTGTGTGTGTCACAGAAATTAATTGGTGAAGATCAGGCTACACCACTAAGATTCAGATTGGTGTGTTTCTCCAGTCTTCCAGTGTTGCATGTTAAAACTATCACATCTTAAAACTACAAATAAACAAGGTTTTAAAGTGTTCTTGTGCTGCCATTCCAGCCTATCCATTAACAACTGGAAATGTCCATGACTGGAACTAGACATCTGATGATGTGGAAAAATCATTAAACCAAGAAAAATAACCACTGGGACTAAGATTCTTAAAATACTGTTTTGCAGGATGTGTTCTTAATTTGCTTTTCCCTTGTGAGTCCTGCATCCTTTGAAAATGTCCGTGCAAAGGTGAGTGGAAAAGCAGTTGCCCTTTTTCCTTGGCAATATTTTGGAAGTTTTGACCTGTATTTTTACAATTGGAGAATAAGCTGGTGTTCTGAAATACACATATGAAGACAATAGTTATTGTTACTATTAAATTCTTGTAAAATAATTCTTAAAGAAATACTCAGGACTGCTATTTTACATATAAGTAATTTGGATTTGCTTAAGTTTTGTGTCCCTTGAAAAATAATGTTTTTAGACAAGTTCAATGTCACAGCAAATGCCAAATGCTGATAATTTTAGGCTGCTCTGTAAGTTAAAATGCAACTGGTATATGACAGTATTTTTCTTCTGTGATAACTATGTTGAAAGATAAATACTATTTGTTACTAGTCAAAAGAGCAAGAGAATTATTTTTTCAACTTAGGCCATTTGGCAGGGATGTTGGATCCTCAAAAGATATGAGAAATTGGAGTTTTCCTCTTACTCCTTGGCCAAGCCTAGGTTTCCTTTACAGTAGTTTTCACAATTGCTTCCTCTGTTACGAGTTTGCTGAATTAGGATGGGGAAATTTAGGGCTCTTCCTCACCAACACCACTCTGGATTAATTAGGCAACTTTGTGAAGATATAATGCCAGTGCATGCTTGTTTTCTTCTTCCTTCCCCACCCCTTTTGACTTCATAAATGGCAGGCAAGGACTGTTGGGCTTGTATACTGTCTAGAAAATGTTAGCGGTTAGAAACAGCTGTATTTCTAGATTGGGTCCCAAAGCTATTCTAGGAGAGAGGAACCACTCCTACTGGCTCTGCCGTCTCAAGCAGTTCTAAGAGGGGTAAGTCTGTTTCAGCTGAATGTCTGCGCCCTGGAAGGGATTCTGTTTCAGCTTTTAGTTCTGCTTCCTTCGTTTTTGGTGGGCTGGGGAGGCAGTTCTAATGGAACCAAATTACTTTTTATTTGACTTTTATGCATTAGAAATTAATCAATTGTAAATCAGCTCTTAATGTTTATTCCTAATGTTTGTTTGAAGAGTGAGAGAGGTGTGTGTGCAGTGCACACTTGTTGGCACACTTCAGAGAGAACTTTTTTCCCTTTTCCCCAGTGGTATCCCGAGGTGCGACATCATTGCCCCAATACCCCCATCATACTAGTGGGAACCAAACTTGATCTCAGAGATGACAAAGATACTATTGAAAAACTCAAGGAGAAGAAGCTGACTCCCATCACCTACCCACAAGGCCTCGCTATGGCAAAAGAGATAGGTAGGACTTTGGCTTTCTGTAAGCATTAAGTTGGTGTTCTTGCATGACTCAATTCAGTATTCAGCCAAAGATTGTAGAATTTGTTTAACCGTAAGACTTGAGCAAACATCCATAGTGTTTGGACATGTTTTGTGTTCCTTGAAGTTAGAGTTTGTAAGTACCAAAAACGTGTGTATTTTTTGTAGGTGCAGTAAAATACCTAGAATGCTCAGCACTTACACAGCGAGGTCTCAAGACAGTCTTTGATGAGGCTATCCGAGCGGTTCTTTGCCCCCCTCCTGTCAAGAAGAGGAAGAGAAAATGCCTGCTGCTGTAATGTTGCCCTGTCCCCCTCTTGGAACCTTCTGTGCTTTGCTTGGAACAATGGAGCATTCACATCAATGCCAAGTTCTTCTGTTTAAAAATTAGTTTTCTTCCATCAATTTTTTGAACCAATCATCAATTTCATGTTCCCCTTTGTTTAAAAGGTTAGATTCTTCTTTCTTCTACTAAAGAGATCCTTAAAAAAAAGACAAACCTATATAAAAGCCTTATTTTTTCCAATTCCTTTCGCTCAGATTAATCAAGTGTTGCCAAATTATCTGCTCATTACTATGTTGCATTGTTGTGCTTTGTTATATGGAGCACAAAACCTGTTTTTAAGTTAAACAGGTGTCTTTAAAGATACTAACGTTTATTAGGAATTGCAGAACTTTATAGTTTTTTTTTCCAGATATTGTATCAGTAGGAAAACGCTGCTGTTTAATGCATTCATCCAACTGATGGTCATAGCATTCTTCCTCATACCTGAATAAATGCAATAATTGACAATATACAGATCCCCCTTTTTAAATACTTTCCTGCCTATTAAGAACTGTGATTAACCTATTTTCCTTGAAGTGTATTGTCTTCCTTGACAGGAGTGTATTATATTGGTGAAAGTTAAGTGGGTTGGTCAAGGGAAACTGCCCAACAGTATTTTGACACTGTAAAGATCAATTTACACTACATTGTGAACCAGCTAGTTAAACCTGAATGGATTTTCTTTTGTTTAATAAAAAACACAGTAAAATGATACCTTCTGTTGCAACTAAACAGTAGCTGAAGGGAGGTTGGTGTTTTTATGGATCACTTGTTTGCATTTTTCAATAGGGCATTTATTTTACTACAATTTGAACTGGTCGTTCCCTCACATGTTCTCACTAGAAGCTTTTCTTGTAGAATCTCTTCCTCCTGAGCAATATAACTTGTATTTTAAAAACCTTCCTAATTATATTTGCATTTTTGTAGACTAGAATATTCAAACATAGCCTTGTTTCTGTCTTTGTTTTTCCTTCTGCCCTAATACTATACATGCTTTTGAGAAGTTTTCTTTAGTCCTCAGGTGACTTGGTGTAAAAATCATGTGCAGCAGATAAACCAGTTCTAGTATTTTTTTTCTCTTATCTCACACCACCTGAATGACCTTTCTCTAATGTCACCATTTGCCAGTATCCTGATGCTGTAACCTTACTAATGCTGACGTTTCCCTTTTAACCTCACCGTGAACACGTACCTCCTGTTGGTTGATTTAGTAATGGTAACTGGGTCTGTGAGGTTCTGTAACCTAGTGCTAACAATGTTCCATACATCCCAGACACTGGCAAGAACACAACTGAACTACAACCTTTCAACTACTAGAACAAAAATATAAATGGAGTTTGCAAGATTGTGAAGTTTTTACATTGATCTTTTTGGTAATGCAATTTAGCAGTATGTTTTGCATGTATGACTTAATAAATTTCTTGAATCACACTGGTGGTGGTGGTGGTGAAGCTTCAATTTCTGACCTGTATTTACATATTAATTGTGCTCTGGGCAAATGATGATGACATACTTCAGTAATAATGTAGCAGAAGCATCCTTGATTTATTCACCTCAATTGACAGTTGTTTAAGAAAGCACACTCGTCATTCTGGCTCTTGTGCACATGCACAATCGTACTGGGTCCTGTGTGTACTGTAATTTGTTCACTACCAGTTTGTATACTGCTCTCAAAACTTACTTGTTCTAATCCCACTTTTTTCCATTCAGGGAAGTCCAGGCAGGTGACATATCTGCCTCTCCATTTTATCCTCACAACAGCAGCCCCACAACTGACCCAAAGTGACCCACCAAGCTCCATAACAGAGAGGGAACAGAAACCTGAAGCCCCCAAATCCCCACTCCAACCACTGTGCCACACTGGCTCTCATGGGAAGGAAAAATGTTGAAATCAATAAAGAAACCTTACACTTCAGTGCGCCCCAGCACTGGGCAATCAGTGCGCTCACTGCACCACCCATATGCACAGGGGCCATGCAACACTGATTGACTGGGAGAGGGGAAGGTAGAACAGATGTTTTGCTAGTGATAGAACAGGAAAGCGCTTAATCTTATATAAATGCGTCTTTTTAAGGGAACGCACTCTCCCACCCTGTGATTCATGTCTTTTTAGACTCACACCTCATGCTGACAGATTGAAAATTGTTAACAATTGGCCTTTCTGAAACTGGGACAGCGCAAACCCTTCCTTGTGTGACTAAGAGCTTTCTAACAAGGGCAGAAAGGAGCGGCCAGGTGGGAGGGAGCCAATTATTTCCAGAACAAAAGACTAGGTTTGTTTTTTATAACATGCGAATTGACTCTGGCCTGTGTCAACACTGGTAAAACAGAATATAATGCATTGAAAACACTTTGTCTCCCTTTCTAAGTCCTATGAACAGACACAAAACAGTACCGTACAAGCACTACCATCAGAAAATGGTATTACAAGGACTCGTGTTCAGTAAACATACATTCTGGTGCTCGTTGCCGCTCAATTAATTTAACTTTACAAAATCACAGAAAGGTTTTTTTAGACGCTTCTGATATGCAGCCATTTCCATGTGATGCTTCAGTGGTCTCTTAATGTAGAAAGGGCAGAGTAAATTCATACTGTAATCTTAAAGGGGAACGTTAACCCTTCTGTAAATACACATTCAGCGGGGTTCAAGAATTGTAAACAACAGTAGGTAAGTATTGCACATGTATCCAAGCTGCATTTATGCCTATAAAAGTTACCTAAAACACATGCTACCTCCAATAGGAAAGAAAACCAAGACATACCCAATGATAATCAGTAGTGCAACATAAGATGTGAAGTCCAGCTCACCTCTTGGGTACCATCTTTGTATATCCAAATAGATGTTGTGGAGGTTTTAAATGTAATTTCCATTGTTCTGTTTTCTTTTTTTGCTTCTGAAAGTCCATAAACACTGATAAACCTGCAGAAGGTATGCCCAGCTACGCTATGAGAAACGTCGATGTGAGGGCATGTAAGTGGCAGAGGTACAAGTAACATGTACTTTTATGGTTGCCCTCTAGCCAATGTTCTCCTCAGTCAAGTTCTCAGTTCCAGCTGCATTTGCAGAGCCTTTAAAACAATTGGTTAAAATCCATGACTGGTTGACTTGGCGTCTGCTGCTCACCTTTAAAACAATGGTCCAGTAACTCAAGTAGCCCAAAAGGATCATCGCAGTCCGAAGTGCGTGTTCATCCAGGAAATTACAATGACCACGCCCCAGTTTCTGCTGCAGGCAAAAGGGCTTCTCTCCTGAACATTCGAGAAGGGAAGCTACTCTGCTGTCTTTCCAGGGTGGTGACTACACGATATTTGTGGAAGAGTCTCCAGGTGCTCCACAGGAAAGGCAAGGTGCATTTGCTTGGACCAAGTTGTTTAGAGCTGTTAGGACCATTTCTGGCAAATGATCTGTTATCATCTTGGGGCTTATTAAAATGTTACCAAAGGCAGTTTCTTTTGACCAGCCTGCAGTATACTGCACATCTGACGAGCACCACCTAGAAAAGGACAACATCTCAATGAAATGCTTGCATTTTATAAAAGTCAAATCCTGTGTTTAATTCTTGCACTCAGTTTGGCTGGCACATTGTTTCTGGGTGTTCTGTTAGCAGGTATATTCTCTTTTATACAAAAGGGAGGAAAAGGAACTTAAATCTTTAGAGACTGCAGCGACCAGTTCTCCCAACACAGTTTCTCATTCATACCTGAATTTAGAAAAGTATATGTAAACAAGGAGGCAAGAATTGAGGGGGGGAAAGTTGAATCTCTAGCCCGCTGGTGTTTTGTCGTAGATAAAGATTAAAGTGGAAAGTACTTTTACTACATGTTCAGGGGCAATATGTTTATCACAGGTCTTAAACCAGTAGTTTCCAAGAGCACAATCCATGTTATCCATGTCTGATGCTTGCTAAGTCTCCAAAGAGGCATACTTGCATCCAATGCAGGGCACGAGGCAGGACTCCCACAGGTTGTGGCTTGCACCCTGCATTTACGAAATGCCATGGAGGAAAAGGAAAGACTGGGGTGCCATTTGGGTAGGCTGCAAGCTGTCAACCTCTGTCACCTCCACTCCTCTGGAAAACCCCTTCACACCTCTCCAGCCTTCTTGGCTCTTTCTGTGTTGGCTGAGAGGGCAGAGCCTCTACAGGTGAAGTCCTAGAGTTAAAGTATGATTAATCCTCTACACCCAGCCTCACAAGACAGTGTCAGGAAGCCATAAGCTTGAGCCCAAAGCTATTTTTAGGGGTTCCAGTTTCCAGACTTTCCTGCCTTGGACAGGAAAATCAACATTTACCTTTTATTCTTTGGCTCTTCTGAGAAGGAAACCTTGGATTTCAGAGGATTCTGAGAATCCAGTGCTCTTCAGGCCTGCAGCCCGCTAGATGAAATGAGCACCAGTCGCAAAGTATGCGGCTCCATCCCTCTTTTAAATGTTTCCCCACTCTAGATGGGCGCTTATGTCCAAAGAGCGTCGGGGAACATGGAACCAGAACCCAGCCTTCCCTCCCAAGGTCGCAACACAGTCTATGCTGTCAGGAGGGGAACTCCACTCAATCCTATGCTCCCTTCTCACCCATTTGCTCTCTCAATGACCCTGGACCGATCGTCCCCAGCAGCTTTGTCTTCCATTTCAAAGGTCCTTGCAGGACAAAGTAACAAATACCAAAAATAGTCTTATACTACCTCCAAGGCTACCAACAGATTCGAGTCCATTTCATCGGATACATGACATGGCATATTCGGAATGAAAATGTTAATCGGGAGGACAGAGCTCTCTAGTGCAGGGCATTCTCAGGGTTGCTCATTTATGGGCCTGCACCCTCCTGGATTCCCCCATCTCTGCATTAAGAGTAATCTGACAGCTTCCTCCAGGAATGGCCCCCAACTGTGGTCAAGGGGGGGGGCAGCCAGGGACAGAACCTTTGCAGTGCTGGTGCATGCCACCTGTGGAATACCCTCTCCAGGGAAATTTATCCAGCACATGCTTTGTGGCCATTCTAGTGCTAAGCGCAAACTTGCACACACATGTCAAGTTTAAGTTCTTGAGGGAGAAAATAATCATCATGCTGCTGGCTTTGCTTTGTTCTTAAGATGTTGCTCTAAAAGCAATTTGTTCTGGGTTGGCAGTGTTGCCGTTTTGCATGCTGTTCCGGGAGACGGAAAGCCCAGCGTGCAGATCATAAAGCAAGGAAGGGGCCAGTTTAAAAACATTACCAACTCTTAGGATCGATCTTGTCGGCAGGTTGGGCTTGGTTTCAGTGCAAAAGTTCCTTTTCTGCTCTGAGTCAAAAAGGTGACAAGGTAAACATCTAAGCTTCTAAACCGTATGCACAGTTGGCATATAAAACCCAGTATTACTGGAATAACAGTATTGCTACACAACCTGTATTACTGCACTCTGCCTCTCCTTGTCCAGCTCTTCAGTTTCAGAGCGATCGTTCAGTGTTGCTACTGGATGTGCCAATGGCTACAGCCGGAGCACATCTGACTAGTGCTCCAATGGCACCCTCTTCTGGAGAAAAGTGGCTGATCGACAGCTCCAGTTACTGCAACATGGAGCTGCCCTTGAAGCATGTTAGAAACTAGCTACAGGCAGTTGCTATCGATACAGCCTTGCATCAGTAATACAAGGCTTCAGTTCACTTCTGGGCTCAGGTCAAGGAGCTGCTGCTTACCTATAAAGCCTTCAGGAGCTAGTGGAGACTATATCTGGAAGACCACCTCCTCTCATACGGAGCTACAACTTGCATCTGAGAGCAATCACCGGAAAAGGCTAGGCTGGTGGGAATGTGGAGCTGCAAAACATTTCTGCATCACCTCAATCGCAGAATCCTGTCCCACGTGTGGTGGCACTGGGCCCATCTCTCCAGTTTCTGGCAACATTTTTATTCCATTAAGTTTTGAAATAAGGAGTGGGGTGATTCTGCTCTTGGTTTTTAAAACTGCCCTGTTCTTAGCAATGCTGTTTACAATTGCTTAAATATTTTTGGTGGATCACCTTGGGAAATGCTGAAAAATATTTAATACATCAAAATACTTGGAATAAAATACTTGGGTGATTCGTGTTTGAACAGGAGGCTGCCCATATAGGCATGGCATGTCTGTTCCAACTAGTTTAGCATTCAGAGTAATCACAACAACTAAACTTCTTGAGCCACCAGATCTGAGTAGGTGCTGCAAGGCCTGACATCCCCAGAGCATAAAGACAGAAATAAAGGCAAACAAACTAAGAAAGAGAATTGAAACGGGTGAGCTCAGTGGAGAACAAGGCTGGGCTGTGTACTTCTTGCATCGTCTGCAGGATTTGGAATCTTGGCTTTGATTCCCCCCACCCTCCCAAGCTTCTAGACCACATTGTTGAAATGAACAACCTCAGATCCCCACTATGATGGGGCCCTTCTCTGTGGCCAGAGTTTGTTCACAGAACAAATCTCTCTTGCGCATCATCCCTTCCCTGGCATTTTCTGCATCAGCTGATGCAGTAACTCTGTGCTGCTGTACTTCATTCCTTTCAACCTTCTAATTCTTGCTAAAAGCATTAATTTCCTAAATGTAAATTATGGTTTGGGGGCAAAAAGCAGCAGGGACAGCACGGAGACTGATGATACAAATCAGTAATTTACCTGCTTGTGCTCTTTTCCTCTACAATATGGATGATTTTCCCAGGAAGAAAGAGATGAGGATACTGAGGAGGAGAACTTAAAGGTGAGTTGTCGTCTAGAGTATTATAAGAAGGTGACCGATGCACCATTAAGTTCTCTTCAGCGAGGAGAGGCTGAGCTAAAGCATCTTGGTTTCTGCCATCCAGCTCTGTAGGGAAATTATCGGGTTCTCCTCCAAACACTTCATACCAGCATCCGTGCAAGAGGATCTGGTACTGCAGGGTGGGAAACAGAGGGACACAAACGAGACAAGAGCAATTGTGAAGCCATCCGGATAAGCAGCCTCATTTTGTGCTTGCGACAAGTTATAACGAATGTCTACACCCCATTTAATTCTGCGTTATCCCCAAATTATGATTGTGCAATTCTTAAGTTGTAGTACTGTTCTTGCTTCCAGAATCCTAGAATGGAAATAGATCAAGAAGAGAGATTGCAAGCATCCATGGGGTCGTGATGGGTCGGACACGACTTCGCGACGAACAACGACATCTTTGATGAATTCCATCATGAAGCTAGTGGCCTGGGCTTAAAAAAGCTTCTGGCTTTCTGGCACTAGCTCAGTGGAATATAACTTGGAATATGCAACCTGAATACCATATCATAAGAGTGTTAAAAAATTCCCCACATAGCCCAGTGGGATGACTGGATCCTGGCTACTATCTTCTGTGGAACCAGCTGCCTAGAGAGGTCTCCCACACTAGACATTCAAACAGAAACCTGACAGCCATCTGAGTGGGATTGTCCTGCAACAGCAGGAGGTTGAACTCGATGGCCTTCATGGCCCCTTCCAACTCTTCCATTCTATGATTCTGCTTAATGGAGCTTAATGCTCCTTCTAGAATGGCCATTACTGGAGAATAGGATATAACAGCACCATTAGATGGCTAGTTCCTGAAACCCAACAGAGTCTGTTCTATTCAGGAGTAGCGGCTGTCCAAGAACTTTCCTAAGCCTGCTATCCAAGACCCCTTGGTCTGCAAATCCCCAGGACGACCCGGAGCTGAACGCTGCACATTCAATCCGTTGTGCTCTCAGTGATCGAAATGCTCTGACTGCCCCGTTTCCACTTAGGGCCCTCTTACTGTACCAGTACAGTCCCATAACCATGGAGCTGTACCTGCGCAGAAGTGGATCACAAGAGGATCACTGCTTGAGCATCACAACATCAAGCCACGGAAGCATATGGCTTGACTGCCCCTTCGTCACGCCTTGAAACCTTAGTGCCCCCCACTCCCGGACCATGAAGTTAACTGGGTGACTTTGGGCCAGACGCTGAGACCAAGCCTAACCTACTCACAGGGTTAGTGCTGTGAGAATAAAAAGAAGAGCAAGACCATGAATGCCAGGAGGAAAAGGCAGGACAGACACGTACAGGAATAGGAAGTAAGAGTTTACTGGAGAGAAACATGAAGGAGAAGTCGTCAGGGAGTGGCTTCAGCATTTGGGAAGTGCAAGAAATAAGCAGCTAACCAGCTGTACTTAACAACATCAATGGCCACAGTAAATAGAGTCATCTTGGTTTGTTTTTTTTTTACCTTGGGTTTATTACAGTTGGCAACTATTCTGATGATCCTTCTCTTCAGATCTTCCATGTTGGGCATACTTAACCTGTTGGATACAGAAAATGGAGGGGAACAATATTTATGACATCCAGCAAGTTAACGGGGTTACAAATTACAAGAACTCCAGCATGGGTCGTTCGTTACCTTACCTTGCAACAAAATCCTTGCCAACAATGACAGACACGATAAACTGCTTAGTATATTCGGCGAGTGATTTACTTAAAAGGAAGGAAAGACAAAAACAAAAAGCAGGTGAATAGATATGGACAATAAAGTCCTTCTAAAAGTTATTTACTCAAAAAACGTAAACCAGCAAGGCTCAGAAAGGACCCTTAAGAGTTAATTACACTGAGCACAGTTACACAAGATGCTCACAGAAAGATAATACACGATGTGCCTGCTAGTTGCACTACTAGAATTTCACTTTTCAGAGTATACTTCTATGCATATACATAGGCCTGATTGGGCCACTATCCAGAAGCAGAAGACTTCAAATCAGGTGCAGGAAACCCTGGTCAGACAAAATTCAATTTTGGGGAGGCTCTCAGGGATGGGGCAGGACAGAGCCACCGGCTCAAAAAAATACCAAAATGTTACAGCTTGAAACTGCCAGTTTCTAAGTCTCAAAAGAAGCATTTTGACCTTGAATGGGGGAAATGCTGCACAAACACAGCAGGAAGGCCCAGAACAATTTGTGCTTGAAGAAAACGGGCAGGGCCAGAGGAAGGGTGCAAGACCTCCTGGGAACCTTGGACAGGAATATCCAGGGGCCAGATGTGGCCCCCGGGCTCAAGGTTCCCCACTTCAGCTTTAAAAAACTCGACACGGCTTCCAGATAATGTATTTTATTGCTGTAACCCACCCAGGGAGCCATATGGCTAATGGGGCGGGTTAGAAATTTAATAAGTAAGTAAGGGCTGCAGCTCTAGTTCTCAACCGATCTCTCAGATGTACAATTGTTTAAATTTACCTTAATAATCCCCCTGGCGGAGAGAAGGCATAGCATCTTAGGGTTGGGAAGGCATTTCTTAGCATGATGGCCAATATGGAGGCTGTTCCCCCACCTAAGCTGTGTCCCACAACAACCAGTTTATATTCCTAGGGGAGAAAAATGAAAAGGAGAAGAGACAGAAGCCCTGGAAAATGACCAGCTGACCGATCAGAATGTGCCAGGCTGAAAGGCGTATCCAGAGCCTGGAAGTCACAACTTACCGGAGCGATGGTGAAGGCTTGGCTCAAAATCCCACCATTGGTTAGGCGTCGGTAAATATAGTTAGCAGCCTGAGTTATACCCTGAAAGACAGAATTTAAAGTTGGCACAAATAGTATCTCCATTTGAAAACTGTTTGCGGTACCTATAATGCAGCTTTGTAAATAATTGCTTAGACTGGGGAAGGGAAGGCAAAACCCAGCGCCCTCCCATAGTCCCATAAGTCATACTAGCTGGGTTGATGTGAGTTGTAGCCCAAAGCATTTGGAACCTGCTGGGTTTTGCCTGTCTCCGACTTAAAGACAAGCTTTCCCCCCGTCAGGCACCTTGCTTCATTCTCTAAAGTCACTTGTAAGCTGTCTGCAACCGTTTGCCAGGGGATGGCTGTCCAGAGCACTCATCTGGGACCGGGCTATCAAAATGATACTCTCCACTCTTATGATCCTGCCTGAACTGTTTGGTGTTTAGAGGAGCCCCCTTCTGGCGTTCAGTGCCATCTGAGCTGTCTTGAGCTTGGCGAGAAGGTGTCTTCTTGGTTGTGGCACCCTAGCTGTGGAACTCCCTGCCACTTGAGATTAGGTTGGTTTTCTTACTCTGTGTCTGGACCAGCTAAGTCAGTCTTCTCTAGATGTCCTTTTTCACTGGGCACTCTTACACAATTCAATATTTGCAAAGTTGTATTCAGAATTGCTCATTTATTCTGCCTCTATATTGATTATTGTTTTTATACTTGTCCACTGGCTTGAGGGTCCTTTGTTAAGAAAGAAAAGTGCACTTATAATTTTTTTTTTATATTCCTATCCTGCCTTTTTTCCTTCCAAGGAACTCCAGGCAGCTTACATAATTCCTCGCCACCCTCCATCTTATCCTCACATTAACCCTGAGTGTTGGGAGTGAGAAAGAAGGCCTGCTTTGGACGCATTCTCAGGGGCTGCTGGCTGCAGCTCAGAGGATACAAATCAGAATGGGAAGCACATCAAAGAGGAACTGGGGAGGAAGGGACATGCTGAGACACCGAGGTGAAGGAGGGGGACATGCTTATCTCAAGGCCAGCGTATCTGGCCGGGCAGGCAATTCCTAGGAATAACAAAGATGTACAGCCTGTGGGAGGAGGGCTCTGGAAATGAGGAGTTCTTGGACAGAGACCAGGTGCCCCCAGCTCTTGACTCCACGATGAGGTGTCAGCAGAGGCGGACGGCCCAGTTAAATGATTGGTGCACGGAGAGGAGGTGGGCTCACTTTCAGAGAGCTCCTCCCAAAGGAGTGGGGCCCCGACATGCTCATAAGGAGAGTTCTTGGAGGTGGACAGGAGACTGGGTTCAACAAACTGCTCTGTGTGTGCTCAGAGGGCAGATTTGTACTTGGAAACAATAAAGAATGTTTTGCAAGGAAAGCTTTCCAGCAAAACTTATAGCAACGTTTGCCAACCTTATGCACAAGACCATTTTCAAGGACATCTTCCAGAGTTAAGTGTTCGCAATCTGCCGAGAGATCTGTGAGAATATCCTGCCGGCAAAACAAGTAAAATACAGGTTAAGCATTTTTACCGCCTGCCAGGAGTAATCACTGCCAGGACGAGGAACATCTTCTCACCGTCAACAGCATCTGATGTTAGAGGACAGAGGGTCATACATTCAAGATATTCTTGGAATTCGTTTCAGAATTATGAAGGCACAGAACGTCTCATGCAGTGCCCTGAGATCTCCCACAAGATTGGAGCCAGAGTTCTCACCTTGGATGTTTCTACAGCCCTTCCTGCTCCTACACTGCAGCACCGACCCTGAAGCGAGTGGGAAAGTGCAAGATTGGAGGCATGATAACAGACAGCAGAGACAGCTCCCAGCCCTCTGCCATTCCCTGCACACGGGGCCAAACAGAGACCAGCCCAAAAGCTGCCCTAAACATTTCCTTCCCGTCGCCAGCGATCGTCTGCTTCTTCCACTACACCTCCTGCTGTGGGTGCCTCCATCTGCTTCATGGAAAGGCTGGCCCTGCTCACATGCTGTGTGGATGGAGCCACTACAACGCAAGAAATGGCGCCTTCTGATACGCTGTCAATAAAGATCCTGATCTCACCGCTGGTTTCCTCAAGACCCTGCCTGAAAAAGCTGTCGAACCAACTGAAATAAAATACAATAGACAAAAAGGCTGCATGTGTATGCACAGCATATGTATATTTTATCATATAAATGCTATTTCAAACACTAATATTTTAATGTTCAACAGTCGCTTTTTATTTAACTTATATTTCCTGGTTATTTGTTGTTTATTATATTGATACGGTTGTTTTATTGTGTTTTTGTTTGAATGACTGTAAGCTGTCCTGAGGTGCTATGCATAAGAGACAGCATATAAAAGTTTTAAATAAATAAAATGAATAATATGCATTCTAGAAAGCCCAAATATGAAAACAACAATCCTACACACACTGACTCCAAAGTAACTCATGCAGATTTCCATGAGGCTTAGTTGCCAAGTATGTGGGCCCAAGACGGCAAACTGGCATCTACTGAATAAGCTGGGGATGATGGGAATTGTAATCTTGCACAATTGGAAGATGCTAGTTAGGAAAGGCTGTGCTAAAGTCCTGTCTACCATCGCTGAATCAATATTGGTCATTCAGTATTTCAAATTCAATGTGTTTACAGCGCCTTCCCAGCAATTAATACAGCAAAATGTAACAAGTCATGCAAGGTTCTACCTCAAACGACAAGGTTCCCCTCACAGCTACGACGATCGCTTCTTTTTTGTGATCAAGGGCGACAAAGAATGGTATTTCGAAAATCTGAAAAGACAAGAAACATGACACAAAAAGCACGAGATGTTCCATGCTGGATCATACGAATGGTCCATTCAGACAAGAACTGGGGCATCTGACCAGAATTATCCAAATGCCTCTAGAAGGGAGAGAGGGAGCCGTTACAGCGCGGGGCAGGGGAAAGGGTAAATTTTGGGGCTGGGGGGGGGTGGCTGGAGGTCATTTTCAAACTCCCAGACCTTCCCACAGGCCACATTCTTGGCGGCGGCGGCAGCAAAACAAAAAAGAAATTGGCGGTCTGTTCAGCAATAAATCGCTATGAAAAGGTATAGTGGAAACATGTTTATTCTCAAGCTAAACGTCCCCTTTTTACCCTTCTGTACCTGCTTGCTGAAATTCCCTGGCAATCTGCCAAATGTTTGATCACTGGTGTGGATTTCGGCAGAGGCCACACAAGGGGAGGGGAGCGGCCTGCATTCTGTGAATTGCACCCCCCCCCCCTTTCTTGTTAGAATCTCTTGGGCTACCAAGTGAGAGAGCTATCCTCCCTCTACAAAGGCTGCACTTTAGTCAGTCACGCTGCAGGAGCCATTGAGACACCCAACTTACACTTAATTACAGCGCCCTTAAATATATAAACACACACACACCCCAGTGATGATCACATTATCCAGCCAGTTCCATAATAAGGATAATGACTGGATACAGACAACATATTAACCTTCCCTCAAACGCTGAGTCTGGGTTGTTGTTGAACCAAGGGTTACCACGTTGCCCAAGCCCAGCGGTGCTAACAACCCATGGCTTGTTAACCTCAAACAACCATGAAAGGATCCCATGGTTTGTTGCTAGGCTGTGAACTGTGCATAGTTCACCACGGTTTGTTACCTCAGCTGAATGCAGGCAGCATGTTACGACAAACACCCGCGTTCAGCCCTTGTTCTCTGAACCGTGTCATTATATTGTGTCTTGTGTATTTTTTAAAAATCGTTTCCTACTCAGTATGTTGCAATGTCAAAGCACAGACAGATTCTCATTACAAAAGCAGTATCACATGGCTACACTTCCTAATTTGGAACATTTTACAGAAGTTCTAGCCTGGCCAAGTGACTCATATGAAGCCTCCCTTTGGTCTCCAGAGCTTAAGGAGGCAAGAATTCGCTATCTTGTTCCAGCTACTTACTTTATTGTGAAAGCTGATGTGAATGATGTCTCTGTACTGCAGCCCCGTTATTTTTAAGATGGTTCCCAAATGCATGTTCAGATGGTCACCTCCAACTATGTCTGTCTCTGTTGGGCTCCTTCTACAACTTAGAAATCAGAGGACGACAATGAGGCATACAAACTTCACACCAGTTAAACTCCCAAGAGGTAAAACCTTCTCATAAGCACACAGAATATGACATTGACCTAGGAAATCAGCATCTAGCGGTTCATTCTGTGCAAATGGATGCACGTTTTGGTGCATTTCATCTGCAACAAGTTAATATCGAAGGAGGGCCAAAGTCTGGACCAGCCCAAAGATATTGCCTGTATCAGTCCGACTGTGCGTAGTCCCTGGATAAATTTTTGCATCTATTTGTTTTGCTGAAATCGACCCTGGTGAAGGATGCAGGCAGGTTACCTGCAAAATGGTTTGGTCCCAGATTTAGGGCACGATGTAATGGGGATAATGGGTCATGAAAATCAGTGGGGCACTCTAGTCAACAGGCCACCTGTAAGTACAGCTAAATCTAGATCCAACCCAATATTGTTTTAAAAATGAAATACAAGACGAGACAATAACGACAAACCTGATGAACTAGTTTAATATGTATTCATGCTTCTCGCATTACTTTCTCAGACACAGGGATGACCTATAAAGGATTCCTACCATTATCATCTTGTAATGCAGGGTAGGAAATGATGCTTGGGAAGTAATAATTACAGTGCAATCCTGTACATATCTTTTCAAAAGGCGTTCTTTCTGAAAAGGGGTTCCCACATAACTTGCTTGCAGGTCAGCATGCACAAGACTGCAGCCTTAGCCACAATATTTTCACCAAGGTACGAGCATATTTCCTTATAGCAGGCAACAGCCAAGCAGTACATTTTACAATAACAGTGGCATTTTTTGCTGCTGGAAGCTATCAGTGAACAAGTTATAAAGATTCCTTCCATGTAGTTCTGACATCCAAAATCCTAATTTTTAAAACAAATAATCTCCTCTGGCGATAAACTAGGAAATTATTCAGTGAGTGTATCTTACATGTCTATTTAGTATTCATTATGCAGTTTAAGATGAATGATTATCATTTATACCCAAGCTTTCTAAAGCAGAACAAGCTGGCTATTAATTTTAACAAATATTTATTGCTCAATTCATTTTCTACCTTTTCTACTCTTGTGAAAAGCCAAGGCGGCTCACGTGATCTTCCCCCTCTCCATTTTATCCTCAAACTACCCTGCAAGGTAGGCTCGGTTGGGAGTCTGTGACTGTCCACAGTCCCCTTATAGCCAAGTGGAAATTACAACCCAAGTCTCCTGAATTCACCCACAAAACCCTAACCACAATGGCTCTCTGAAATGTTTTCTGCACTGAATTATGGAAAAATAGTTTTCAACAGGCTAATCCACAAGTAGAACAATCTCAAATGTTGTCTCTCATGCAGCAACTTTCTCAAACAATTGGCTGCTGTCCAGAATGTAAAAATCTAGCTTACACTTTGTTTTAGATGGTGGGCCAACTTACCAGTCCCCATTGATCTTACAGAGGGCTGTAAACGGATTTGCTAATACGTAGTAGGGCCAGCCATAAGCTGCTGCAGCAAACTTCATATAATGAGCAGCATTTTCTAATTCTTCATCCAAATCGTTTGTCTGGGAAAGGCAAGAGAGAAACTCGGCACAGTTTGTATCTGCTAGTCAATTCTGGTATTAAGTAGAAAGTCAAAAAGAGTCAAGTGTCCCCAGCGAGGAGGACTTTTGAAGTGAGCGGGTGTCCACTAAGGAGAAGTCCTTTTGCAAGCTAGCACTCCAGTAGCAGAATGCCCTCCCCAGAAAGGCTTGCCTGGAATGTACACTCTGGTTCTTCTAGCTCAAGGCATTGATTCTCCAGACATTAGTTCTTCCGTGTCTATTCTTTTACTTCTGTTCTTGAATGTTTAGATCTTTAAGCAATTGCTGAGTGTTATTCTGCTTTTATACTGCAGTTTAAAACTTTTAAAGAAGTTCTCTATTATGCATTATCAAGTTGCAATATTTTCTTGTTTCAGCTACTGTAAACTGCCCAGAGAACTTCAGCTATTGGGCAGTCTAAATATGCAATAAATAAAACCAAAGGGACTTACCATAGGAGATAACTGCGACTCAGTGACAACTTCTTCTGGATCTTTGGGACAATTTTCCACCATGTCTTGCTCTTGGTGTAGCAGAATCAGGCCTGCAGCAACATCGCTAGGCACTAAATCGGTGTCCTGCAGAAATAAACATACAACAAACTCCTGTTCTCATGCTTTCCCCATCTTCTGTTGGCTGACATGACTTCAGTTCTCCATCTTACATATTAAATGACTGACAGCTCCCACTGCTTATTTGGTTATTTTGGTATTAAAGTGCCTTTTTGTTTGAAAGAAGAAAGAAAACAAAGGGGAGGAAATAAGGAGAAAGCAAAGCAAAGCAAAGAAATGCAATACAACTTTCTTTTATCTTCCTTTTCTTGCTCTTTTTAAATAAAGCTACAGAATTTTTATATGAGAGATATACTATTCAGGAACAGAGGAAAGAGGATACTCAAAAGTGCATCCTATATGTGTTGAGACAGAAAAACCGCCTACAATTCCCAGCATGCCCTTTGTTTCTATGCATAGGATCCTACCTTAACTATATTAATTTTAGATATTCCAGAATTAATAACTATCCAGCAGGAGGAGAACCAGAGGGTCTATGAAAAGCAGAGAAAAAACACAGGCACTACCCTGCTTGGTGGGTAGAGACCTGTTCTCCCCAGCAGAGGAGGGCAGGATGCGCCCTAATGGAGCAAAGCTCAGGGAACTGAGGTTCAATTTGGATGCCAGGAAGTACTTCCTGACAGTCAGGACCCCGAGGGTGTGGAATGGGCTTCCACGAGAGGTCGTTGAGGCCCCATCGGTGCAGGTGTTCAAGGATAGGCTGGACGTGCACATGGTAGGCATGTCGTGAGCGGAGCTGGCTAGTGCCGGAGGTCAGACTAGATGGTCTGGGAGACCTCTTCTGACTCGCTCTGTTTCTATGTTTCTTACCGAGAAGTAGGCCCGGAAAAGCTCTGCAATGCTGGTAAAAGCCACCCGGTGGTCATCATTTTGCACGATGCAGCAGCAAAGCAAGCGGATTCGCTTCTCCCACACCCGGGTCGCCGTCTTCTTGACGTTATAGAACAGCTGCTCCGACTGGCTGCTCTCTAGGTTGCGACAGGCAGTGTCAACCACATATACTCTCTGCCTCCCGCCCAGCGGATCAAAGACAATAACAATGGCCACAACAGTGAAGATAATGATAATCCAGCTGCCAAGAGGAAGAAAAGAAATCTGCATTTCAATGTTACTATTAATGAGGAAGTTGCCATCAGAAAACACACTTGATTTTTAGGGAGTTTTTACCTGTGGAGTCAGGGAATCAGAAATACAACACATGAACTTGGGAATTTCTTCTTGTACTGAGTGAATGCGCACATAATTAATTCCTACAAATTATAACATTGCCAGATCAAAATGTGGTGCAGTGGTTAAGAGCACAGGACTGGGACACAGGTGACCTGGGTTCTAATCCCCACTCAGCCAGGGAAATCACTGGGTGACTTTGGGCCAGTCGCAGGCCCTCAGCCCAACCTACCCCACAGGGTTGTTGTGAGGATAAGACTGAAAGGAGGACAATTATGTGAGCCACCTTGAGTTCTTTGGAAGGAAAAAAAAGATATGAATATGAATGAAAAAATGAACAAGTTCCTTCGACAAGATACAAGATGGAAGGCATTTCAACATAATCCAGGACTCTTTAATAGTAGAAGAGAAACAACCAGTTACTCCAGAAACACACTCACTAAATATTGGGCAGTTTAAAACATTCATATCAAGTAAGAATGATGAATCCAAGCTTCTAAACTGTTTTCATGCCCAATGCAAAGTATTGATATCAACTTTTAAAGACTTAAGAGAAGCTTGAGGCAACACTCTCCTCTCTGAGCGCCCACCAAAATAGGTGAGGTGGGTGCCTCTTAGCAGGGTCTTTTTCATGGTGGAATCTCAGTTATGGGATGTCCTTCCCAGAGATTCTCACCTGAAGGCTACTTGGTGCCAGATAAAACCGCCTTTTTATTTTCCCATGCTTTTTAGTTCTACTCTGTTTTAGAGCTTCAAACTGCTGCTGGCTTTTACTTGGCTTTTATTCTGTTTTAAGCTTTTAAAGAGTTTGCCGTTCTTTCATGATGCATTTTAGAGAAGGATTTTCTGTTAACTTGCCAGAAAAAATTGGCAATTGGATGGGACCAAAATAATTAAAAAGAGCCTTACCTGGCAATGACTGTTCCATAAATGGCATTTATCATAGTCCTTTCGCAATTTACTCCATGGTCTGATACCCATATTATTCCCACAACCGCCCAAATGAGCTCTGGCAAGTAAAGGGCCAAACGCAAGTAGAGCAATTTAGGAAGAGATTTTCTTGGCCCCGGATTGGAAATGGTTCCTGAAAGGTATGGGTGCAGAAGACAACAGCAATTATACAAAATAAATCTGTCTGTTTAAAAAAGACATCACAGCATGAAATCATGATGTAGGTTTTCATATTGTTAACACATGCAAAGAAAAATCAAGGAAGGAGGTTATGTATACAGGGCCTTATTTCACAGATAGTCACAAAGCCCTGCACGCAGACCAGTGAAGATCTTTATAACTGAGAACAATATAATTTTGCTGTGAAAATTGAGAAGTGGATGATGCAGGCAGCCCTGCTCATAAAAGGTGCCAGCCCCACATCCGTGCACACTCTGGGCGCATGACAACATGGGGCGTGACTCTTTCCACAAGGGCGGGAAAGGGTTTGGGTTTGCCCAAGATCAGATCTGAGATTGGAGAGCAGTTTCTAACCCTGGAGGAAGATTTCCGATCTTTCCCAGGAAGCACAGAATAGAGCTCCAAATATAGGTATGAAAATAAGGATTGCTATACTGTTATAACGTATCAAGGATGTTTTATTAATTTTATAAAAAGGGATTTGATAGGAACTTGGACAATGGCAGCAGCATGAATCACATGCGGAGTAAATGTTTAGTTTCACTGGGGCAAATTTTGTTTATATATTTATTCGTTCATTTATTCAATTTAAATGCTGTCCCACTTGCCAGAGGCTCTGTGGGTGGCTTACAACATATTAAAATTCAATGATATAAAATACAAATACTACAATACAAAAAATATAAACAATACCAAAACAAATACAAACACAAAACAATACAAAAACATTTAATACAAAAACATTTACTACAAAAACCAATAGCAATAAAATCAGTAAATTAACAAAATAGAAAAAAAAAAACAAAATAGAAAACCAAAATAGAAAAAACAGAATACAAAATACTATATACATATATAAAACCCCCCAAAAGCATAAATCATTAAAATTAGAAATAAATATCTTTCCTTTCATGTCCCATTGTCAGCAGCATAAAATAACATTAATACCTAAAAATTCACCTGTCAACAGGTCATTAACTGCTGATATTCTAACCATTGAACACCTTAGATTATGAATTATTGGGCTTAACAATAAAGGATTTGCTATTTGCAACTGGAAGGATCATATTTGTGCTTACTGGAGTGCTATACAATTATGCTCATTTTATCGATCGCTGCTTGCTTTTAGATTCTCATGTACCATACATTTTATTTCTTTTTACTATTGACTGTATTAAATTGATGGGGCGATTATTTGCTAGGTGTGGTACAATGTATTCAACCCGGAACAATTGCTCAACAGCGGCTCATCATTCTGGTTTGCAGCCACTGTTAGTCCTACTTAGAATCACAGCTGGAAGGGGCTATGAAGACCATCAGGTCCAACCCCCTGCAGTTGCAGGACACCATGTTTCACCATCCCACTCAGAGGGCTGTCAGTTTCTTTCTGAATGCCTCCAGTGGGGGAGAGCCCCCCACCTCTCCAGGCAGCTGGTCCCACTGCCGTATTGCTCTGACGGTGAGGAAGCTTTTCCTGATATCTAGCCTGAACCTGGGTTGTCACAACCTGAGTTGATTATTCCGTGTCCTGTACTCAGGTACCAATGAGATCTTGACCGTCCTCTTTATGACAACCTTTGAGGTACTTAGAGAGGTATCGCGTCCCCTCTCAGTCTTCTCTTCTCAAGACTGAACATGCCCAGTTCTCTCCTCTAGGGAAATGTTTCCAAACCCTGGATACCACCCACGAACCCATGGTACATGCAAGTTCTGGCCAGCCCAGAATTACTTTCTGTCAGATCATGATAATGTAAAACTCATAAAATCCAACCACTACCACTTATCTGCTGAGCTCAGCCAAGACTGGCTATATGTATTTGACTACTTAGAGCAGACCTGCTGAAATAAATAGGATGCAAATTAGAACGTGGGGCGTAATACCTTGTTTCCCCGAAAATAAGGCCTAACTGGAAAATAAGCCCTAGCATCATTTTTCAGGATGCTCGTAATATAAGCCCTACCCCAAAAATAAGCCCAAGTTAAGATTGTCAGCCAGACGGACGCATTTAGTACATCTGTTGCAACACAATTCAGGGTTTGGAGAGTTATGACGATGTTCCAGAAGATGACATGACTGTATTTGAACAAATGCAGATTGTTGCACATGAAAAAATAAGACATCACCTGGAAATAAGCCCTAATGTGTCTTTTGGAGCAAAACTTAATATAAGACCCTGTCTTATTTTTGGAGAAATATGATACCAACTTTGTATTTCCATATTTGCCACTATACTACTGAACATTGAGTCAAGTTACTGGCAACTGGAAAGCACTTTGAAAAACAGCATAATGCAGGCAGCCATTTACCTTGCATGCTTAAATACACAATGGAGACTAACACACATATGATCGCCACCAGGAGAATCAGGAGAACAAGGACGTAGTTGTGCAGCAAACCTCCTCCAGCACAATTAAAGCGTCCTTTGTGGATCAAATACAAAATCAGAATTCCAATCCACCTTGGGAATAAAAAGAAAAAGACACAAAGCATAATTTAGAAAGAAACCTTGGCACACTCACAACACAATCCTACATCTGCCTACTCAGAATTAGAATCGCAGCCTTATTCATCTTTAAGAATTCCTCAGGGCACACCAAAAGGACAATCTTCCGTAAGTAGGCTAATCTGAGGATGGGAGCTGTAGGACACCAGGTTGGGAAAAAATCTAACCAGATTGCTTTATGGATCTCCATGTATGCAACAATAACCCATAAGAAATTAGACACTGAAACCAGCAGGTAATTCTACCTGCCTGTTTCACTGCAACCGACATTAATGGCAAGAACTCTGAAACAGCATATATGGAGAGCAGAGATTGTGGCAATGAGATCTGTCTTTTATAACTCATATTTTCAGACAATAAAATACTCAAGCAAAAGATCTATATTACAACTTTACCTCGTAAGCCTTCTTGATGGAACGCTGCAGAATCGTTTTAATAAAAAAGATTAATGCACCCAACTTTTGTAAAATGCACATCCAGCTCATTTCTCTTCAGATTTGGGCTTTTTAAATAGTCATTTAAAATCATAGAATGGTAGAGTTGGAAGGGGCCATGAAGGCCATTGGGTCCAATCTTCTGCTGTTGCTGATCACCAATTTATACCATGCCACTCAGATGGCTGCCCGGTTTCTCCTTGAACGCCTCCAGTGGGGGAGAGCCCCCCACCTCTCCAGGCAGCTGGTCCCACTGTCGTATTGCTCTGACAGTGAGGAAGCTTTTCCTGATATCTAGCCTGAACCTGGGTTGTCACAGCTTGACTTGATTATTCTGTGCCCTGCACTCTGGTATCAGCAAGAAGAGATCTTGACCTTCCTCTCTGAGCCTTTGAGGTACCTATAGAAGGATATCATGTCCCCCCTCAGTCTTCTCTTCTCAAGGATGAACAGGCCCAGTTCTCCTTCTCTGTCACTTCACTGACACCATGTTACACCATCCCACTCAGGTGGCTGTCCGGTTTCTTCTTGAATGTTTCTATAGTGTGGGAGAGCCCACCACCTCTCCAGGCAGCTGGTCCCACTGTCATACTGCTCCGACAGTGAGAAAAATCATCTCTTGGTCTTATATACTTATACTTGGTCCCCTGGATTGGTTTTGGCGCAATGTGTTGCCCTCCAGATAATGTGGACTAGAGCTTCCTTCAGTCCTAGAAAGTGTGACCAATGGGAAGGGATTGAGAGTTTTAGCCCAAAATGACTGCAGGACAGCAGGGAAGGAAGGCTACCCTGGATAATCTACCGGATCTCTCTCGAATTCTTTTTCAGCTGCCTTTTTCTTCAGATGCGTCTGAAGAAAGTGAGGATTGATAAGCTCAGCTCCTGCAGAGATGAGCCACGTTGCAAAACTGGAGTGACACATCAAGCACAGATATTCACATTTTTCAAGAAGAGCGAGAACCTGAGAGCCCATTGGCTCCTGAAAACTGAAGCATAAGCAGCTTTGCTCTCAGCTTCAAGTTGGCATTAAGAGTTGATTGTCAGCTCTACCTCGCCTCAGAAGACCTGTGGACAGAAGCTCAGAGTTGGCTGGTGGTGGGATTACCTGCCACCTAATACTGACCTACTGAAACATCTCCAACCATCACGGAAGACTACCGAAGGCTAAAACACGCACACATATGCATGTACGTGAACACGAACACACACACACACACACACACACACACACACAGAGTAATGGCTGTTCCTCTTTGTTCCCAAAATGACTATAAACCTCAGTAACAAAGAGTCTTGTGACAACTTAGACACTAACAAATGTATTCTGGAATAAGCTTTTCTGGATGAAGCAGAGGTAGCAGATGCACAAAGAATTATGGAGAGTTTCAAGTTTTTACATAGTACATTTAGTGGCTGGCTTGGCTACAGATGCACAGCTTCTGGAATTGTCAAAGCCATGGGGGGCGAGGGGGGGATCTTTTCCTGGTCCTGGAAAAAAATCAGAGATTTTTGGAAAAACTGGGGAAAAAGCTATATTAGTACATGTTACGGATTGAAAATCAAGGTGTTACTTTAGGAACTTAATGGGTATTATGTATAACTTGATTGTGCATAACAATATCATGTTTGGCATGTTAAAAGTAAAGATAATGGTTGCTTTTTTTACATTTCTATACTGCCTCACGGCCAAACAATTGATTCAAACAATGATTACAAACTGATTTTACTTTTTGAAATTGTTGTGCCCTGAACTATAAAGATCCTCTTTGGTTTGGCAGTTCATGAGGAGAGAAAAAGCACAAACACACACACACACACACACAAAGCAGAAAACCATTCATATTAGTAAAACAGAGAAAATTATGCTTCCGCTAGACCTTTCCTCTAGTGTCAAGCTGACATAAAGTATTTATTCCTATAAAAAAGGGAAAAAAGAGGAGATTGAAACAAGACTGGATGAATATTTATGAAATGTAATGAGTCTCATTTCTGAGCTATTGCTATCCGCCTCAATTTCTATTTCTTCTACTACTTTATCTTTGTTTTCTTCCTAATTATCATGGACAGAAGGCTTGTCCAGATATGCCTCTCAGCCCTCACATCTACCAGTTTGCTTCTTGATTCAGTGTGAGTATTTCTAAACACTGACCAGTTTTTTTCCCCACACACTGCAAAAGATAGAGCAACTCAAAGTAGGTGGAACGTACACCAAGTCAGAAGCTGTGTTGCACAAGGGGCCTTCCGGGCCCTTGCAGGAAGGCTAGAGGCACAAGATGGATACCTGAACCTGATGTTCTGTGCTCTGGCAAGTACCTTTCCAACATTAAGTCCTTTAATATGCTGCTTGTTTCGTAACCCAGTCAAATGCAGCAACAAGTTATCAGTGTGTATATTACTTTGAATCTTGGGTGCAACAGATTTATAGCAGCATGAATTGGAGGGCAACAAAATGTTATCAATGTCTTAATAAAATCTGCTGCTTTACCTTCATCTATTCTTGCAAGTGGCTTTAGCTTGACCATTTGGTAAGGAATTTATAATCAAAGCACATGGTCTGATTTGGAAGCTGGAACTGCTGAAGAAATTGGCTTCGAAATCTACAGGAAACTCCGTAGCTGAAGCCAGTGCAGCCTAGTGGTTAAGAGCATGGGACTGGGACTCGGACAATCTGGGTTCTAGTCCCCACTCAGCCATAGAAACAACTGGGTGACTTTGGGCCAGGCACAGACTCTCAGCCCAACCTACCTCACAGGGTTGTTGTTGTAAGGATAAGACTGAGAGCAGGAGGAAGAGAATGATGAAAGCCACTCTGAGTTCTTTATCAAAGTGCATCTAATAAATAGAAATAAATATCCTTGAATATCCTCAGCTATTACTGTTTCTAATGACTTCTTTGTTTTATAGTAAACTTTCAAAATTGACTTCAGTGCAAAAGACCTGCAATGATCCAACACTGCACAGAATCTTAAACATCTACTGCACAGACTGTAGAAAACATTTTGGGGAAGTAAATCTATGAATACCTTTTATCTGTCATCCTGAAAGAAGATATTTCCTCATCTTTTTTTTCCAGAAACAACAACAATGTTCAGGAAAAAAATGGGGAATACCCTTTCCTTTCCAAATATTTGTGTGGCCTTCTGGGCCTTCGTATTTCTCAGAGTGCCATCAGAAGGGCATTACATCCAGAAAATGACAATAATTTTAACAGCAGCAGCCATAGAGAAAGTGCACCAGAAATTTTTTAAGTACTCTGATTCTCTGGCTCAAATCAACATCCTCAGATCATCTGGCACATGGGAGCAGATTTCCACCAAACAAAGTGGTTAAACTTCAGCAGGAGTTGGACAGGAATAGGGACATGGGTCTCTTACAGATTCCACAATCACAAACTCCAGAACCAACCACCATCTTAAACAGCTTTACAAAGAGATCAGACCAATTCTTGGGTCAAGCTATAATGAATACTAGCCATGATGACTACATGATAGGAGTGGGCAGACTTCAGGTTTACAGAGTCTACTCTGCTTTTTTCTTTTACCATACAACTGCCAAGGTCCAAGTGGATCCAGATACAAACCAGTAGCTGGAGGGGTCACAACTCCTAGAATGACAGACCAAGGTGGCTTTGAGCACAGGGTCACCCTAGGAGCTTGGCTGAAAGCACCAGAACCAAATTCCAATTCCTTCCAAGCAAAAGTTCGCCCCTGGTTTTCCCACAAGCACGAGTCATCTTAAATTCAGCAGCCCACCAGAACAGACTAAAGATGTACCTAGTCTAGCATTATGTTCCCCCAGTGCCAAACAAGACATTCTGGGGAGTCCCCAAAGCAGTGCTCCTCACCTGTGTTTCTCTGCCACTGATACAGAAAAGTATACTGCCTTCAGTGTTGAATATATAACCATCATTGCTAGCAACAATTGACAACCAACGTCCTTCATTAATTTGTCTAATTCTCTTTTGAAGCCATCAAAGTTGACAACTGCCACGGAATCTTGCAGTAGCAAATTAAAGCAGTGTTGAGTGATGAGCAGTGTTAAGCTGCACTTCCCTTTAAACAGGACTGAAACCTTTCAAAACACAGAAAGTCTTACAGAGCTAATTTGAATAATGGCTTCCTAATGCTTCACTCCAACATTTACATTCAAATGGGACATGCAAAGTTCAAAGAAGTGCCTCTGTCTGACTGTGCGGAAGACTTTCCCCTACTCCTTTGTGCTCCACACCCAAAAGATCAGATTTTCCACATCAGAATGTGAACACTGCATAAACCACATTGCTAATAATTTAAGCACATTTAAGAGATTAAGCACTGCTTATTATTTTTCAGTAATACCTAGCTGTCTGTTGAAAATGGAACCATGTTAAAAGCAGTAGATCTTACCAGATTACCCTGATGAAAAGCTCAAAGGCTCCCGGGAAGACAAAGTCATCGCTGCCTATTGCCCAGCGCCTTCCAAACATCACCATTCCAGGCATAGTGGAGACCTTGCTGCTGCTCCTCAGCACCTGCAGAAAAACATAACACCACCTGTAGATTGTCCCCAGTACACTCACTTGCCTAAAGAAAAACCCGTTTTTTACCCAAACATGCTTATTCCAATTTTATTTAAGTTCTTGCTGAGCCACTCTCTCTTCTCCTGTCCCCAAAATAATGCTACAAGCTGGCACATAAGTCACAGGTAATTTGCAATGCATGTGCATTCTTTGTCCTCAGCCAAGTCCTTGTAAATCCTTTAGTTATTTCCACGGTCACAACACTTCTTACACACATTTTCCAGAGACCAGATCTATTTCCTCCAATAAAGACCCTTCAATATCCGCCCATTTGTCATCCTAAACTCTTCCAGGTAACTTTTCTGCAATCACCATCTGCCCAAATCCCCATCCAAGCTATTCATCTTCACTGAGTGGAGCTTGAACCTGGACATACTCCAATCCAGAGAGTCGTGCAGAACCTTAAAAGATCAAGGATGTATCGTGGCAAAAAAAAATATTCTGGGTTGCTGGAGCCCTTTCTAGCCTATGAAAGCTTATGCCAGTCTAATTATCACAGTGAACACAGCAAAAAGTCTTTTCACACCTTCAAGACTAGCAAATTTTACCTACTGGCTTTCATGGCCCTGGAGAGCTTTTCGCGCCTTTTAATCTTTAAGGTGCCAAAAGCCTCTTTTGTTGGGTTTGCAGCAACAGTCACACAGCTAGTACGCCAAGGGAGCTGAGCAAGACTTGCTTCCAAGGGAGCATCCAACAGGTCCAGAGAATACAGCCTGCCTCCATAACTCCCCAACAGCTTCTTCCACCACAATAGTCTTTCATCCTTAAGACAGGTTGCACTAGAAGTTTCAAAGGTTATTCTACACCGCAAGTTGTGCCCAGCACATTCCTCTGCGCCAAGTCTGTGAAAGCAAACTCTTCTGTGCTATTTGCTGTCACAGAGAAATGCAGGGTCCCTTGTAGAATTGAACACACACACTGAAGCTGCAGCCTTCAATATCTTAAATCAAACCAAGAGATAAATGTACAATTTAGATGTGAATGTTTAATAATACGGTTAACAAGAACCCCTTTTCTTCGCTGGGCCCACTTCTCCTGTCACCGACACCCCTCTGGAAATTTGGAGGACCCCCCACCCCCCCCCATGACACACATTTCCTCTTTGCAAAAGCAAAGCCCCTTCCCCTTCCTTGGTGCGTGCCTAAGGAGCCACCCCTCTACCCCCCACAACACACCTACTCCAACACACCCCCCCCCAAGATACCCTCCCCACCCAAGAACCCCCATGCCACAGCGCCCCCTTTCGGCAGCTGCGGAATTGCCAGCCCGCCCTACCTGCCGGGCACGAGACCTCCGCTTCCCGCACCTGCTAGTCGCCGACTAAACACTCGGCGTGATGACGCACCGACGTCCAGCCCTTGGTTCTACCTCCCAACACCACCACCGGCGCCTCCTCCAACGAGCCACCTTGCTGTGCGCCTGCGCACTACTCCGGCGCGCCTCTGTGGAATTCTTACTGCCCTCGCCGGAGGCCGGGATGGAAGGAGAGCATGCGCAGAGGAAAGAAACGGGGGCAAGGACGGGGCACTTCGTGTCAAAGGCTCCAGGCAAAGCAAACTTCCGGTTGTCGTTAGACTCCGCGCGGGCGAAAGTGTCGCGATGATCGTGTGAGAATGGTAAAAGAGAGCAAGGAAGTGTTCAGCGGAGAGAGGGTATTTTTAGCCGTAGTGTTTTGGAGTAAGTGTGTTGTGGCGGCTAGAGAGCCGGGAGATCCGGGATCTGCTCCCCACCCAGCCGTGAAGCTCCCTGGGTGACTTTGGGCTAGCCACTCACTCTGAGCCTCGCCTACTTTGCAGGGGGTTGGGGGATAAAATGGCGAGGAGGTGAACCGTGTGTGCCCTCCCCGCCTTGGGTCCCTTGCAGAAGGAAGACAGGCGGGCCAGAAATGCAGTGGAAGAGCAATAATACTGCCTGCTCTCCAAACAAGAAGCGAAAAAAGAGCGAAAGGATGGCATTCACGCCCCGAAATCCTTGTTTGCATTTGATGAAATTTTGTGGAGGTTGTTTTGGGAGGCCTCTTGCCCCGAAATATGTCATATTTTCAGATTTGTGAATCTGAAATATGTCAAGATTTTTTAAAATGCTAGCATAATACCTTATTAGGTTTATTCAAATGATACGAAAAGGTGCAAGCTTTCAAGATCTTCAAATGGCATCCTCGGGTAAGATGATACCAATCTCTCGAAAGCTGCTCCATTTGAGCTTAGTTTTTAAATTGGCTTAGTTTTTTGGAATTATTCCTTTATGGTCAGCATAAAACCTTTGCGTTTTGTGTTGCCAGGTTCCGAAACCCGTTGCCAAATGGTCTCGTACGGACGCCCATTGCAAATGAATTGCAATGCAAAAATTGCAATGGAAGAGGCTTTAAATCTCGCCTGCTTTGTTTTTGGGTTTCTGCGTGAATTGTGGAGCGCTTCCAGCCTTTGCTTTCAGCCCATGGAGACTTGCCAACTGCAACCAGGAACCGAAAGCTGTACTAGACAGCCCTGATGAGAGCTGCACTTTTCCCTTTACGCCCTCCATTTCCAGACACGTGCATAACGCAGCGAGGAAACGCAACCCATATTCAATACGCCTCTTCAAACTTTGTTCTGAGAAACTCATTAGGATTAGCGCCTTGCTTAATCCCCATGCAACCAGATTGCACTCCTCCGCATACTTCTAGAGTAGTGTTTATTCCAATAGTACTGAATGCTAAAGGGCTTATCCCTAAATATGCATAATTTCCCCCCGATTTATTTTATCCTAACCTTTTCCGCTGCAAAGAAACGAAAGCGGCTTCCGTAAATTAGGCTGTCCATATACTGTTATTGCGCTGCAGCTGAAATATTCTCCCGTTGCCTTTTGAACGTTGCAGTTGCTAATGTTAGATGTATCCTTTTATTATTTTTGCACAGACTGATTTGTTCCGTGTAAAAAAGCATTGCTCACTGATAGCGGCATGGAAAGATGAGCATGTAAACAGGCGTTCGTTAGGGTACTTTATTAGGTATTGTATTACCTAAGTAGTTTTGGGTAAGAGTTGACAAACTGTAGTGCTCCAGATACCATCAGACAATTCCCATCAACTCTACCCTGCAATACCCAATAGTGAAGGATGATAGAAAGTGAATTTTAATAACTTTTTGTAGGGCCACATATGATATGGTTGGCATATGAATGTGTTACATGGTGTCTTTTATGCCTCTGGAAACTGTACATGGGAAGGAATTCTGAGTTAAATCCAGGCAAAGGAAAAAGGGGGCACCACTCTAAGTTGCTTACCATTTAGCTGGGTAGGACTCAAGGGGTGGAAGCAATTCTGCCTTTCCCCCTCCTAATTCAAGCAGTACTCCATCATCCATCTAAATAGCCTCTAGACCCATGTAAGTCCTGGGTACTTAGATCTTGGTTAGCCTTGCATAATCTTGCCATGACAATTAAATCCAGATTGGCGGAGTTTTAGTGCAAATTATTTTCATTTTATAACCAACCACAGGAACAGCCTTGTGAAAAAGGATGCTTTAGGGTTTACCGCTAATGCATATTAATAGAAGCCACATTAGAACCCACAACCAACACGGATCAAGGGAAAGCTCATGAACTGCTGCTTTGAAAAGGAGCGAGCGAGCTAGCTAGCTTTGGCTGTAGCTGATGCTGCCAGATGGCTGCTCAGCAACATGGGTAAGTTGCAGTTCGGGCTTAATGCTTCTTTGCTTTATGCAAAGGTCGATGTTCCAATCTGTTGCCAGGAGTTTCTCCCCCAACCATCCATTTAATGAATAAGACACAGCAATACAGTGAGAAAATATATTTGTAACAGAAATTACACATACATGTGAGCAATAAAGCAAGGTTCGAGGCACAGTGTTGCTTTTATTCTAGATTGGCCCTTCCACAATTCTGGATAATTTCTCCAGCATTTGCTCTCTCTGCCCTCATTTGCTTACCATTTCCTCCCACTCTATCACCTCTGCTGCTCTGGGGAGATACTGAGAATTTAGTAAGCCAAGTGGGAGAAAGAAAACGAAGGTCTTGGGAAGCACTTCGTTTATACTTCTCCAACATAGGAATAGCAAATCCAATTTGGTAACTATGACAATTATCCAACTGCCTCACTAATTAGGGGATGGTGTGCCTTTAAAACAGGATGATTATCTGCGAGGTGGATATGCAGCTAGTTACAGGAAGTAGATTAAGTGGCTTGTACAGTTTATCAGCCTTCCAATTGCCAGGTTGTTATTCTCAAACATTTGTTACATTTTCCCCTTTCCGCACTTACTAATACACTAACATTCTTTAGCATTCTTGTTTCCTGAACTATGTCAATTTTGCAGCTATATCTTTTTCAGATGTGACCAAACGCATTTTTTTTGAACAACTATGTCACAGCTGCTCCTGATGATAGGTTTGTAGAAGAGGCATAGTTCGAGGACACCACCACAATGTATACCACTGCATAAGATGTTTATTAGGATGGTAACACAGGAGAAGTCATGCAACAATAAAAAAGGGAATCATGTAAAGATGATCGATAGTACTTGGTGCTGCTGATTGTGGAAGAAGTTTATAAAAATGACACTAATTGTCCCAAACTGGCACATTTAAAACTGCTTGAAAGCTGAACATGGAGATTACTTGAAAAAAGTATCTGTCTTAAAAAAAGTTGTAGACATTGTTAAAAATTGCCACCTACAGTTTACTTCAATTGGACAACTATCACAAGTTCTTCCTTACAGCTGCAACACAAAGGTTGCTTTTAAATAGAATTCGAGCTTTAAGCACCCCCAAAAGGTATGGAACAATTTTGTTCTGAACGAAAAAAACAGAAAGGTCTGCTACTAAATCACAAAAGCAATGGACTCTAAGTTCAGAAAAACCTGCATTGGCACCAGATACTCTCAAGCTCATGTCTTCAGGAGGTTAACAGAGGTAGAGGACAATATACATTAGCAGACTCTATAGGGACATCCCTGTTTTACAATGAAAAGAAAAATTATAACCAAGGATAGACATGAAATGGCAACATCCTACCCAAGAAAATTTTCTGCTATTTGTAGTGTGATTTCGGCTGATCTCCAACTTTCAACTTCTGGGAGGAAAAAATAAATACAGTGGAATGAAATTTGAAATCAAAGAGAAGACTGTTACCATCCATCAGTGAGCACACAGCTGTGTGCACCGAAATAAGTCAGTAATTTAAAAAGAACCCTTCGAAAATAAGAAGTGTTTTGCACTTATTCCTAGTCATAAACAACCACACAAAACCTTACTTTTTGGAACTATTCCAATTGAAACTACACACTGAATTAAATTCACACAGTATTAAGTTTCTTTATGTAAAAAATCTTTATACATAGTAATAAAAAAAGATAGAGGCAAGATGCATCAAACAGAAGTCAGCTGGTTGTTCTCTGATCCTACAGAATCTGCCAAGGATCTGCAAGAAGAGCGGGAGACTGTCTGTCTCAAACATCTTCACCTTTTGCTTGTGGTAAGGATTGTTCTGTCTAAGCATCCAGGATGACAGATGCTGGCGATTGGTTTTGGCACTTACGCAGGCAAACTGAGCTTCTTTCCTTTGAGTACTAAGAGATAAAAAAATAAGGTGTTATTACACCTACACATGCATCCAAAAGCATGATGGCTGTTATGGTGTAAAGAGTACAAATAGGAACCCAAGAAAAGCCCTGTGGATCAGACCCAAGGTCCATCCAGTCTAGCACTCCGCACACCAGCCGCCCACAGGGTCCCTCAAGCAGGACGGGTGCCAGACCTCCCCCCGCCCAGCTCCTCAGCAACTGGTGTGTGCAGACATGCAAGACCTCTGGTGGAGGCAGCAGCACATGGCCAGCAAGGCTAGTAGCTACTGACAGTCACACACACACACACACACGTGTGTGTGTGTCAATTTGTAAACAAGAAAAGGGTTTGATATTATTCATGGCAGATGAAAAACATGAAGAAAGAGCACTGTTCTGAGAGTGACACCAAGAAGATAAAATGGAAGGATAAAGATGGGTAAACATAGATTATTTTCATTCTTTCTTGTTTAAAGAGCGATCCAGTTACATAAAAGCTCATCACAAACATAGTAAACCTATATTTATGGTCTCATAAAAATGAAGTGACCTGCCAATCATATCGGGGCATTCATTTGTAATGTACTGCCATGACAGTGGCAGCTTGACATAGGTAACGAGTACTATCTACTGTTCCCTAAATTCATAAAATCAAGTTATTAAGAAGTTACATCAGGTGCACCCCCTTGTGTTATAAAATATTGCACTATGCTGTAAATTAACATGTTTTCAGTGATGAGATTTGCACCATTGTTTAAAAATATAGGTGAAGAACTAACAATGACACACTTGGTTTCATTGAATGGTTTAAATCAGGCTCTTGGCTATTTACACTATGACACAAGTCAATAATTCAAATGTCCTTGATTTGAATTCATCCACCCCAAAAGGAACATTCTGTGCAAATTAAGGTGCTTGTAAGAGCAATGAGGTTATTTAAAAACAGCTTGTAGCAGTAGGGACAAATATACTTGGTGTCTGAACCCAGCCCCGTATCAATCAAGCCTGGCGACCCTGGGCTCCCACGCTGGCTCTCCTTCTGGGTCACAATTCCCTTGCTTTTGCTGGGTGCCCTGTTTGCAGTATTATTAAGCTGCAAGCGCTTGTTGCAAACCAGAAAAGAAAATCAAGCACAAGCCATCTCTGGCCTAATTCAGGGAGGAAGAGCAGGTAGGAAGCAACCCATGAGCATTTCAAGGCTTGCTAAAACTTAAGACAGCACTAATGTCAAAGATTTGCAGTTCTCATACATAACCAGATTGTGAGTTAGTGAACCAGATGTCACGTGACTAGGACTGGGAGAAAGCCAGATATAAAGCTCCACTGAGCCATAAAGTTCAGTCTAATCTACCTAACAGAATTGTTGTAATGATAATTTTGGGAGGGCAGGAACTATCCTCAGGGCCACTTGGAGTTAATCCAAAGGGTTTATCTGCTCTATTGTTATACTAGATGTCAATCTGAGGAATTTCAAGCCCAGTAATTGGTTAATATTCAAAAGACTTTAATTGTCTGGACCTGTCTGAGTCTCAGTCCAACACAGCTGCTTGAGACCAATAATGAAACATTTATGCTATAAAATATTACATCCTCAATTTTTAAACTATATCCACAGACTATATCCATGGACTAACTCTACATGAGAATTGCATCCTAGGAAGCAATCATACTGGGCTAACCAGTCACATTTTCCCAAGTTTTCTGTACAGGAAGACATTCCAAAGCATAATCATTTGCTATAGCAGGTAATTTGTGCTTGGGTGCTCCAAGCAATCCCTGTGCCTACTCCATTCCTTTCCACAGGAAATAGGCAAATGACAAGCTGCGTATTACTCCACCCACTTGTCCTCCTGGTGTTAGAATTTTTGCCATGCTTGTATGAATATCACAGGGCTGAAATCTTGAGCAAAATAAAAATTCAACATGAAGAAGCCAAGTCATGGACACTTATGCACCATAAGGCTTTTCAGCATTTGCTTAAAATGCAAATTTTGTTTTGAATGCCCACGTTATATATGATGTAAATTTTGCAATTTAACAATTAACTGGAGGGGGTAAGAAGGCTTCAACATACCTGGATGCATCAGGAGCACAAAGTTAAGGGATAATACAATGTGTAAGTACTTGAAACAAGTCGTATATATTTCTGAACAATTGTGACAGCCAGAAACTTCCTTCTTAAAAAAAAACAAAACAAAACTCCCCCAAACTAATAATGAAGATTCTCAGGATTCCATAAAATTATCTGACAAAAACTAAATACCACCTATTACAGCGCACCTACATTTACACATAATTAGGTGGCCTATGATCATAGGCACAAACACCCCAACATAAAACTGTAAGTGGCATATATCCAGAATGCCAGAAGTTGCTAAAGGATGAATTTAGCAACTTCCCCAGAAGATTAGAGTTACAGTTTCAAATCCTTGTTGCAATATCCTCCTTCACTATTTCTTGGTCTCAGTGTAACATGATGCAGGTGCGTTTAAAAATTGCCTGCAGTGCACACACCCACCCCCCACAGAAATACATAGGGGGAAGCCAATGAAATAAAGGAGTCAGGAAAATGTCTCAGGAATGGTTTTGATACCCCAAAGTCCATGAAGATCACTGATTTGTCATGACATGCAAGGACTGCACTACATCCAACCGAGTATGACGCGTGCTTCTGTTAGGAAACACCTGTGGCTTAATGGCAGCTAAGAAAAACAAAAAGAGGCAGGAAAGAATACAGGAAATGCCTCTGCCAACTTTTGCTTTGAGGCTGATGGTTTGTAGTCCTGAGGCACATGAAAAGGATCTAGAAAAACACACACAATTGTGTCTTACCTTTTGTAACATACAAATAAAAGAAGTCACAGTAGAGGATAGTCTGGACCACGCCAGCAACAACAGCTATAAGGTCAAAGAATCCCTCGAAGTAGTAGCGCCAAATCCAATTGATAAGGTACAAGGCACGGTACAGGCCCAAAAAGAAAAGATAGTGAGTCGTGATGGTCTCTGCTTCCCCAGTTTTACTAATCATAAAAAGTTGGGGAAGAATAGCAACTGACTCCAAGTAGATGGAGAAGGTCCACAAGATCTGCAAAAACCAAGAAGACATGACTGAGTGATCCCATCACTAACAGGTAGCCACATGCATTTGAAAAACATGATTTAGCAGTTTTATGCTGTTGCATGAACACATCAGATATCTGAGAAACTAAGCAAAAGAGAGTGTGAGGCAAGGAATTTGCAGAAGTACAGAGTTTTGTGCAATGCAGCACTTATGTTTATGATGTATCATGTCAATAGTACTACCTACCAGTAGTACATTACACCACTGAGTACTAAACATGCCAAATACAGAAGGATGGACAATACGGTCTCAGATCAATGCTGGTTATCATGTTTAGTAGCACTGTAAGGTAACTCATAGTTTTAAGATGCTGGAAACAGCAAGAACCTACAGTGTCCTCTTGGGTTTGTTAATAAACTTTGTGGAGAAACCAGTGAAGGATAAAAACCTGCAGGCTAACTTTTTAGCAATCAATATCTGTCAATATTTGCTAACAAATGAAAAAATCCAAAACCACCTTCAGTCTGGTAACTTGTTCAGAACCATCTTGTATGCAATGATTATGTCAAACTATCTTCAGTTATGAAGTTACAATGAAATCATGTTGGTGCCGTAATTTTAATCCAGGGGAGAAATTTATGGTGTTTTAGAGCAGTAATTTCCCCAGGGGGAGTACCTGTACAGAATTTTTGTCCATGTTGTAAGTGTAATATCCTGAAATAATTTGTACATGATCTATTTTATTATAAGTATTTTTATCCCACCTCACCATTAAAAGAAATGTTAAAAATGCTTAGCATTTATACTTGTTACACAGTATTTTTGTTTAGTGATGGTTACTTTTTACACAATGACTTACACTGGTTTTTTTCCATTTTTTATATAAATAAATGAAACAAGTGGGAGAAAATCCCATACATCAACCTGAGCCCTTAAAGATAAAATGAACAAACAAGAGAGGCATGTACCCATGCATGATAGATCTTATGCATATCATGGATCAAATATAAGATGCATATTACTGAATTTTCCATTTCCCCTACTATCTTTTTAAAGAAAGCACAATATTAAGAATTGTAGTTCTTCATATATACTCTAGATGGCACCAAACACTTCCTAGCTGCTCTTTTAAGGATCCTAAATTACAGAAAATGAAGGCACAAGCACCAGATCCCTGTCTCCTTGGAGCAAGCCTCCCTCCCTCCATGAACTGAATGTTCTGATCATTTGAAAACCACAATCCTGTAAAATTTACCTGGGAGTAAGTTTCACTCGTTCAAGAGGTCTTATTTCTGAGTAGACATAGAAATGCAATGTATGTCTGCTAAAAATAGTTATAATTATGTCTCTGCATTTTCCACAGAGACTTATAAAGCAGACCCACCAACATATTCTTTGAACGAGGGCTGTCCTCACTAGTTCTAATCCCTGCACCTCTTTAAAATAATGATATGGGGAAGGGGAAGATACAAGTGCTGAATCTGCCCACCGCCAATGTAAAAAAAAAAAGCTGTCCACCCCCTCCACATAACTCAGTACAACTCTATAAACATAAACATTTTGCCTTGAATGAAACAAGTTCTTTTCATGTAATTTCCGAACGCACAAGCCTCACGAAGATACTAACCTCTAGAGGAGAGAAGTCATGATTAACAAGAAAAGACAGCCCGCCAACTGGAACCACGAGGAACTCCACTCTGAATGTATCGTGGTTGCCATCATAGGTAGCCTTAAATTTCATGTAGATCAGGTAGACTGTAGCATACGAGCAAGCGATGTAGATAAGCTGAAAGGAAGAGACATTCTCTCAGATGCACTCAAGCTTTTAATCTGTGTTTCCATCCTAAAAACACTGTGCATATACAATACGGGACAAAAGACCTTTTTATTTAAACGTCGTTTTAATTGTTAATATTATTTATTGATTCTACATCTTTGGCCAGGACGTCTCCAATTATATTGTTTTTATATTGTTGTTATGCTGTCATTTATTGTTGTGAGCCGCCTCAAGGCTTCGGCGAATGGGGCAGCATAGAAGCTTTCTATCTATCTATCTATCTATCTATCTATCTATCTATCTATCTATCTATCTGAATGAATGAATGAATGAATGAATGAATGAATGAATGAATGAATGAATGGGACTTTGTTGATTATTCAAACAAGTTTCTCGTTCCCATTCGCTCAGTTACATTCATCAGCTTGCTGCACTGTCCACTTAAAAGACTTATAAACTGAATACAGTAGACTCTGGACTATCCAGCTCACGACTATCTGGCCTAGTTAAAAAATAACTCTCAATGAACAGTAAAATAAGTTTAAATAATTTTTGCAAGAATTAAGCCTGTGTTTTACATTAATGTTTTGTTTATTTTAAAAGTGTATGTATTCATACTGTACAGTGTACATCATTTTACGTTTCCTGCAATTAAGTTAGACATTATAAAATTTATCTTAAAATGTGTACAATATTTTTTCTTTGGACTTCTTTTCTGTAATAAATTTTTAAAATGTACAGTACAGTACATTACAAACATTTATAAAGTACTGGCCTGTACTAAGAGGTCAGAAAATATGAGTAAGAGCGGCTTTTGGTATAAAAAGGGTGTTTTTAATGGTATGGGTGGGGTAGAAAGTGAGCATTTATAGAACTCTGGCCTATCTGGCTTTTTTGTTATCCGGCCCGCCCTTCTGCCACATTAGGCTGGACAGTTGGGAGTCTACGGTACCCATTTTCTTCTTATGTTATCTGCAGTATAAAGAGGCAGTGTTTTAAGACTTCAAAACCAGTTTACTGATCGATTTAAGTTTTTTTCAGAAGATTAAAGAAGAAATCAATCTCAAAATTCCATGCTCTGAAATCAACACAATCTTTCAGATTCTAATGCTGCAATTGCAAATAGACAGACTTAGTTGTAAACACCCCACTGATTCCTCCCCCGCAGCCTTGGTGCCAGTGCAGACATCACTGCAGTAGCCTTAGATGACTGCCAGAAAGGAGCTGCTGCATCTTCCAACAACTCAAATTTTAATTTAACTATCAGAATTTTCTTTAATAATTTGTTAAACTGCAGCCCTAATAAGCATTTATAGTAGCAGTTTGAAGTTTTCAAAGCGCAAAGGATCACAATCCTTAAACCCATTTTATAAGGTACATAAGTATTGTCATCCCCATATTGCAGATAGAAGACTGAGAAATAAGGCAAATCGGGAACTTCTTGATTCACTGGTCAGTGTTAGGCAGTTTGCTACATGTCTCCAAAACCTTACACCTTCAGCTGGGCACCTTCTGTAGAGACCCCTGCATCCTGGCCGCACCATGGCTTGCTCTCAAGTAAGACGAATAGCAAAGTCCTTATGGATCCAAGATTTAGTCACAGAAGGCTAACTTATATCCCACTGATTACAGTGGGTCTACCAGAAATAGAACTAAACCTGGATCCAATCCACAGTGTGCATCAATAGTTACACGACCTAATATCTAGAATATAAAAGAGATGAAGAAGAATGGCAGTGGTGCCTGATAATGAGTCAAGCATGACAATGACATTAAAGGCCCACTCTCCAGGGATAAGACTGCAGTGCTTGTGGGTCGCTCTTCTGACTGCTGCTCTTTCTGACCACAGGAAGGAACAGCAACCCATCACTATCTGGCAATGGGATCCCAGGGGCCCCAGGCACCTTGAGCCCAGGGGACACGCAGCAAGATGGTCCTCAGCTCCTGGTGGCCCAAGGTTGCAAGTGTGTTTAAATCACAGTCTGAATCATGCAGACAATTCTGCTTCAGTGCAAACAGTGGTACTGACAGTGGTACCAACTGATAGTGGAGTGGCTGCACGGTGGCCATACAAGATAATTCAAGAAATGAGTTTCCAGACTATTCTCCGGCCTGCATCAAACTTTGGAAAAAAAAAGTCACCTTAAGGAAACTGTCTTTCCTTGAATTCATGACACCAACTTAAATGGGAGGAGAGTGGAGAAAGGCTGAATGATTTGCTCAAGGTCATATAAACAATGCCAGAGTCAGAATCCAGGTCACCACCGAGCCTGTTAAACTACAGTAACCTCAGCTTGTGGCTCTCAGCTCACCTCTTTAAGTGCACTCTCAGGAAAGTTAAGTGCTTTACCAAGCAGACAGACTGGGCAACATGAATCACCATCTCTGGACTGGCACAGAAGTAGCTAGCCAGACACAGAAAATTCCCTAGAAAGCAGTGCTCAGGGTGCCAACAATAACACCAGTGAAAAACAGTGGGAAGCAACCAGATGGACTGCAAGGTAAAAACCTCCCATCTCAGAATTCTGCACTGCACTTTTCATATGAAAGTGAAATTCTGCTGCTAAAATACTATCAGACTAGTTCAATAGTGAATAAAAAAATAGATGAAGAAAAAGATACATCTAACATATTGTAACATGTTGATTACTGGGGTAAAGGGATACGGGTTGAGTAAAGTTTTGGGTAAGTGGGCGTCAAAATATTCCTACGAACTGAAAAATCGATGGAGCTCCTATAGATTTTCCAGCTTTCACAGTCAAGTCAGGAGGCTTCATTGACCCCAGAATTTCAGTGCTCAATCTGAAGTTCAGAAAAATTTAGGTTGGCCTATCAGGGGGCTGTATTCCTGAAAGGCACACATGGAAACAACGAAGTTATCCAACGAAGTTATCGCAATCTACTTTGCCAGGGAATCTGGCAACAGGAACCGTCACCAAGAACAGCAGCAGGTGGAGAAAACTCCGCATAAACTGTCTCTCCCTCTCTCTGGGAATTTCCACAGTGATAGCTCAAGTGAAAGAACACCAAATGCCTGCACCCCCACCACACACACACTGTGCAAGTGCGATTATCCACTTTTGTTCATCTCTTTTACTTCCCAATCTGCATCTCTCTTTTGTTTGCACACGCCTGCAAAAACACATATACGGACACAAGTGTCGGTCCCCGTCAGGAGGAGGAAGGTTCTAGTAAGAGGGAGCTGTGCAGCTCCACAGCATCTTGGACTGCCCTTGCAGACCTCGCATCTTTACCTCTTGCTGTCTGAATGGTGATCCTACTTAACCAAAGCATTATCAGAGACTCATTCTTCTCAGAGAAACTGTAGGGCCATATTTCCCTAATTATGCAGATTATACAACTGGCAGGTGGTAAGTTCTTTGTGACTTAAACATAGCTACATAGAGGTTTCACAGAAATTAACTTCCAATAAATGCATTTCATTTTGAAGTGTGTTATCTTATTTTATTTTTTTTTAAAAAAGAGAACTAAACTAAGCCAGTCTTTTGGTGGACCAAATTAAGCCTAGAATCAAGTCAAAAGACCGGCTCTTATCCAAGGGTTGACAAACTCTGGGGAGCCATTTTCCTTCTTAATTTTCTCTGAACTATGACCATTAGGTTTCAATGACTAGACAGGAAACATTGACTTTTGTAAGTATAAATAGCTTGCTACTGCTGTTGTTAATTAATCATGCTGTTTTGTGGGGCCCCCAGTAGTCTCCCAAACAGAGGGTGGCTCACGTCTATAGCTGCATAGGTCTCGCGCCTCTGCAGAAAGAGGCACTGGGACTGCTTTTTACCAGGCCCTAATATTAGTAAAGCACTAGACAAAACAGTCAACATCATCATTACACTCAGCCCCCAAATTATATACAGATAAATGTGTTATAGTACTGTCAATGCACACTTAAGACCCCCTAACATTTAATAGCTTGGAACCGTATCAAGCACTCCAGTTCTCCTTGGCACTAACCTAGCAAACAGAAAGAAAGGCAAATAGCCCAGAGAAGAGGGAATAACCCACTGACTCTGCCTGACCTGTGGAAGGCCTGGTGGAGAGCAATCTTGCCTTCCCACTCCAAAACGGTCCTGCACCCCTGCTCTAGTCCAACGAACTTGCAGCTCTCTTGTCTGACTGCCTACAGGTGTAAAACTGCCTTTCAATCCTCAAAACAGACCACCTGGAACCCAGTATTGAGAAAGGGTGTGACTCCAGGTTGGCTTGCTTTCACATGGGACTTGGTAAGAAGGAGCCATGAACGGTTATGAGAATCCAATGGAGGTAGTGCTGTTTCAGCATACCAGGCATCCGTATTACGGAAGTACAGATTCCACTGCCAGAAGGAACCCCGATCCCATTTTAAAAGTTGGTTATTATTATTCTAATGTATATATTTTAATTTTATTTAGGTGGTTCCTAATTTATTGTTGTAAGCCGCCCCGAGGCTTTGGCGAATGGGGCGGCATAAAAATGTTTTAATAAATAAATAATAAAAAATAAATAGCCTCTATGAATTTGGACAGAAGGGAGCTCAGAAGCAAGCTCCAAGAGTCAGAATGCAGAATTGCAATACAGCTTCTGACAACTTGAGCTTTCTCCCCGCCTACAGTCCTCCTTGCACTTCCCTCAGACTTTATCCTCCCCCATCACAATACTTCCTCCAGTTCTTGCAAAAGTCTAGGAAACACAGAGCAACATTTGCAACTTAGTAAGAACCCAAATGCAGAATGTGGATTTTTCTTATTGGCACCCACAAAATGAGATCTGAGGAAAGCCTCACGTGAGCTAGGGTGTCCTCAGAAAGAAGAGACACCGAAGACTTCATATAGGCAGCTAGCTTGTAGAAGAACAACACTGCAAGCAGGGATATTCAAGAACATATTCATGGCAGTAGCAAAACTGGAAACAGCAGAGCATCAGAACACCAGTGTTGCAACAACCAGGGCAATAAAAACAAAGAGTCTCAGGAGCCTTCTCCAAATGACTTCAACCTTTCCTGCCAAACAGTTCATCCATGTGTAAAATGGAGAAAACAATATTCTAGCAGTGAAACTCAAAATACAGGCTCAAAACACTACTGATGACTAACAGCAGAAAAGCCATTTACCGCCACATTTTTAACCTTGTTCCCTAATATTGCATTTTATTCTGTACCACTGCTTATACCTTTGTGCGGATTCAGTTGTAATTGTTGTGGCTTTATTGTCTTGTTCTTTCATTTTTGTGTGTTTAATTTCTGTCAACTGCCCAGAGAGCCTTGGCTACTGGGTTGTATAAAAAAGAAACAGAGCTGTAAGACACTAATTCTCTTTAATCAGCACAAATTTTAACAAATGGAGGAGGCAGTCTATTGGCAGATGTATTTTTGAACCTTTACTCCAGTTACCATGGAAGCTAATTCCTTAAAATGAACATGAGGGGAGAAAAATAATTGCCCATCTTATCCATTACGCCATACCTTCATAGAAGTGTTATACAATGAAATGAATGAAGTGAAGAGATCCAGGTAACGAGTAGTGAAGACCAGTCCAAACAGAAGCTGGCTTTTCCCAGATATACCTAAAGCAATAGAGAAAGCAATATGAAGAAAGGCCTTTAAAACTCACAAGTGTATAAACCCCCTTAATCCAAAATGCACAGATGCCCGGAGTCACTGGTTGTCCCTATGCCAAAGGGCTCGCACAGCACAATAATCAAACTCAACAGCATCTCACCACCACAGTGACAATGTTTGCAGAACACCCCCGTGCATGAGGGTGTGCTCACACACAATCTTTTTTACGGGCATTCTCAATAAGCCAGACTAGCAGTTGTATTCAGGACCACCGGTTGACTTCATTGTCTTCTTAACAGCCAACACATGGGGCAGTATGTGAAAGGCTTCACAATTATGGCTCAGCTTCTGTATTTGTCATTAGTTGCACTGGTCAACAAAAGCACAGACAAGTGCAAGAGAACAATGAACACAGCTGAGGATTTTTTTTTAACTCAAGTGTTACTACAGCTTAACTGCTTTTCAGTTTAATATTTTTAAAAAGTGGGTTGCCTCTTTATCATGTGGTAAGATTTCTCTGGAAAACTTCTGGGTTTGTTACATCCATGTTTTATTTTCACTTTCATTACTGGAGTCATTGCTGGTCCCCAGAATAAGCCAGACAGAAAAGGAATTGTCTATCAGGTCTGCTAATACATGGCAGGAAAAAGAAGTACTTCCACCAGTAAATTAAAGCTCTTTCCATCTCCCCCACTTTTTTATTTCGGTAAAAAGAGAAGAGAAAGGAATGGAAGGAGGCCAAGGTAGATGGGTTGGCATTTCTAGTCATCAGCCAAATCTAGGAAGATATTATGCTGTGCTGTCTGCCAGATTCAAAATAGGCCTGAATGATAACAACCTCGCAGTCTTGTCCTACTGATAGTCCAAGGACCACTAACTCGCAGACTGCCTTGCAGACTGTACCTGTTGCACAAATAGGTGTGCTGCAACGGGATCACTATCGATCAAGGCTGGCCACCAGCCAAAAGGTTCAGGAAGGATCTCTTCCCTACTACAGGCTGTGCAAGTTTTGTCCACCTCAAAATTAGGGTTTTGCCAGGTTTCAGATGACACAAATGCTGTTTCAGCCAGTACTTTTTGCAGAGATAAGTTTTAGCCACCTAAACGAGTCCCATGGCTGGGAAAGGTTGAAATCTTCTCTTTCAGGAGTGTGGTTAATGGTAGCAGATCTATGTCTGCCTCTGTTATTCCCTTCCACTGAATCCCCTACTTGGCAGGCAAAGCTATGGCTTCGGTCTTCTAGGAAAACTGTTCCAATATTCAATAAACATGCAGCTTATTTCCATCCCAGCCCTTTCCCCCATTAGACTTCCATAAGGAGTTATCCAGTCTGGGCAAGGCCCAGTAACTCTGTGAGAAATGACTGTAGAGACAGCCTCTAAACTTTAAGTCACTAACAGTTCACTGACTTCCAAGGACTCATCTACACTGGGAGGCCCTCAAGCAGGACTCAATGAACGATGAGAAAACATCAGACCTCAATTTTCAGCACATTTACATACATCCATTTCCCACTTTACAACTGAAGCTTTTGACAGGCAAACCATTAAAAATGACCTTCCCACTACAGGAAGTTTGCAGGTCACATTTTTGTAAAGAGTACGCCTCACTGCGTGCAAAATAGGAGCTGATTACAATACATGCTTCATTACATTATTATAATGTTGTCATGTGCCCGATTCATACAGCTCAATGTGAACAAAGCACTCAAGTAATAGATGTTGCATGTTTCAGCATAAAAATAAAAGCACGTACTCATATGACTAAACCTATTTTTTCATAGTATCAGTTTGAAGGAAAGGACTATTTATATATCACCTTTCTGCTAATACAATCAATGTAGATTAGAGTTTAAAATAATATCATATAACGTAACAGGCATGACACAAAGGGGAAAAGGAAGAACAAACAAATTCAGGTGCCACTTTTTATATAGACCTGGTTCACACATACTATTATTCCAGTTTATTTCACTTGCCTGATCCAAGCTTTATGGTTTGTTTTTACCAATACCTTGTTTCCCTCCTTCCCCACTCTTTACCTCTCAGTATTCCAAAAGCCTCTGCAGCATTATAGTACTGGCATGTAGAATGACCAGTTTTTATTTTCTGCCACTCTTGTCAGCAGGTACCATAGGCTAGTAAAGCGTCTGAATTCAAACTTAATGCCAACACATGGTTTAAATAGTTCAAGAGCCAACAGCAGATGACAGGTTGTTTTCTTGAGTTGTTGATGGTTAACAACCCATATAGCTAAGCTTTAGCACAGGGCTTACATGTAATTCAGCAAGAACACACAGGGTTGTTTTTACATGTGAACAAAGTCCGTGGGAGATGGTTCAAAGATGGCAGACATCAAATGGCAAGTGATCCTAAGCTGAAAGAAGCAGACTTTTCCATTTCATCCCTTCCTCTAATGCAGGAGGGTATAGAAGAGAGATCTTCAGATACTTTGAACTCTGACATCCAGAAGTGTTTGCCAACAAGATCAATGGTCAGAAATGCTGAGCATTTTAGTTCAAAGCATCTTGAGGCCCACCTTCTGTCCAAGCTACTGTAAGGCAGCCTGAGGAATGCCAGGCAATGGAGACATGAAAGGTTGACTGTCCAGTATCAAGAAAGACATGCAAGCGTGTTTGATGACAGCAGCAGAAGATTTATGCCAAGATCCCTTTATATCTTGAAATTATCCATACTGCCACCTTGCTTAAGCATGCTCCTTCATATCGATCTTTTATTCCACAAGATGCTTGGCAATTCATACAATTTTTTGTATGATCTGCTTTTATGTGTTCCCTCATTACAAGTCTATTCAAAGTAGAAACAGTAAATTAAAGGAAACTAGACTATAATTATGGTCAATTAAAATATATTTCTCTCTTAACCACTTTCCTACAAAATGTCAGTGTCATATATTGCCCCGTCTCATCCTGCAGCAATTATGTTCATTGAGTTAATGCTTCCTACTTCAAAAAGGCAATTTGCATTAAAAGTTTTGAAGACTGCATAACTAAGACTAAGAGAATGTCTCAGTTTTGATCATGCATTTTTCAATTCAAACTTTGCTAGTTGCCAGCAGCTTTAAGTTCTCCATAATTCGGTCTATAAGCAATGTAACTGTTTCATATTTGCCATACTGACCACGCTGGTACTGAACTACAAACTATGCTTAATACACCCAATTTTGAGGTGGCCAATAGTGTTAAGAATAACCCCAAAAGAGCCATTTTCTAGCCAGTAACGTTCTTAAGCAATTAACACAATTAACTTAAGATATTTGCATCAATTTATGAAATAAAAAGGGCATCTTCCCCTCCTCTAAACACATTGCCATACACACCCTGACAACTTCCACTAACCTTCCATCTCTGTTACTATTTTTACCCCAGCCAAGGGACCTCACTTTAAATTTGATAATACTTGGGAAGAAACAAAGCATCTGTATCAAAGATGATGCCTATTGAATACAGTGATGAAATATGGATGTAGAACACAAACATTCTAACGAAGGCCTACCCTGCCTTATCTGTTGCTGTATGGGTCTCCTGAATAGGCCAAGGGATGCTCCATGAGCCTCCAAAATTGACTGGGACAGATCAATTATTTTCCCCAGGCAAAAAAAACAAAAACAGTGCCTCTTGTTCCTCTCTCCTACCACTGCAGAGTCTGTCAGTAAGCATGCAAGCTTCCCCCTCTCTTCCTCAAAACAAAGCTGCTTCAGTAAGACAAATACTCTCCTTCTCACAGTAAAAGCTGCCCTTATTTACAGAATGTCTGGAGAAGCAGCTTCATCACAATTATTTCTGGTGTTTTTTGTGAGAAGTTAAAAGTCAGAAGGCCTTGTCACAGCTTCAAGAAACTATCCTGGGAAAATTCATAACACCTGTTGAACCTTAGTAACCTCTTTGTCATTCTCCTAATAGTGCTCATCCAATGCAGTCACCATGGTCCTAAGGTACAGTAATAGTCAAAAAAAGTCCCCCTCTGATGACCCTGCTGGGTCTGTTATTTTAGGGTAGTCACCTCTAAATTAGAAACCAGATGGCGTTGGCCTGCATCTCCCATCAGCCACTGTCAGCTCAGCCAATGCTGAAGTATAGAAGATTCAGTCCAACATAATCTGGAGGGCTTCAGATTATTCTCTCGCCTGACGGCACAAGGAGCTAGTGCAATAAGCCATTCACAACTGCCCAGGTATCACTCATTCCTAATGGGGCTTTTGAGAATTAACAGATAAACAAAGTATAGATTATGCTGTATGCATGAAGATAAGAAAAGCAAATGAAACGAAGTTACTGGGTAACATGGATGTATGAAATGCCATTAAAGTGGATGCCATGATAGCAGTACCTTGATTCTACGTGCGCTTATTCAGAAATTAAGTCCCACTGAGATTGCTGTGTTTGCTTCTCAGTATGCATTCATATGATGGCAGCCAGATTACAATTCCATGTGCACTTCCTACGTAAAGCCCAGTAAAATCTACAGGCCTTGCTTCTGCATATAACTGACAAAGGATCAAATTCTAGGGATAAGCACTAATTTTTGCAAACATACAGCCTATCTGAATTTACATACTCAAAGATAATTATAGTCTGACATAGTGAGAGGAGCCACTGAGTCTTCCAGTTCTGGTCACTCATCGACAATAACTCAAGTCTTGTAGCTTTAAAATCAGCTTTGGTAAAATATGCCGACAGGATTCTCTCCTCATCCAGTTCCCTGTTCAAAAGCTGTTTTGCTTGATCACAGGAGTACAGATAGAACTGCTAGCACAACATCGGTCTAGGATAATGTTTAGACACAAAGACCCGATCCAAAGTGACATTGGCACAGGATAGACGAGAAATAAATATCTAAATAAATGTATTGAGCAGCTGTATTGAAAAGAGAAAATAAATGGGGGCTCAAAAGCACAACAGAAAACAAGTTCTCATTTCTGGAAGAAATTGCTAACAATGAAACCTGTCTCAAAGTAAGGTATTAAATAACAGCCCTGATGGCATTAAAATGTTGCTTTGCAGCATGTAACAAGTATTTCTTCAGGTGAACAATGGGAAATGTATTTTTCTGTTGAGAAAGTGGCTCAACAATGCAGCAAGAATACATTTCTCTTGGAGCAGCTTTATTCACCACACCTACTGCTAGCTGCCACGTCAGACTAGGCCAGGAATCCCAATTGAGAGCCTATTCTCCTCAACCTTGATTCAATCATTTGCTTCCAATTTTCAACAGCAGTTGGCAATGCAAGTAAAAGAGCTTGCACAGTACTGATATCAAGTGGGATTGTAGTTTAAGCCTTTCAGAGAAAAACAAATAAGAGAGTCTATCGTTAAAATTTAAAAACAGATGATCAAACAACTCAGAAGCACAGCTTTGGGGCTTACAAAGTCTGCATGAAAACCTGACCTCACTGATATTTCTGCTCAAACAGCAAAGTCCATTCGTTCTATTTATGCACATTCGTTCCAAAAAGAAAAAGATGCATGCACTGTAGGGTGAAGAGGTAAAACATTCATGGTTACTGCAGTTCCCTTACTGCAGACAGATTTTGCTGGGACTACCCCAAGAATATCTGCCTACCAGATTTGTCAGTTCACTTATATTCCTGCATTCTTTTAGAATAAAGGGACACCTTTATTTGACCTGGATATTCCTAGTTATTAAGGAATTATCAAATAAGATTGCCTAAATTTTGACCACTTCCCAGTCCCCTTCAATTTCATCTGCACTGTCAGATCTCTGTATGTAGGATACTATTATCACAAATCCTTAAAACAAATTCCTTCACTTAGATCATTCCTTGCAGTACTTGGGGGCCAAAATTCTACTGGAGTTTCCAAGCCCTATCCCACTCCTCTTTATGCATGAGTGCAAAACAATCCTTTCAATACCATCTTTCAAGAGCTGGCAGTTCCTTATCTTTTAAAGGAGTACAAGTCAACGTTAGAAAGAGTTTCAGTTATTTATAAGACTGACCTATTCTCCCCTACTTTTAAGGGCATGAACCCTAATCCCCAACCAGCTTCTGTCTCTTCCAATATTGCACAGATTTCAAATGCAATACCACCACACATTTTAAAAATAAGAGGGCACAGAGAAACTATTTATTTTATTCAATTACTTATTTAATAATTGAATTATTTAATTCAACACAGAGCAGCACACCTGGTGCCTACCCTTTTCTCCTTACAATAATCCTGAGAAGGAGCATTAAGCTGTGAAGGACCCAGTTGAGAGAGGTTCACAGCCACCTGATCAACTGAGAAGAAACTTGAACCCGTGTCTGAAGCTAACACTCTACAACCATACTGGACCCCCACATAGCTCCAAAGCTCCCCTTAGCAGAGGCCCCTTACTTCCTGAAAAATCCCATAGGATCCAAGTGAGTCATCTCCCAACCCTTCAGAAGAAGGGGCACAGTGGGATTACCCTTCTTAGATTAGCACCCCAGAATTCCTTCTCTCAGAAGCTTCTAATTCCACACAGCATCCCAAGGGCTTACCACTGGTCAATCTAAACAAATCCATCACCACCACCAAGAACCTCTCCCACAGCTGAATGAAAAGCTGCCAAACAACCAGAGATATGGTGGCTGGAGAGGAGAACCCTCCACCTCCGTCACCCCCCCATTCCAGTGTTCAACAGATTTGCCCACTCTCAGTTATTAGAACATTGGACTAGGACTTCAGAGACCGGGATTCAAGTCCCCACTCAGCCATGAAGCTGCTAGTCATTTTAGATCAGGCACAGCCTCTCAGTCTAACCTACCACACAGGGCTGTTGTGAAAATACAGAGAAAAGTAAGATACCTTGAGTTCTTTGCAGGAAAGAGATATAAATAAATAAGACATGAAGACTCCAACACATGAAAATTGATGGGAGCCATCACATCACTTTACAAATCAATAAGCCCCCCAAGCCAAATCCTCACCTCCCAATGAAGCTATAGAAGGCAAACTCCACACCTGCAATAAATGGGGAATCATCATCCCATCCCTGGAGAAATTATCATTCCAAAACTGTCCCCGAGCTGAATGCAAAGTCCAGTTCTGCACCGAAGGAGGGAAATTATCTCAAAAGCAGGAGCTCCCCCCAACCCCCCTTTCTCTCCCCCAACTTCCTCGAGACTGAAAGCAAAGCAAGTCCCACGGCAGGTGAGGACCCTCCCCCTGCGCACACCTTCAAAGTGCCCAAAAACAAAGCCCCCGCCCCGCAGAAGGCGGCCGGGGATTCACCCCCAAATCCCCGCGGCGGACAGGCACCGGGGGGGGAAGCCCTCACAATAAAATAGCGGGTGGCCTGAGGTAAGCAAAAAGCGCGGGGGCCAGCGCGGGGCAGCCCAGGCTGAGCCCGGCCCGCGGGCCGCTTCCCGGGAGGAGGAGGCCGGCCGGTCCCCTCACGGGCGCCCCTCGCCTCGCCTCGCCTCGCCCTCCAGCCCGACGCACCGGCGCACGAGCGGGTCTTCCAGATCTTGAGCAGCAGGATGATGATGGCCGCCAGGTGGGAGAGGTCCCCGGTGAGGCGGAAAATGTTCATGGCGCCGGCGGAGGAGAGAGGAGCGGAGAGGAGCCGGGGACCGAACCGAAAATGGCGAGAGCTCAGCGGGCACCGAGCGACGTGGCCCGGGGACGTGGCTAGAAACAGCCAGCGCGCGCGCGGTGCACGCCGGGAGGGAAAAGCGGGCGCGGGGCGGGGCGAGGCAGCCCGCTCTGAGAACGCCGAGAGCGGGGAGAGGGGAGCCACGCCCCCTTTCCGCCTCCCTCGGAGGAGGGGCGGGGAACAGGGAAAGCCGAAGCGCGGGTGTCTTTTCTGCGCGTGCGCACAGGCTTCTGCCCTTCCTCGCCTTGGTGCCGGGAGTTAGAAGCGCGGTGCTGCTGCAGCTGCTGCGCCTGCGCGTTGTGAAGCGAGAGTTTTGGGCGGCTGGAGTCCAGCGTCTGTTAGGATTGCTTCATATGTGGGCGTGCACGTTGGTTTATTTTCCCTTTCTGGGGTTCTTTTCGGTCATTTTTGAGGGGCAGTTAGCAGCGTTGAATTCGATTGACTGGCCATGCGCATTAATTAATTGTATTTATATCCCGCTGTTCTTCCTTTCAAGGAAGTCAAGGCAGTTTGCATAAATTTCCTCCTCCTGCTCACAATAACCCTGTGAAGTAGGCTGTGACTGGCTCAAAGTCATCCAGTTGGCTCCATGACAGAGTCCCAGTCCAGGATTCTTAAGCCGCTGGCACTCTTACTCACACTGTTTTAATTGCCTTGACTTGGCATTTTCTTGTACGATGGGTGTAACCCTCCCCTACAAACACCCTTTTCCTGTGCAAAGATTCCACACAGCTTTTTTACTCTTCTGAGAAATATCCAGGGTTGACACCACTCGAGTCATCACCCTTGCAGATTCTTCAAATCCTTACCAAGACTTGTGCAAGTACAGCAAGAAGCATTTTTTTAAAAAGATTTTTTGCACATTTTTAAAGGGTTCGACAGCCACATATAACCTCTCCAACAGCTGATCGGGCACATTTCAGAGGCTCTTGGTGGTTGTCAATACTCAGCTGTGTTTTGCAATCTGCAGGAAAAATGTAAAGGGCAAAAAGTCTTCATGAGCCAAGCAGGATCACAGCAGAGAGGAGACAAGTCAGTCCTCCCACAATTTACCCTGTGAAACCATGAGAGAACTGCAGGAGGAGGAGGCATGGAGAAGGCCAGCAAGCCATGGTTAACCTGATCATTTGTTAGAATCACAGTGGATTGTTTGCACGGCTACTAACCCATCATAGCTTATTGCCCAAATGGGTTAGCATGATGAATGAATGCACCTTTTGCCTTACCCCAATCCAGCTAGGGAATAAAAGTAGAAAACATGGGCTTTAAAATGAAAACAATAATTCCTGAAAAAATCTATATAGGAAAATATTGCAGAGATTACTCTAGTTCCTGGAATATCTAAGATGCAAGTGTTCACACAAAATACCTTTTGAATAGGTCATTTTATTTTACCTTTGTCATTATGAACAAATAAGTCGTAGATCCAATCAAGGCAGAACTTGGAGATGATGTAATGGCACAAAACAACAACAAATTGGTCACTTTATGCATTTGCTGTATGCTGCTCTAGGTACAAAAGTTGACGTGTGGGATAGAAATGTATCATCCTCATGCTTATTTATTGCTAATAGCCATTGGTAGCTCTCTTCGTTTATTAGTCCAGTCTTGCTTCAAGGCTAGCTAAACTAGTTGCCCTCACCATGCTTTGGAGCAGCAAATTCCACAAATTAATGAAGCATTAAGTGAAGAAGTACTTCCTTTTATCTGTCCCAATCTGCTGTCACTCAGTTCTTGTGCTGTGACCATGAGTTTTATTAGCCCAATTATTTATTACAAGGAAGGAAGAAATGTTTCTCTTCCCAGTGCTTCATTTCCAGAACCTCAGTCATATGACCATATAAATCCACCGCCTTTGAGACGGCAGTGTAGCACAGATCTCTAGTGACATGAAAACACTCCAACCATCTCTCTCCTCTGCCTATTTTCAGCTGCTCAATGCATATTCTACAGCTATGTTGCAGCTCCTAGCAACAAGCCCAAGTGGCAATGGCAGATGAAAACCACATAAGGAGATCAGCAAAATTAGTTGTCATGGCACAATCTGGTTTCTTATATTCTGACTTGGGCAGGGTCACAGGGAGAGATGAAATAGGTCAAAAAGCATCATATTCTTAAAAAAAAAACACAGCCCAAAGTGACCCATTTTACTAAACAGACAAGCACACGTAACAGAAGTAGAGTTAGGCTACAGTAACATCTGCGTTCCATGGAGTTTGTCCCACTGGAATTAGTGGACCTTCTTCTGAGTAGATATCTATAGAACTGTGTTATTGCTGTCACCAGGTTACGTTCACCTGCTTTGTACAATCACCACTGCCTAACGTGGCTTATTTAAGCCGCAATAAGCAGCAGGGCCCATGGCTTGTTCAGAGTAACATTGTTGCCAATTACCACTGTTGTCTGAACCCAATGATGCTAGCAAACCAAGGTTTGTTCACCACAAGGAACCTACAGTTCACAATCCAACTACAAACCATGAGTTCTCTTCATGGGTTGTTCATGGCTAACAAAACATGGTTCATTAGTACACTTGGGTTCAGAAAACATTTCAATGGCAACCTATATTCAACCCATAATCGATCTCTGTGTGGACTATTCTGTGGTCTTAACCAAAGACAGGCAGTGCTCAAGCCTCAGTTTTGTCTGTTTATACCTGCTTGGACTCCCACCACCGTGTCTGTGTTCTTAAGTCAGTCCGTTTCTCAGTACTATCTCACATTTGGGGTTTGGCTCGTCCAAAAGCATCCCTTGGCTATCGATAACGCAGCTGTTGCCCCACTCTGTATGTGCATCCAAAATGGTACCATTTCCACACAAGCATCAGCCGTATTCAGGAAGACGCATCATGCCCACGTTCCAAAGAAGTGTGAACTGATTGTTAAGGTGGGAGGAAACAAGTGGGAAGGAAAAGGGCAGGGTTGGCACGCCAAACTGCATATGGCATCTGAGGTCTTGCTCTTTGCAATCCTATTGCTCATCCTACAGGTGTGGTATTGAAATTTTATCTGTATCCTTTTGTGCAAAAGAAGAGGAGGTGCATCATTTTGGACTTCCCTGCCCATAGAAACTGTTAGGATGTTGTGTGTTATACAGCACGTGACTTGGCTTTCCTTTTAGGCTGGGAAGATAAGCACTGTGTGGGTTTAGAGAAAGGAACATGAACAATGACTGTACTACAGTTAGGGAAAAGCTGAGCCTTTAACAGTCAGTTTCACCAGCACTTAAGAATTGCAGATCCCGAGTTCAAAAGAATAATACCTAGGATCAAAAGGAACTCAGTTTTAAGGTAAAATGGCAGCTTATAGACTGGTAAATAAATTAAGAAGTGATTTTCTGCACCTTTTTTTCTGGAACAGAAAAAAGAAGTTTTATTATCTACCATAACAGAAGAGAGACTGTGAGATACTTCAGCAATTTGAGTTTTGTTCATTTAAAAAAACAAATGCAAAAGAGGGATGACTAAAAAAAAAAAACTTTCTTAAAAAATCTACTTTCCCCCATTATACAGAAAAGAGGAACAGAGAAAAGTGGCGGTGCAGGGGCGGGGGGGAGAGAAAGGAAGCCTAGAAGCATTGATTTTAGGACAGCCTAAAACAACTTAATCCCCACATGGTATTGAAAAACGATGTTTGAAAAATGTCCCTTATAAACATATTCATTAATTTCAGTTCCACAAGTAAGAACTTTTGTCATCAGAAATGTGGGCAGGACTGTTTGGCAACATTTCTAGTATTTGCTGCATTTGCACTTCTGTACCACTTTGGCCTGCAAGTAAACATAAGCATGTCCCCCAAGTTAAAAAAAAATCTCCATGTCTGTGGAAACTTAGCAAGTCAGCATATAACTGTTCAGCCCAAAATGCTAGCTTTCCATATGCAAGGAGTTATTGATGTAAGAAAACACATCACCTGCAGTCCAGAGTCCAGAAGAGACTGTACTTCACACTGTTTTCTGCCTGTTAAAAATTGGTTTGCAAATTTATTTTAAAAAGCATGCAATTATAACAGCAGATGAAATTATTATCGAACATTTATTTAGGAGCAACTGTGAGCCAGGCACTGTATGGAATGCAGACATGATATCCTATGTATTTAGAGGTCTTCTAATCTAATTGGAGACGCAGTCCTATGCAAGTTTAGACCTACACTTCCCAGTAGGTGCTTTTTCTGTTGTGCACTAGGTGTCCCAATTCACCAAGATGGAAGCAGGCTTTTGAATTTCAACTAGACTTGAAATTACATTTGCAAAAAGGTACTATACACCCTATTCCCAAAATCTGCATACAACAAGCTGGATTATGCTCAGTTCCTAGGTTGAAACATACGAAGCTGCCTTAATGCAACAAACCTTTGGCTCATTTACTCCAGTAGCTTCTACACCTGACAACGATGCTTCTCCAAGGTTGCAGAGAGAGGTCTCTCCCAGCCCTACCTAGTGATGCTGGAGGATGGAACCCGTGGCACACTGCGAATCATGTGTTTGGCGCATGTAGGACATGTACCCCTTGCAGCACCATCCGCTTCAGAAGCACTGACTGAAAGTTTTCCGAGAGAACTGAAAACCTGATTTCAGGCTCATTTCCACTGCTGTGGGGAAGGCGCAGAGCACATACGCAACAGCCCATCGCTGTGCCGGCGTGCTTCTGGATCCAGGCCAGGGTGGGCAAAATTAGGGGCAAGTTGTGGTGAGGGGAGTGGTGATTGCAGAGGGGACTTGAGATCAAGAGGCGCAGAAAGGAGGCCTAGGAAAATTAGTGTGGGAAGGAAGAGAGAGCATGCAGGCTGAACTGGGGCCAAGAGCAGATGGAGGGTGAAATGGGGATAAAGCTTCAGTACTAGCTGTGAATCATATTTTAATTAGGAAATTTTTATTGGTAAGTATCTCATGAACAATGCAATCTTACACATGTCTGTTCAGGAATAAGTCTTGTGGCTTTCAATGGTGCTTTTTCGTATGTAAGTGTGTGCAAGAGATGGCTTTCGAAGAGGGTAGCTTTTTGCAGCTGACTGGAAAATGATTGTTTCAGAGGAAATGTGCACAGGATTGAGCCCTGTGTCAGCAAGTGGCTTGCAGATTCTGTGTGACATATTATGGGACAGGTTCTACTAAGGGACACCAGCAGAAGCAGTACCCTGTGCAGCTTGTATCTTTACATCTCTAGCATCACCATCATTATTTCTATACTGCACCACAGCCAAAGTTCTTTAAACATGCACTTTGCCCCTGGGTGGGTCACATCCCATGAGCTAGCAATTTAAGAATTTAAACACATACGTGTACATTCTCCTAATGTTTGCACCTGAAAGCTAAGGATATTCTTCTACATCTTTTTAATCTGGTTTTGTACTGCCTCAAGAGCAATCAACAGCCATAAAACACATGTTCTAGCAATAGTTATAGAAAGCTAGAAAATATAACTCAAATGCATTCTTGGGACTCAAAATGCCTGCAGTTCTTGGAGAAGGCAAAATATTACTCCTTTACCATCAGCAGGGACTTCCAAAAGAATGTTCTTTTATCTTCCCATTCGAGCTGCAGACCTCTGGAAAACAGATTAAGGTGGGGGAAGTTGAGAAGGAAGAACATATACAGCAGCATAAGTGCCCAAAGGAATTTCCATTTTTTCCTAGGATACGGGTGTTGGACCGCAGCTCCCTGGGCCACATCTGGCCTGCCCAGGGTCTCCCCCGTGGCCCTGCCTGCTTCCTCTGGCCTCACGGTTTTCTCATGACCACTGCTCATTCGGTGGTTTCCTGCCCCTTGTAAATATCCCCCCAACTTAAAAGATCAAAATGGCTTTGGGTGAAAGCAGTTCAACATTTGCTCTTGGGCTCATGCACCCTGCAGACATAAACTGGTTAACAATCAGCAGAGAATTCTCAGCACTCTCAATAAATAGCAGTTCTCAGGATTCCCTGGGGGAAGCAATGCCAGTTAAAAGCACTCTAAAACCATTATACATGTGCAGTGTACACAAGTCCCTTTGCACACTTACTTGGGAGTAAGTCCCGTTTAACTTGATGGGACTTACTCCTGCATAGACATGCGAAGGATTAGCCTGCACGTTCTACAGAGTCAAGAAGACAATTGGGGCTTTTTATTATTATGCTTTTTAGCAAAAAAAAATCTTATCCAGCAGTTATAAATATTATAGCAAATATATCAAAGAATAAAATAAAATCAGTTCTACTAGATTTTTAAAAAGGCGTTGGCATATGTAGCAAAACAAACTACCCAAGGCTTTAACTGCATAAAAATATTTCAAAACATAATTGAAAAGCACAAAGAGAGCATTCTTAAATGTACCTTGTAAATAGGACACTAAACATCTTTAATGTATAAAGTATTTAAAATTGAAGAAAGAGTCCATGCTCACCATAACCTCTAACAGTGGTTACTGATTCAGGATGCGCGATGAATGAGGAATACAGCAAGCCACCAAAGTCTTGAATTACAGGGGAAAGAAGCACCTGAAAAGCACAATGGATTGAAATAGAAGTGCCCCCGACTTGCACATAAATCAGCTCATGACCGGGACCATTTGAGAAGGCTTTGGGGTGGGTGGTTTCTTGGATGAACTCTGCCCTTCTGATAGCACCTGCTATCCAGAACCTGGCGTGTTTTTCCCAGCCGCCAAAACTAGTAAACAGCTGGGAGAATCCATCTGCTATTTTAGATGGAAATGCAGGCAGCCCGTAAAGCAGGGGTCTCAAACTTGCGGCCCGTGGGCCAATTGCCGGGACGGGTGGGGCACGGGGGGGGGGGCCCTGCGGCCTCCAAAGCGCTGGTGGTGCCCGGGCTGGCTGCGGAATGAGCGGCCCACCACCACCGCGGTGGTGGAATACTTGCTGCGGCCCAGCCTCACCCAGACTCTCCTTCCAGCGGCCCCCAGGTCAGTTGAGTTTGAGACCCTGCCGTAAAGTCTGTGTCCAAGACAGAGGGAGCCAGGCAGGATTGAGGCCCGTGGGGCACACATCTATGTATAATATTCACATGCTAATTTATATCCCATGTGCAAACCTGGAAACAATTATTTATTTAAATTTACCTTACAGGAGGCTGAGCTGGCCAATGTCTCATGCAAATCCACTCAACTGAATTCTTCTGTCAGTTTACACCCTGATCCAGTCCAGCCCAAATGAATGAAAAAATTTTTTTCTAAGCTTAATTGCCACATAGGGTTTGGGGGGGGGGTTGTGGGGGGCAATGTTGCAGCAAAAAAGATCAGCACTTAACACTTTCCTAGCGGTATTTGTTCCTGCCAGTTGCCCCTTTATAGCAATGAAATGGAAACATTCACACGCGCGCGCGCGCACACACACACACACACACACACACACACACACACACACACACGTGTTGACTGGCCAGATCCAGGGTCATGGGGAATGGATCTGGAGCCCAGGTTTAGCAGTGCCGCTGCATAGAGCTCACAAATAAAATTTCCCCCATCAGTGGAGTTGCATAGACAGCAAAAATATCCAGACACCCATCCTTCCTCTTTCTCAAGTCCAGTAAGAGAGAGAAACAAAACAAAGCCCCTTTGAAGTAGCAGAGAAGAACAGCAGGCCTACAATAACTCTGGGTATGGCTTCAAAAAGACACCTGCTAAATTACCTGGATGTCCCGTTATTCTGCTTCTGCACTGCAGCCAAGGCCTTTGCTCCATCATGTCAAGCATCCAACTTTACTCTCACGTTGGGCCTTCCACCATCCTTGCCCTGTGTGTGTAAATATCCACCTTCCCCGCTTGCAGGTGTCCTGCCTGCCAGGTAAGCCTTGGCCTCTTTTTCATCTTTATTTTACTTACAGAAAGCATAGCTCAGTGGTGCAGCTAAGTGAATTCAGACCCCGGATTCAATGGATCTTTGCAAAGCCCATGCAGATCGCTTCAACTACGCAACGCGTATCATTTCCCTTCACTGCCATTCCATGCTTTACACCTGCTTTCTACACTCCTGCGAGCAACAAAACAAACCCGTTTGACAGCTCTGATGAAGGGAAGAAATTCTTTTAGCACGTACAATTTTACATTTTAAACTCACTCAAATTAAAGAACTGTCAGGACTACAGGAATAAAATTGGAGTTTGCTTCCGCTGCCCTGATCCAGATACATTTATCTTGGGAGTGGGGGGAAGGAAGCATACCTTTGTTGTTGTTGTCATCGTCGTCAGTCACATCCGACTCATCGCGACCCCATGGACAACCTCCCTCTAGGCCTTCCTGTCCTCCACCATCCCCGGAGTCCACCTAAGCTCATGCCGGCTGCTTCAGTGACTCCATCCAGCCACCTCATCCTCTGCCGCCCCCTTCTTCTTTTGCCACCAATTGTTCCCAGCATTAGGCTCTTCTCCAGGGAGTCCTTCCTTCTCATTAGGTGGCCAAAGTATTGGAGTTTCATCTTCAGGATCTGGCCTTCTAAAGCGCAGTCAGGGTTGATCTCCTCTAGGACTGACCAGTTTGATCGCCTTGCTGTCCAAGGGACTCGCAGGAGTCTACTTTTTAAAATAAAACAATGTCCCCCGATAACCATGTGCATGTAGATGGCTTCCCCTAACTCTAAAATAGTTAACAAGAAGAAGAAAGGTTGCTGAGGTGAGCAGCACTAACCCTGGCGCACCCCAGCATGCCTGTGCCAGACCAGGTGTTGACTCACCTGTCTACCAGGGCCCCCATCACCTGCTGCTCTCTGGAGGGTCGCCGGGGGCTGCGGGGGCTGGGCCACAGGAGCCCTGCAGCTTGTTCCTGAGCCCTGGCCCTCCTTGTACCACCCCTCTCTCTTGCGGACACTGAAAGATGCCAAGTGAATGCGTGCAGGATTCACCACTGCCCTTAAATGCAAAGAGGCCAAATTAATGTGAGCGTGTGGTTGAAAAAGCAGAACACGTCTGTGGTCCTTTTGAAAAGAAATGGCAGGCATAAAGTGAGCAACGCCAGGTCAGTGCCTTGCGGAAGAAGAGATAACGGTGTCACAGTGCTTGCTGGTAGCTGTTTTTTGCTTGATGGAAATCCAGCGGGAGACTGCGAACAGCAGCACCTGGGTCCTCCCGAGAGAAAGTCCCTGCTGAGTGGATGGGCCGGCAAGCACAAGGAAAGTGTGATTTACTCCTCTTTGTACCAACCTGGGGAATAGTCACCTGTGGCAACACAACAGCTCAGGCAGCTGCCCGGACAGGCAGAAAGTGACCCAAATGTTCCTGAGCATCTCTTGAACCCTGGGTATCTTTTGCCACTATCCAAACACTGGACAAATCTCTTAAACAGAATTAGCGATTTTCTGTAAGTACATTTTGCATTTTTGATGCAGCTGTTCAAAGCAGGGGCGCAGAACTTCAGCCCAAGAGCCAAATCTGGCCTTCCTCTTGCCCATCCCTTTTCCCCAAACCATCACTTGTCTGGTAGTTTTCTGCTTTTATGCAGTTTTCCCACCCATATGCTTAAAGTCAGAAATGCCTCTTGAATGGTTCTGTTACCGGAAGAGCTTTTAGCTGAAATATGCCGGCAGTTTTCATTCGTTTGGCTCCATCTCTGATGGTTTTGGCTCCACCCACTATTGCAATGTGGGGGGGGGTACAGCGTCCCCAAAATGAATTTGACTGTTGCTCTGAAAGTAGTTCTGGACCTTGCTTAAAAGAGGAAACAGACTGCTTGAATCAGGATGCCATAGCTAGGCTGTGGGCAGCAGCTGCGGGTGATCCAAGAGCAAATAGTCAAGACCAAAGAGCAGCTCAGTAACAGAAGCCAAGCCAGGAGCCAAGTCAGTGGTGGTCAGCGTCAAAAAATGAGTCTGTGCTAACGGGTAAACTAGGAGGCAGGACTGAGGAAGAATTCAGGACTAAAGCGTGGCCAAGAGTACAGATCTTTCTCTTCTCCTGTGCACTTGAGGGCACAATCCCCCTGGACATTGAGGGACCACAGGATACTGGGGATTCCACCTCCCGAGGCTGAGGACAGCACTTCATCCTTGGAAAACAGAGTTAGACTGCTCCGCGTCCTTGCAGCCAGCATGGAGAGGAGTAAAAGGGGACGTTCGAGTGGGCAGACAGGAGTAGAAACCAGAGCGGCTGGGATATGAAATACAAGCTGTTCTGAGCCTCTTCTCCCCTCCCCTTCTGATGCATTGTTGCTAGATCAGCTAAAGAGCAAATCGAGTGAAATATGCAGGGCCAAAGGACGGGGAGGCAAAGATCACCTCCACAGCTCATAAAGACGCTTTGGTTCAAGTGAGTTTAAAATGCAAAACTGAATGTGCTTTCCTTTTTCCTTTTCTTATAAAACAAGGTTAGCAAAGAGTTATTTTCTACAAATGTATAAATAGATGTAAAACATGGAAAGGGGGAATAGAAATGCTAGTTTGTGCATCAAAATTGAAGCCATATAACAGACGTCATTTAAAGCACAGATGCTGTAAGATGATTATGTCCAAGGTCTCAAACGAACTAGCTGTATTGCTGAGAATAGGCTGTTCGCCTTCTAATTAATTCTAATTAAAACAGAGCTGCCAGGCTGCTGACGGGGACTGGGCGTTATGTTCACATGACTCCATTCCTCTGTCAGCTTCACTGGCTCCCCATTGAAGTCCGGGCCCAATTCAAGGTGTTGGTGATGACCTATAATGCCCTAAACGGCTTGGGTCCTGGTTACCTGAAGGAGCGCTTACATCCATATATGCCCGCCCGCCCCTTGAGATCTGCGGGAGAGGCCCTTCTCCAGGAACCCTCCGTGAAAGAAATTAGGAGGGTAGGTACTCGGAGGAGGGCTTTCTCTGCGGTGGCGCCCAATCTATGGAATGCACTCCTCAGAGAGGTCCGCCTGGCGCCATCGTTATTTGTTTTTCGGCGCCAGGCAAAGACCTTTTTATTTAAATGTCGTTTCAATTGTTAGTATTATTTGCTTATTTTATCTGGCCAGGGCAACTTATTTTATATTGTTAATTTGTTGTATATTTGGATGTATTATATTTTAATTTTATGTTGTGAGCCGCCCCGAGGCTTCGGCGAATGGGGCGGCATAGAAATGTTTTAAATAAATAAATAAATAAATAAATAAATAAATAAATAAATAAGGCTGTGATTGTTGGGATATGACACTGGGCAGAAATTACATAAAGTGGAAGGAGGCCATTATCTGTTAGCAAGCTGTATGCTACTTCCGGGATTTCAGATCACATGTGTCTGAATCCTAATTGCTGGGAAATAGCAATGGAATATATCGTTGTTCTCTTGCCCTATTTGTGGGCTTCCTAGAAGGCATTTTGTTGGCCATCTGGACAAATGATCCTGGATAAATCGCCCATCACACTGGCCAAATGTGTAACACATAAATATGGCCAATGAGTAATCCAGTACTCACCGTTCAGGCTAGACGTGTAAGTTGGTCTGATTGTACTTTCCCCCAGTGGTACTTTCTGGATGCTCATTTTGGCTCCATCTAGTGCCAGCTCGAGGCTCTGCAGCTGCAGTTCGTTTAGGCGCTGGCGCTGTGAGGATGTTACCACGGCTGCGTTTTCAGGGCCTAAGTGTGCTATTTGCTCCGGAGACAGTTCCTGGACAGAGAAAGAGACACTACAAGCGGCTGCAAGGCACCCACAGCTACACACAAGGATGCTCGCACACCAACCTGCTGCTTTGCACCCCAGTGGTACTTTTTAAAATATACAGAACTGCATACATAAGTGAAGATTTCTCTGAATCCAACCTGCAGAGGCCAAAAGGGACCAGCTTCTTCCCAGCTACACATTGCCCATGGAGTTTAACTTTGCTGGAGTTTTGTAAAAAAAAAATAAAAATTGCAGCTGCACTGTCTTGGGCAAATTCACAAATGAAATGAAAGTCTCCCCCATTCCTATAAAATTCAGTTTCCCATAAACATTATGGCACATCCTGTTAGGCCCGATTAGGTACTGATGTAGGAGGAGAACAAGGAAGAAAAGCCATCCAAATATGTTTGGTACTTGGCCAGTACGAAAGGCATGGGGTGACTTACTTCTACCTCAAATATATTTATTTTTTTATTTCATTTTTATACTGCTGAGGCTCTCCGGGCAGTTAGCAAAGGTTAGAATTAGACATTACTCGTACCCAGCAGATTCTCACAAATTGAAATTAATCCTCCTAGCAATTTCTGCCCCATCTCTTTGCATTGGCTGCTTCAGAATTTGTTGTCTGTCTTAATTCATGCTCACGGTAAACATGCTAACATCACTGCTCTTGATGTGAGACATAAAATGAAGAGATCTCACGTACCAGCTCACTGTCAGATATTTCATTCCAGTGCAAAATAATGTGCTCAGTGTGGTCCATATGATTAAGCTTTCTTTTAAAACCCTACACCGTTATTATAATTGCACCGTAATTATTTTTCCATGTAGAACAATGACAGCAATTTGTACAACTGACATTTACAACAGAGCCTCTGAGTTGCGCTTGATTTAGCATAACATTTTAAATCTTACAAAAGACATTCTCACCCACAAGCTCTTTTCACTGTATAAATTAATCACATGTATGTCTGAACTCTTGCAAAAGGTTGCTTTGTTCTTGACACAATGATATCCAAGGTTTAATTTGCATAAAGAGAGCTGCCAGGTGAGCACCAACCATATTAGTGTTTTCTGATTTTGCATGGAACTCTCTGGATTATGAATCTTTCTCTTTTTAGAATTTACAGACATAGATGATACAGTTAAAATATTGACTCTTTTCCTAAGAAGCCCACAGTGAGATTTATCCATATATCAGGTCTTTTCTCTGGACTTTCCTAGGTGAGAGCTTTTAAATCAGTGTTTGTATCAGACGAAAAATAGGAAACTATTTTCCCTAGCTAAAACAAAAACCAAACCCAGCGTTTTGCAGCTGTGTAATGGCTCTGTGAAATACATACTATTCTATGTATGTGCATAACAAATTGATATCATTGACTGAGACTAACATTTTTACTTGGATTTCAAGTAGAAATTGTGGATCTGATCTTGATTTTGTCATACTTAGAACAGACCCACTGAAATCAATGGACTTAACTCGGTTGTGAATTAAGCTCATTGATTTCAAGGGGCCTTGTCTAAGTAGCACTAAATCTGAATCCACTCCTATGTTAGATCCCACACACAGGTGTACACCTGTGAACACACCTGTTGTGAAACACACAGAGAGCTTTGGCTGCAAGGTGCTATAGAAATTAAATAATATATAAATAAATAATGCTCTCTTTTTCAACCTTAGATTGCAGTTGTGCCACGGGTATTTATAATTATCATACCCTACCCTTCAAGAACACATAAAGCATTTTGTGTGGCCCAAGTTCACCTGGTGAGTTTCATGGCTGATTTGAATCTGAGTCCTGGCTTGAAACTCTTAGCCAAACACCAAAACTGCACCATAACTGGTTATTAAAAGAGGCATATGAAAAGTCCTTCATAGTATGCTTAAAAGAAGGCATCTATTTGTTTAAAATAAGGCAGAAGTGGTGAAACAAGGAACTGAAAGATCTTTATACTTACTTTGAATATTTCACTGGGGATTCGTTTTATTGCTTCTGGATGGAAATAAGGCATCAATTCTTTATTGAGAGTTTTTAATTCTTTCTCATTAAAACCAGCTAGAGAGGGAAAGAGATCAGAACAGAACCACCCATGTTAAGCTTGAACTTGAGGCTGATGTGCATTTTACATCCTCATATGCTTTGGCTGATCAATATTTGATTCGAACATGTTTTCAGACACCTCTGGGAAATCAGGCCTCTAAGACAACAAGCATCTTCTCTGCAATTAATGAATGTTTGAAGTGAGGTAAGCCTGGTAAAAGTGTGTTTTAACAATCCAATTTTCATTTTACTTTGTTTTTGTTTTAAAGGTAAAGGTGTCATTTCTCCCTGTTTGTGGCTCCCGGTTCTCTAATATTTCTGTTCTAACAATCCCTACCTTCTTTATACTGAAACATCAATCCCATGTTAGATTTGATCCCATGTTAGAAAGAAATGTTTAGATAAATTATGCCATATGTTTCATGAATCAAATGTATGGGTTGTAACAATATTCATACATACTTATACATAATTAAACTGCAGGGGTTTGCGAGTTCTTGTTTGTAAAGAATGTACATCATGCACTACAGAAATAGGACAGATTTATGAAATATTTGAAACTGACATGCACCAGATATAGACTGATCTATCTACTCCAAGATGGAGATGGGGTATTTGAACATTTTAAAGTGCTCTTAATTCCACTTAAAAATGGAACTTTTACCCAGATCCTTACTCAGTTTGGTGCCCTTCAAATGTTTTGGCCTTCCTTTTCCATCAACCCCAGCCAGCATGGCAAAGGGTGAGGATGCTGGGCTATATAGTCCAAAATACTTTAAAAGCACCAGACTATTGTAGAGAAGAGTATTGTAGGACACTGGCACATCCTTCTGCTGTAAGATATTATGTTGACCAGAGTAAGATATTATGTTGACCAGAGAGAGATTTTTATACTGTCCCGACTCTGGAACTCTTTTGCCAGCAGGGAGGTTAATCTGCTACTAACATTGGTATATTCTTCACTCGGTGAAAATCTCCCAGGCCATTCACATCTGGTTTTAAAACTTAATTATGCCAGTGTGCTGTTGGCTACATTGTATTATTCAGTTGCGATTGTTTATTTAATTGCTCAGGGTTTTAACTTTGTCTGCAAAGCTGCAGGGATTAAAGGATAATCTAAAATATTAGCATTAAAATATTTCCCATTCCCCATTACATGCACACGTTGTACAGAATACAAACAGCGGAAAATAATATGTTGACTCTCAAGCCCCAAGCAGTGTCTCTGGTTTATCTACACTGCACATGCAAAACACAATTCTAACCAGAACCTGCAGAAGTGGGAGGGAAGGTTTAGTGCAGGGCTGCTCCTGCAAGCGGCATTCTGGGGGTGGATGGACTCTTTGAAGAGTTGTGCTGGCCAGTGAAAGCACCCAGCGTCATCCTTCAGAGAATCACTATGTCAGAAATACCTGGTCCTTCCTCAGAGCCAGGCAATGACTGAAGTCTCGGAAGATCACTTGCTGGCTGCCATGGAGGATGGTTGTTCCAGGAGTGTCTTGGCAACCCGGGGAGTTTTCTTGCTAGCCAGGCAATGCCTCACTCGGTGGAATAAACCCCTCAGAGCAGGCACTGGAGCCTGTCCGTTGCTCTGAAGCCTTGGCTGCTTTTGCATCTCGCATGGTTCTGCAGAGAGCACATTCCACCTCTGGCTTGCTCTGGGAGGGTCTCGAAGCAAGCCAGAGGGTGGCGCTTCCTCTGTCTGCTCTCGGTCTCACTTGGAGAACCCTCTCAGAGGAAAAGAGAGGGCAAGCAGAGCCCTGCTGTGCCGTGCGCCATCATTGGCAAGCAGGGCTGGCAACTACCTCAGGCAGGAGATGCACCGCAAAAGGAAGGCTGGCACAGCCGGTGAGAGAAACCCACTCAGGGCATCTTGCCTGACCTTCCTGCAGAAGCCAAGGCCAGCACTGAAAGTTCCTCTGCCTCTTTCCCCCACTTTTTCATTTGCAGCGGTGTGTGGAACGAGGTGGTCTAGGCCACTGAGAAAAACCTGGCTCGTGATGGCTATTTAACCCTAGTTCTTACCTGCAATGGCACCAACCTCCTGCAGAATAGATCTGTTCCACTCTGTAGCCATTCCAAACACAGACTCTGCCTTCCTTTTAAATCCTTTCAGAACGTTTGTGCTGCATGGCAAGGAGCCAAGTCTTGCAACAACAGCACTACAAAGAAGGAAAAGAGAGACTGTATCACATCCTGCAATTTTGCAAGATGTTTGCCAAGGCTGAATATTGAAATAATCTTAGTGCTGCTTTCTACAAAGTTGTCTGTAATAGCAAACGAGGATGGCTGTCTGTCCATCTGTCTGTGGTGCAGCTTTCAGTGGCCACAATCTAGAAAGAGCAATGGCAGGCAGGGATGGGCATATAGCTTTATCCCTTGGGCTACTAATTTCTCCTGGCTACAAAGCTATGAGCTGGTTTGGGAAGTCTGCACCTAGAAGTTGAAGATTTTGCTGCAGGAGTTGACTACACAGACAGATTTAAATTAAGATGAATTAAGGCATGAAACAAAAGAATCCAGAGATATACATTCCTGTGGTTTCCTTATTATACATGTCAAGTTATCATTATTGTTCTTGTTATTATTGCATTACAAGTGTCAAATGCCTAGATCTGACAGTGTAGGCACTGACAGAGGAACAGATGTTGTAAGCTCAGTCCATTTGCTAGTTAATAAAATAAACAATGGCATGAATAATTGTATAAGTCTCTATTCTCTTGCCTCTAACGGTTTCCAAGCACATCTGTGCCTGGCAAAATATGCACTTGGAAATAATTGATGGGAGACATTGACTGGCTTCAGACAACACAATAATCAGCTCTCCAGGGTTGAGTGTGGGTTGTCACTAATTCTGGGATGCTGAACCATGGATTATTGCATTGTCTGAGTCCAGCCGCACTAACAAACCATGGTTGCTTAACCACAGGCAACCCACAGTTCACAACCCAAAACGAACCTCTTCATGGGTTGTCCAAGGTTTGTTAGCACAGCTGATTCAGGCAACACAATAACCCATGTTTCCTCCAGTTAAATAATGATCAGCACTCAACCCATACTCAGCCCTTAGGTTATCATGCAGACAGAACCAGCCCCGGTAGGCAGGCTCCTGGGTGGCAAAATCAGGAGACAGAGACTTTTCAGAAGTCCCAGCAAAACTGGAGAATGCCATGCTGTTGAAATTCTTCTAGGCTTCCCCTCTTCTGTTTTTCTTTGTCTATGGGAGAGTTTTTTTTCTTTTAGTAGGCTTAATTATTTGCTGCCTTAATTGACTTTATGTCAGGTACTTTTAAAATTGGTTATTAAAATTAGTATCTTTTATTGCTGCTGGTTTTTAGCATTTTAGATATTGTTTTAAGCTGTTTATTTAGCAAAGATTGTAAGTCTGATATTTCTTTCATAGGAAACATCGTGTCCATCTTTCAGAAAAGTCATTCATGGAAATAAGAAAATGTAATACCTAGTGAGGTTGGAGAAATCTGCAAGAGATTCAGTTAAGTTTGGATTTCTTTGAATCTCACTTGTGGATTCCACCATTGGTGTGCCTTGCATAAAGTAAGGACTTCATGGACTCGCAAACGGGGTTTTAACAGGGAGGGGGGATTTGTAAAAATGCATACTTGTGCAAATGCACACATGTGCAAATGCACACTTGCAAACAAGAATGAAACCATCATATATCCGTAAAAGAAAATCCGATTTTGTCAATGAGCCGATAGCAGAACAAAAGAGGTCTAGTAATCCACAAAATGCAGAAGGAGTAGATTTAAGCAAATCCAGGCATCCCTAAACATACCTGAATTCAGTTGCATTTATAGATGCAATCTCTGAGGAGTTCAGAGTACAAAGACTAGCTCCTAGTCCTACCAAATCAAACCTCTTCAGGGTTTCTATCACTTGGCCCGAGTCTTCCAGAAAGCCTTCTAAAATAGATTTGGCCTGGAAAACAAAGTCAGTGCAACAGAATTAAATTAAAAAGCACTACACAAGAGTCTGTGCTACATAGGATGCTCTGCTGTAGCCCATTATCCCAGATAATTGAAATGATAAAGGTGACTTTTAGATTGGAAATGGAAGCGTAGTTTTTAAACCCACAATGTGTGTTCTATTGTGCTTCCAGACAAAGCTTTGATGATGCCATTGCCCTGCTTCATAAGAGCTGCATGATGCCTTCTCTTTGGGGGCACCAAGAGCTGTCTGCAAACACCCTCCATCAGTTCTAGTCTGTGCAGAGACAGGGCAGAGCAGCAGGAAAACCTTCGCGACTTCGACCTCCCCAGCCCTTTCTGTGTCTTAGGCGAAAGCCAAGACCTCTGGTGCGGTGAAAAGGAAGCCCTACTTGCTGTATCCGTCATCCCTTGCCAGGTCTCCCTGGCAGCAATTTCAGGGACAAAGGAGACCCTGATCGGAACCTGTACTTCTCTTCAGTGAGACGATGGGCTAATTAATAATACTGGTTTCATTAGTAATTGTCTGCTGCCCTGGAGACTATTGGGTTGCAAAGACTGGATAGACATGTTTCAGATCAATAAATTGTGCCTTTGTTGATGTCATGTGCACAGATGTTTCTCGGTGCTTTTGCGACCAAGTGCAATGGCTCTTAAAGAGGTAAATGAATTTTCTTACAAAACTGAGGGACAGAATTGGAATGGTCCAATATTTACTCTAATCTGGGGGTGTGAAACATCCACCCCTGAGGTTAAAGGACTGCTGAGCTTCCCCCAAGCCTTTTGGAGATAATTTGAAAAAAAAAAAACAACAACAACAACAACCCTGCATAAATTTCTATATATCACATCTGCTTGTGGCTATCAATGCAAATTTAAAGATCATTAGTATAAATTTAAGAGAAATGTAGCCCATCTCAGCAGAGTGTGGAAGCTTGTGATCTCTGCTCAGTTTGATATCCGAGTGCTAATTGTGGATGGGGACTAGTGTTTATGATTCTTTACCTTTAAAACGGCATTGGATGGCACAACCCATCAAGCAGGCAGTAAAGAAAAAGGACATACAGCCCTTCTATTTGGAAATGCTAGTATACTCTGATTGTTGTTAAAACCACCGTGGAGATACAGGGTGGTACACGGCAATCCCGCAGAAGCACATCCTCTCTGCCTCTGCTCACACGTCTGATTTGTTTATTTCATAAATACAGTGAAATAGTCAAGAAATGCCTTTCATCTTTAGTTCTGTTATCCAGAGGAATCCATGGCCCTTGGAACTTCACACTGCACAGGCAGATGGAGAAAACCTGACAATATTTTCTCCTAGGTTAGAATGGGTGGCAGATGGGCCAGGTGGTTTGACTGTTTGGGGTTGGGATGAACATGTAGGGGTTTTTTTGATGGAGGGAAGCTCATTATTAAAAGTATGGCTGCCCGTGGTCTTAGTGTGATGGAGGATAGATTTATAAAAAATTGGGTATTTTCATTAACTGATATGCAGGATATGTCATGAGTAAAATACAGTACTTCCAAATCAAACAAGCAGAATAACCACCAATAGGACACCTAGTTTATAAATTTTATGGATTTAAAATTACACATTTTAAAAAGTTTATATGTATTAAATTATAAAATGGATGCACTGTTGGTGGTATTTCTGCTTGTCTTTTCATGATTTTTTCAAATTAAAATGTTGAGGAAACATTAAATACCTTTTTCTTTAGTAGGGAGGACTTCATGTCAGTTTTGATATTAATTTTTGTATTTAATATTTCCCTTTAACTGGTGTCTATTTTTAATGTGAGAATGCAATTACCAAGAGCAGTATTTGGCATGGTTATGTATCAGGTATTATGATAGCATCATGTACTATACACAACAATAATAAAAGTCACCCAAGGTGTGTGTGTGGCAGGGGGAATGACAACTCAGGCGGAGACCTTTCCGCCTTGCCTTGGACTTTCAGGACTCGCTTACCTGTTCAGGATTCCACTCCGTTTGCTGACTAAGAGCAGTGATGCTCTCGACAGAACTCAGATCCAGCGCTCCAATTTCAGTCTCATTGAGAGCCACGGCGATGCGTCCGAGGGAAACAATATGATAACTCTTCCAGCTTGCCAGCGGGCCCCAAACCTATGTATAAAACCCACCTTGCTGATAAAACAATGTCAGTTCATATAGTTACGAGCTTTGCCATCTAGGAAGCACCAGGGCAGGCTGAAATACTGTGTTGGAGTATTTTCTCCTGCCACATACCAATGAGGAGTAGGGTGCGAGTGGGGCTTGTAGGGTCGTGTTGAACCTCTTGCAGGGGACGTGGGTGAGATGAATCCGGAATGGAGAAGAAATAGAGAACTTGGGGCCGGCCCTCCCAGGAGGTAGGGTGTGGCCATGGCCACAGGCAGCCTATTGGGAAAAGCGGTGGATTGGGCCTTGCCACCCTTCATCTGAAGGACTCAGACACATTTCCACAGCAGGAAAGTGGCCGCTGGGGCCCCAGCTGTGGCTGGCATGGGGCCCCAGTGGGACCACCAGCCCCAAAAGCTTCAGTTCAAAGAGTTCCATATCAGAGCAGGGCTTCATAGAATCACAGAATGGTAGAGGTGGAAGGGGCCAAGAAGGCCAAGTCCCTGCTGGTGCAGGACACCACATCACACCTTCCTCTCGGACGGCTGTGCAGTTTCTTTCTGAATGCCTCCAGCATGGGAGGGCCCCACACCTCTCCAGGCAGCTGGTCCCACTGGCATATCGCTCTGCTGGTGAGGAAATTTTCCTGATGTCCAGCCTGAATCTGGGTTGACACAACTTGACCTGGTTATTCCGTGCCCTGCACTCTGGGATCAGCAAGTTCTGGGGGCAGGATAGCCCTGTAGCCCCTCTGTGTCATGATGGACCCAAATTTATAGGAAGTATTGATTTTTTAGACTGCAAACAGATGGTGCTAATGTGCCATTAGGCATTTTCCTAAACTGCTTCCCACCACCTCCTGTCAGGGTTAGCCCTCAAGCGGCAGATTTGGGAGTGCTGGCCACACGGCCCCTCCTGAGCCAGTGCCCTGACAATGGTGCTGCTTGCTGCTTGCTGGCCTGGCCAGCTTTCTTGCTTAGTCAGATTCTCCCTGGGCAGCACAGAGATTCATAAGAGTATCCTCGCTCATATAGATTCTCATTAAGCCCTGAAAACAGGTATACGACCTAGAGAAAAACAGCCAGTTTCAAACCTGGAAAGGAATCCATAAAAAGAGCACACTGGATCATGTGCAGAGTAGCTTTTTGTCCCTGATGAATAACTAGGTCTGGGATTAGGGATGAATTCTGCCAGGGCAGACAGGGCAACCTCTCTGTTTTCAGAATTAGGCACCAGTTAGCCCTATGTGAATTATTTCAGGTACACAGCTGCCTTGCATTTTGAGCACAGCAGTGTAGTTTTGCTAAAAATACTTGCTGCCTGAAGGATTATGAGCAGTTTAGTATATTACAAAAGCAAGTGTGTATCTCCCAGCTGAGCACAGCTGGCGAAATTTAATCTTCTTGATAATTTCTCTTGGCTGGACGTAACTTTCTAAGGGATAATAAGAATAGTAATAACATAGGAGCTTCCTGAAAGCAAATCAGCTGATGAAGCAGTCTTATTTTGTTCTAAAGCTGTAGCTTTTGTTTTAAAAAATGTTAAAGGTATATATGCATTAATTTAAATAATTTTGGGGGCTGCCTTTAATGGAGGGACCCTCTTGCATGCAAGATAAAAGCAATGCAGAATCCAATTGGCTACAAAATCTGGTGATGTTAATAAAGCTTCCACTACACGGATACTAGCCAGGCACAGAAAGGGCAGTGGAAGCGAGTGGGTTTTCCACACTCCCCTGAAGACCTGCAAAGAGGCAACCTGACACATTCCTGTTCGGAGCTGCTTCCAGAGTCCAGAAGAAACCTCTCCCTCATCCTCTCCAGCCTAACCACCCTCGGAGGGTGAGAAAGATCGCTCAGGAGTATGGCAAGCTGGGTCAAGAAGGCAGCCCTTCACAGAACTTCCTCAGAATACATGCCCAAGACACTTCGTTGTCCGAAGTAAAGAAGAACAAGATTTCCTCTCCTACTCTGCATGCAAAATTTACAGCAGCAGAATCTTACTTTAGGAATGGGGATGGGGCATCCCTGCACCTCAAGAGAACTGGCTAGGTTAGGGGGCCCAGGGAAGACTGCAACTCTCTCCTTCCAGCCGCCTTGGAATGGGAGTAGAGCAAGGTCCCTGGGCCCAAGCTGGCTTTACTACTTGTCAGTTTTCTCATGGGGAAGGAAGCAGTATATTTTCCCCTGCTTATAACGGATTCTGCCAGCAAACCTGGAGATCATTTGACACCTGAACTTTTTTTGATCCCTAGACTGCTCACATGTAAACCCATTGGTTTCTCCAGACACACTATGCCAGCTCCAGGCTGGTGTGACAGATGTGGACAGGGAGCTGTTTTTCTGCCTCTCTTTATACTACAAGCTGGGGTAATCCAATGAAACCAAATTATTGTTATTTTTTCATTTCTGTACCTCCATCCCCACAGCCAAAGCTCTCTGGGCAGTTCACAGCAAGCTATAAAAACAATAAAGTACCTAAAACAACATTAAAAAGTAAAAAATAATACATTAAAATAGCATTGAAATACATTAAAATACAGGGTTGGGCACGACTTTGCAACTAAACAAATAACAATAAAAAGACCCAGCTGGAAAAAAAAGGAAAAAGACACCTGGATAAACCCATCAGGCACCTGGATGACCAGAGAGGTCTTTACATGTCTCTGCAAAGAGGGTGTCTTAACCGGGCACCGAAAATGTGGCAAATTGGGTGCCAGGTGGGCTGCAGCAGGGATGTTGTTCCAAAGATGCAGGGAGATTCCCGTGTGCACCCCTGAATAAGCTGATGGGATCTGGGCTTGATTGACCAAGAAACAGATTTTGGGTTTGTGTTGACAGCTTGTCAATGACAAACTGCAGTGTGCAGCTGTTGTGAAAAAGACAAACTTTGTTAGGCAGAATTAGAAAAAGAAACGAAAATAAAACCCCCAATATCCTACTTCCACAGCCCTTAAACAAATCTGTGGTGTGACCACACTCAGAATACTGTGGACAATTCTGGTCACTGCACTGAAAAGGGAGTAGAGTTGGGAAAAGTACAGAAAAGGGTAATTAAAATGATCAAGGGACTGGAGCAACTCACCCATGAAGAAAGGTTAGAACAGCTGAGAAAACAGGTGAGGAAAGGGAAACATGACAGAGGTGGACAGAATTATTTATCCTGTGGAGTTAGTGGAAAGGCATGCGTTTTAATCCCTCGCTCATCATTCTAGAAATGGAGTCTAGAAATGAATTCTTTTCCATAGGAATATCTGGATGGTTTTAAAGGGGGACAGGACAAATGGAGGAGAAAGCTGTCAGTGATGGCTAATTCTGTTGGTTACACGCTACCTCCAATATTAGTGGCAGCAAGCCTACGTCCAGCAGTTGGAGAACTTGGTGTGTGGGTGCTGTTGCTATCTTGCCCGGTTTACAGCTTTCTCCTGGGCAGCTAGTTGGATACCATCTGAGCAGAAGGCTAGATTGGATGGACCTTGGTCTGCTCTTACGTAAAAGATTTCTTTGGAATTTGGACTTTATTTCTCCCTTCCCGTCTTTCGTAGATACCTGCTTAGCTTTCTCTTTCAGTGCAACAAGCTGCGGCAGGCTGAAACGCCCTACAGAGCCAAGGAGTTCCACCGTCTTGGTGAAAGTATCCATATCCATGCAGACCAGCTCCTGAACAGACCAAAACACGTTTGCTTCTAATAATTTTATAATCTCCTCTGAAGAAGGGGCCATGACGTCAGTACACTCTGGAACAGAAGAAAACATTATTTACTTATGTACCATATTTCTGGATCACTCCTTTAACACTTAGACAAAAACAGGACTAAAAAGTGAACCAGCAGACTTGAAACTGTAACAAGACTGAAGTCAATAAAAAGTACCTTTGTTACAAAAGGGGAACTTACAATCTGAGAGAGCACGACACACAAGGAAAAGAGAGTAGGGTGGGAAGAGGAAATTTTTTTTAGCAGGACAGGTGGAATGCCCCTGCCTTCCTTCACATCTCCCTGCTGGAATGGCTGCTGTGGTGAAAGCTGATGGGGAAGAAGGATCAGGGTGAGATTTTATTCGCAACATTGAGATGCCATTCCGTATTTCAGCATGGAGATTCTGGAGCGGTGACCAATAAAAAGATAAAACAGATAAAAGGAGCAAAACCATGTATTTAAACAGAATCAATAAAGGCATAGCAGATTTGTGCAGGAAATAAGGTTCCTGAAATACCGATGTTCTCAACAGATTCCCAAAGCGACACAATTTGGGTGCCTGCCTGATTTCCACAGGCAGGGAAGGAGCTCCTTCGAAAGGGCCCCACCACAATGAAGCTTGTGTGTGCCAAGGCCACAAAGAATTCTGGCCTGCAACATGGCCTTAGCATGCCACACTTACTAGTTTGGGAGACCATCAATCCTGAAAGAAAAAGATTTGTCCAGTCCCTTTCAAGAATGCTGCTTTGCAACTGCTATTAAAAAAGGGAAAGAAACCCTCTTTAGATTCCTCCATCACTTGAAGGAAAGCAGAGTATCACAGATGCTGCTGAGGAGATGAGCTCCCCGTGCTAAGCAAATTACAGCAAGGATGTACCAGACAGATTTGTACTTGGAACGGATGCAAAAGGATGGATTTACTTCAATCAAATAAAACTGCAGACGCCAGAAAACATGCTAACAAGATTGCATCTGTTGGGCCAATGGAAGGAGGGTCCTGAAAGTCTCATTAAACCTTGCAGTGGGTACCCATCCAAACACCATCAAAACAAAAGAGCTTCACAGTTATACAATGTAAACAGCATTCCTGCAAGTCTGTGCAATGGAATGCCCACCTCTATAGAAACTTAAATTCAGCTCAGCCTGGAAAAAGCAAGCCTTTTAAATTTCCCGGAGCACATGAGGTCTGCAGGCAAATTCTCTCTGCGCTCCCCAGAGAGGTCCACCTGGCGCCGTCGTTATTTGTTTTTCGGCACCAGGCCAAGACCTTTTTATTTAAAAGTTATTTTAATTGTTAATTATTTATTGGGTTTTAGATTGTCTCCAAAATTTTTAAGGTTAATTGTGCGAATGGTATTTGTTTTGTAAGCCGCCCCGAGGCTTTTTGCGAATGGAGCGGCATAGAAATGTTTAAAATAAATAAATAAATTCAAGGCAAGTGGAATGATTAAAAGTCTGGTTCCATTTCCAGCTTCTGATGCTCTCTGCTTATCGCAGCAGCTGAATTCAGTTCAAATTAGACATGATGAGGGAACTGCTGTTTGCAGTACAAGGTACCAAAAAGATCAGGATTTTAAAAAGAAAGGCATAAATTTGCATATGCTAATATACATGTATTAAGTGTGAAATGTGGCTTCAAGAGAGGTATTACTACCACTCTGTACGACTCTGGTGTGCCCGCAACTGGAGTATTGTGCTCAGTTTTGGGCCCCTCATTACAGAAAGGATATAGCCAGGTTGGAGTCAGTGCAGCGTAGGGCCACAAGGATGGTGGGCGGATTGCAGGGGATGCCGTATGAGGCGAGACTGAGGGAACTGGGTCTCTTCAGCCTGGAGAAGAGGAGACTCAGAGGGGATCTGTTGGCGACATACAGGTATGTGAGGGATGCCACACGGAGGTGGGTAGAGACCTGTTCTCCCCTGCAGAGGAAGGCAGAACATGCTCCAACAGAGCAAAGCTCAGGGAGCCAAGGTTTAGTCTGGTTGCCAGGAAGCACTTCCTGACAGTCGGGACCCCGAGGGTGTGGAATGGGCTTCCACGAGAGGTCGTTGAGGCCCCATCGGTGCGGGTGTTCAAGGACAGGCTGGACGTACACATGGTGGGCATGTCGTGAGCGGAGCCAGCCGGTGCCGGAGGTCAGACTAGATGGCCCGGGAGGCCCCTTCTGACTTGCTCTGTTTCTGTGTTTCTATACATGTACTCTAAAGCCTCTGTGCATGTGTGGTTAGGGTTCCTTTCCTCTAAGGATACTCCTGTTTTTAAAAATAGAAAGGGGAGAAGAGAGCATTTGCTTTCAGGGAAACAAGAACACTGGCAGGAAGATTTGGGTCGGGGCAGGACTAGGTGAAGCTGGTGTGGGCAAAAAGCAGCTTATTTGAGGCATCAGAGCAACAGATTTTCTCAGCCCCTGTACCTTTGCAGCTCAGGGAAAGCAGGATGTTGGGGCAAATGACTTCCTACAGATCCAAATACCAGATAGAGGTCTCCAGCACTTGTGAGCTACTGTGCCTCTGGCTATATGCTCTGTAAGGTGGAAGATTCAGGGATAAAGCAGGGACCTTTTGGGGAGGGTGGGAAGGGGCTTAATTGGAAAGTGACCCAGGAGAAAAAAGTTGAAGGCGGTTTCTCAGGGCTGCTGTGGTCCCAATCTGAAACCTGGATTAATTGGTCCCTCTGGAGCAATTAATGTTTTAAAATACCACAGCTAAGCCTAATCTCCTTCATCTTATCTAGATTAGTCTATTTACTCAAACGAGAATGCGGCAGATGTTAAACAGTGTTTCAGGACTAGGATCTGGTTGCAGATACAAACTAGAAGTGCGGAATCCTAGAAGTGTGGAATCCTAGAAGTGCGGAATTGGCTTGAACCTTAAGGACTTCTTATCAGATCCCTGAAGCAGGGACCATGGGCTAGAAACAGGGGTTCCCAGTGCTCCATCCTTGATGATCTTCACTCCCTGTTCCTTTAAAAGAAAGTTTAACATAAAATGGACAATTGCTTCCATTTGTCACATCATGAAAATAAACATAGGAACATAGAAACACAGAAACAGAGTGAGTCAGAAGGGGTCTCCCGGGCCATCTAGTCTGACCTCCGGCACCAGCCGGCTCCGCCCATGACATGCCCACCATGTGCACGTCCAGCCTATCCATGAACACCCGCACCGAGGGGGCCTCAACGACCGCTCGTGGAAGCCCGTACCACACCCTTGGGGTCCTAACGATCAGGAAATGCTTCCTGGCGTCCAAATGGAACCTTGGCTGTTGTCCTGTTCTAGAATGGTGAGGCTAAGAAGGAACTACAGCGCTGAATGATTTCTGTAGACAAGCTGACCTTTTAATGGGGCGGTCGGAGAGCAAGGATTATACAAAAAGAATTCTGAAACAAGCTGTGTAGAGAACAAGGAGCACAGGTGGACCTGCTGCAGCCTAAGGTAGAGAGACAGAAAAATATGCCCAAGTCCCACAGATAGTATTGAGGGACAGGAATCACTTATCTGGCATCCCACAATGTAAATAAAAGCCTCTCTTTGCAGTCATCCATTGTATAACAATATGGAACAGCATGCAGAGTTTAAGTAGGGTAGCTTGTCACACCAAGAATGGCTGAGTCAACGCATAGGTAATTTGTGATTGTGGAGTAAGCAGAAATACTCTGTTGAGTCCAGGGTATGTACAGATTCTGTCCTGCTTTTGCCCCAAACATAAGAAGAATTGAAAGCTGTCACATGCATCCAAGTTGTCCCAAATATGGTTCAGTAAATGCTTGGCAGATTCGTGAACATAACAGGCAAGAAAGACAAAATGTGGTCATTCAGTGCTGCGGTTCAGACTGAACACTGAACATGCTCTCTTCCCACCAAGCTATTCTGAGGTTTCTCCCACTCACATGGCAGCTTTTGTTTTCCGGTTTTTACTTCTAAAAACTTTGTGGTTCTTCCAGACTTGCTGATCAGAAATAGAGGCAATGGTTTTATGCCAATACTCATAAATTTTAAGAATTGAGGAATAACACATGCAATTTATGTGTTATGATGGCACTGAAAACTGATGAGCTGACATGTGCTGATGCGTAACAAATAATTACATGGAAATAATTCACTGGCTCAGGTTTATGTGCTTGTTTACTGCTTAGGGGTGTGGCACTGGTTTCAGCTCGAGTGCCACATTCTCTTTTACGAAGCTCATGGAGGCCACGTTCTAGTGGTAGGTGCAGCCAAATAGAGAAAAGGCAGAGCCCAAAACATTGTAGTTTAAATCTCCTACTTCTAGCAATGAAACTTTAGGAGAGTTTAAGACCGAAGGGTTTCATTTTGTTCCTTTTAGGGACAAAAAGAAATAATAACAATCCAAGCCAGCAGCAGGGTGGCGTTATCCCTTCTGTACTTTAAAGAAGTTATTTAGGGGACAGTGTTCAGCACCATGAATAGCTTCTTAAACTTTCAGACTAAAATCTGGAGTGGATACACAGTCCCACTGGCACTGGAACCCTCAGCCGCTACTGCATTGGGTTGTTTTTAATATAATTCAGCAGATGCTTGTCAGATCTTGTGTTACAGGAGCAAAGTCTCCACCAATTTTACTGCTTCACTTCGTTTCTCTGTCTGTCACAAAGTACACTGGTATCAATAAAACCAGACAAATCTGCTGTGCGAAGGCAGCCCAAAATTTACTCACCTGGAGCTGAATCAGGTGTTCTCATCGGGAGACTGGCATTGCGAACAAATTCAAAATGGGCCAATAGGAGCTCTTCAGAAGGAGGGACTGGCCCTGATGTCGTTGATGCCACTTCTGAGATTATATCAGGAAACTTTGATGGGGTGGAAGGAGGGATGAAATGATTACTTCAGGTCTTGGTTCCTTCGAAAGAAGAGACTTAAGAAGGAAAATGATGTGGGAAGATAAACTTGGAAGAACAGGGCAAGCTTTTCCCCAGAAGACTCTAAGGTGGTCTTCCCCAGCTGTGTGCCCTCCGGATGTTTGGGAATACAACTCTCATCATCCTGACCCCTGGCTGTCTTGGCTGGAGCTTGGCTGAAATTATAGCCCCAAATACGGGGAGGCTGCCAGGTAAGGGAAGGCTCTCCTGAAGCCTTTGACGATGGCGGCTGCCCATGCTGGGTAGTTGTGCACTGGGAGCCCAGAAATACTGGGGAAGAGTGACTGGCAATGCCCTTTCTGGTTGCTTGTTCAGTCTCAATCAACAACCAGGAGGGACTGACATGCCACTGGAATATCTCTATCTTGATTTAATAAGTAACTCTTGCTTTCTGTCATTCTCCATTCCCCCCTTCCCCTTCCCCTTCCCTCCCTCCAGGAGCTCAAGATGGCACATGCGCTTCTCCACCACCTCCTCCTTTATTCACCTCACAACTCTGGCCGGAGCTCCGAGCAGAAGCACTCCAGCAAAACGACAACATTTTGTCGAAGCTGCAATTTATAATGAACAAAGTACCCAACAGACAGTTCTAGTCACACCCATTTTAAGTAGAAACACACTCACTTCAGCAAACTTTTGGTCATACCTTTTCCATAAGGATGTTTAGTTCAGCTATTGGCAAAAGAGCTAAAAATTGTCCACTGTCTTGCGTTGTTTCAGCTGTCCAGTTTCTCGGGGATCTAAAAATGTGTTTTGCAGTAATCATTTAGGAAATAAATGCACGGGTAGATTTCACAAACTGGAATAAGAAAGGCCCTAGCTTTGTAACATATCTTTGTATGGTTTTCTTTTCCCAGTACATAGAAATATTAATTAGAGTTACCTACAGGCTACTTCATAAAACAGCTAAATTAGAGTGCTTGGATGAAAATGGCATGCAAACATATGGATTTGGCTTAAATTGCATCCAAAAGCATATACTTTGAACAGCGCTGTGGCTGTGGAAATGAGTACACAATGTTTTATTCATATGTACAATCTACTTTCCAAGCACCAGCAAGCAAGCATGTAGAAGAAACCAACTTATTTGTTTGTTGTGTGTATTTTATCCTGCTCCCCCACCAGAAAGGAATCGTTTGCATGCAGTCAGTGAAACAGGACAGATTTGCAGTCTAAAAAGACTCAATATGAGGAAGAAGAGGATGGAAGAGAAACACGTTTCAGCAGCCTTTCCACAGGGGGGGTGGAACAACCCGACTTCCTGTCGCGTGGTTTTTTGTTACAGTTTTTGTCGGAAACTGTGCTGGTGAATTTGGAGTTTCCTAACATCTAAGACCCTTCCCTGACTTCCTGGAATCAGTTCTGTAAAATTGTGTGTATAGGATTTAAGAAATGAGCCAAATACTCTGTAACATTAGGGTGTTTTGTTTTGTTTTGCTTTTAAGAAGGGGAGAGAAATCTGGAGTCCGCATCTCCAGTTCAGTTCACACCAGCGCCACACCTGGCTGGACAGCAGATGGATGCTGTTCTTCCACAAGTGGGAGGCAGGCGTGTCCGCAGCATAAGATTCTTCCGTGACATGAAAAGACAGGTGGTGCACCAGCTTGAGAGTTTTATCGCTAATTAGATGGGAAATTGCCTTGAAGAAGGTGTCCGACTGCATTTCACGCCCCCACACCAAGATTCAAGGCGAGACCTATGCGGAGTCTTCCTTACCCGTGCAATTCCATCAGTCTATGTTTAATCTCCATCTTATGATTGTAGCCGAGATGTTGGCAGGATCGAAATCGGTCGAGGGCTGTTGCCCCGGCTTCCAGGGATATCCCCTCACAGACGAATGCTGCGGGCAGATGGCAAATGAGGCTTCCGAGCAAGTCAATGTCGTATTCATCGGCGACTGAGCCGTTCTGAAACAGAGACACCAGATGGAGGTGTACAGGCTCAGGATCAGGCCGCAAGGTGTTGTGGACCTTGCAGGCGGAGCGAAAACGACTGGGCCCCTGTGGCTAGGCCATGCCAAACCTCCGTGCGTCGGCCGGCACGTCCAGCAAGAGGACGATGGCTGTCTGGCAGCATATGCATGCTGGCTGGCTTTTGGTCCCGGTGCAACAGTCTGTTATTCATTCATTCACTGGATTGGTAAAACTGTACCCAACTGTCCCAAACAGGGGCTCCCTGAGCAGTGCACAACCAACAGGGCAATAGCGTATAAATTCTACACTAGCTACTATTTTTAAAAATTAAAATCGATTAGAAAACAGAAGCTGCGACAATAGCATAAAAGTTTAACCAGATTTATCCTAAGCCAGGAGAGTGGATGAGCATCACTTGATTTACAATCAATCCAACTTAAGGTTGGTTTGTATTAATTATTATTATTGTATTAATGCAATACATTTCAGTTAAGTATTAAAGGGCCTGGAGGATAAAACTGTTTTTGCCCGGTGCCAAAACGATTGTAATGAGGGAACTTCTCTGGGAAGCCAGTTTCAGGAATAGGGTGCAACCACGAAGAAGACCTTGCTTCTATTCGCCATCCCCTTCATCTCCTTTGGGCATGGCACTTCAAGAAGGGCCTCTGAGCCAGATCTTCACAATCAGGCAGGGACACGTGTGAGTGCCCAAGAGACCGTGGCATAGGATTGATGGTTGTGGTGCAGTCAGGAACACCTGGAATGGACAGTGCCTGTAGGATCAAGCCAAGAGACACCACAAGTGTCTCTCCCTACATCTTTTTGAATGCAACAAAGTTGTGAGAATGCCATTCCCTCTCTGATTCCTTCCAGAGGCTCCTCAGCATGAAACACTTGTGTCATATTTATATCTATATTCCTTCAGCCAGAAAGGCCATTCCTATTCTCTTTCACTACAGGGTGACAGAGATTCAAATATAGGTAGTCACGGCAAATGCAGTGACTCCCTCCTAAAGAGGCTTCTGGAAGCAAGCATCTGTCTGACCTATATTATACATTATTGCGATATGTTCTTCCTTTCTCCTTGACACAAATTTTGGAAATTTGTGGGATATTCGTGTGTTTACATAGGAAGCCATAGGGAGCAATTTCTCCTGTATGAACTGACGTAAGTTTTTAAATCTTTGGTATCTTCACTGTTTTTACTCATAATTTAGTCCATTTAATTTAATAATCCACCTTGCTGGATTCTCTCCAGCCAAGACAACTAAGAATATAACTGTGAGATTCAGTGCAATATAATATTAATAACATTTTAAATGTAAGTATAGGCTACATGTACCTACTATGCATGTTAAAATTTTAAAGTTTTGTTCAGTACCAGGTTGCTCTGGGAAGCTTTGTAAAGCCTGCTTGATCCCAAAAGTGAGATAGACACCTTTTGATAAAGTAAAAATAACAGCCCTCTTACCATGCAGTCCTGTACTTTTTGCAGAATTGCTTTTTTCTTCTGCCTATTTTTAATGAGATGATCTAGTTCAACTTTTCCCAGGCTGGCCACAAAAGGGACACAAAGAGATCCTATTATGGATTCCAGATGCTCAACACTAGAAGAGAAATTTACAAAGACAGTTGTGTGAAGAGGAAAGTATGTGTCCACAGGACTGCCTATGAGATGGAAACAAATGTACAGGGATGGAAACAAATTTATTGATCACCATATCCTATCCTTCCTGTGAAGAATGCAGGTTATATTGCTGAGTGGATAGAAAGGAGCTAAATTTAATTTTGGGACCGCTCTCAGGGGCTCCGTTTCAGTGGTGGATGTGGCTGAAGGCAATGGGGTGCGGTGGGAGACAAAATGCCAAAAGTTAGCAGCCTATTTTAGCTTAAAGCTCTTACTGGCACTCACTGAGCCTTGAGAGAAGCATGTAAACTTTTTAGTATGGGGCGAAAATGCACAAAGGTCAGGAAACCGTTGAATGTTTGGTGGTCAGGAGGAAGCAGGTGGAGCCAAGGGAAAGGGGTGTGACACTTGGGGGTCCCTAGGGGATGGAGCGGGTCCTCAGGCCTGGGATGCCCTGCGGTTTGGTATACATGAGGTGATTTTACATGCAGGAAGTTTCGACAAGATGGTTTGACATCATCTGGAAAGGCAGCAGAGAAATCAAGCAAGAAATCAAATCAATGCCTCCGTGTTAAATAATTTTAAGCCAGGGGCTTGAATTGGCCCAATTTTGGTCTCTCTCTCTCTCTCTCTCTCTCTCTCTCTCTCTCTCTCTCTCTCTGTGACAATAAAGTAGCCACCCAGTCCTATGCAGGGCCTTTTTTGGTCACAGAACGCACCGGAATGGCCTTCTGGCACCATTTTTTGACGTATTTTTCCAAGGGGTTTTTCCAAGTGATTGTGAATCGCCCTGTTGGGCGTAGCAGGTCGGCGGCAAAAATCATTCACACAGTGCCTGCGGGCTGCGTGTGTGTCCGCACTGATTGTGAGGGCGCTGCTCGGCTCGGGACCCTGCTCAGCTTGGGATCGGTTGTGCGGTCGCGCGCTGAGTGCTTACTGCCGCCGGCGGCGACCGTTATGTTTATGTGTGTGCAGAGTAACTGGCTACGTGCAAAAGGTAAATAAGTTCTTTATTTCAAAAGAAGTTGGTGAATTGAAAATCTTTTTTAGTGTCAAAGTGTGACCCCAAGACATGAGTTCCAGCACTTTTTTTTTAACAAAAAAGCACTGGTCCTATGCATGTTTACTTGTATCCTTCCATGCAACCCTAATCTGACTCTTCCAGAAGGTTTATAAGGTACAGATTTGGTTCCAGTCTCCCCCTTACTGGAGAAGCCCATGGCCAATTTCACTGTAGGAAAGCACCCGCACATACTAAAAAGGGTGCCCACTACATGCTAGTGCAGAATGGAAGCCAACAGAGGAGTCCCATAGACGTCTACTCAGAAGCAATCCTCATTGACTGCAGTGGAACTTACTTCCAGGTGAACAGGATCTCACCTCTTCCATGAATTCTCAGAACGGAAGCTACCTAGCCTCCACCCAGATCTGCAGGTTGGGGATAATAATATTGGCAAACCTTCATAAAGTTTCTCGAAAGGAATGCATAAAAATAATATGAGAATTGCTTTGAACACCTGAAAGCTGTGTCAGCCTTTCTCAGCCTGGTGCCTGTATGATGTTTTGTACTACAATGCCCAGCATTCCTGATTCCTGATTGTGACAACCGGGGCTAAAGTCTACAACAACTGAGGGCACCGAGTTAGAGAAGTATACTCTGTGCAGATGCTAAGCATTATTATTAAATTCAAACCCATGGCTCTTTGATTCTTTGAAGACAGCTTCATTAATCTTTATCTTGAAATTATGGAACAGTTCTGAACAAATGTATAAAACTTGGCTAGGATAAAAAAATCTGAAAGATAATACCATCGGTACTGTAAACGTCTATCATTCTTTTTTTCCTGTTAATTCCATGCTATTACAATATAAGAAGCACACTGAACACAAAAAGAAATTAAAAGGAATCGCTTACGGCAGTGCTGTTAAGAGATAGGGAGGTACCGATTCATTGGAGACGGTCCAAAACTTCCAGGCCAAACAATTAATCTGCAAAATTTCCAAGTCAAAGAAGGAAGACACTTTAAAACAATCTTTGGCATTTGTGAAATGTATATGAACAATGCAAATAAAAACTATAATCTTAAACCATTCATTTGTCTGCAAATGCTAAAACATCACCAGTATCATTTCAATTCAAAGGAAGCCAATAAATTTGAAGAAGACTGAAACTTGGAAAGATCATGAAGTGTAAGAACAAGGTCATCCAAACGATTGTATTCCCAATATGGGTATGAAAATTGGACAGTGAAGAAAGCTGACAAAGAAGAACATGATACTGGAGGAGAATACGGTACCGGAGGACTTTTGAATACATTGGACCCATAGAAAAACAAGCAAGTGGCTTCCGCAATCAAATCAACCCAGAGTTTTCCCTAAGAGCAAATGTACTTTGGGCACATCAAGACAAGACAAGACTCCCTGGAGAAAGTCCAAGGCAGAAGATGAAAGGGAAGACAATGAGATGGACTGAATCCAAAAAGGAAGTCACAGCCTTGAACTTAGAGAGCTGAAGAGGGCTTTCATGAGCAGGACCATTTTAGGGGTTTTGCATTCATAGGGTCACCATAAGTCATAGACGACTTCACAACACATAACACACACGCACCCATCTCGATACCATCTCAGTCTACTCCATTCTCAGCTTCACTCTAAGCATGTGGACTCTTCTGTCAGTCCAAGGAAGCTCTTGGGAGCCAAATTCCCATGGTGGGTGAGACGAGGAGGGAAAGCTAGAAATACTGCCCTGTTGACGCATAAAGCTCTTCCAGCAAGTAATTAAGATTTCGACCTTTTACATGGGAAAAAGTTATGCAAAAGCCAGGAAACCACCAAACATTCTGCAGTCAAGTAAGAGGATGTAGGAAGACTTATCTGACCACAGTTGGCCCATGAGTCTGAAAGACGACACCCTCGTCTAAATTGCCACTGTAAAATAATTGTAAATTTAGTGCTTTGGCCACTCGTTCTTTCTCAACAGGGTGACAAAGCATCCACTGTTCTGACTGGTGGAGGTTGTAAAATAGCCTATTTCCACTTGGTAGAACTTTTTTTCCCTTAATGGGGACTTCCCCAGGCTATGAGGCTGTAGGTAGAAGTGACAGATGCTTTCATAAGTTAGTCATTTATTAACCAATGTACCTGTTACATTTCTATCCCTGCTGACCCCAACGCGGCATACATTATCCGTTTCCTTTCCATTTTATCCACACAACAACTCTGTGTGGTTGGTTAGGCCATGAGCTTTGTGGTTGAGTAGAGGACTCGGCACCAGAGTCCTGGTACTTCCAGAGTCCTGGCTGGTGCAGAGAGCTGGTTGACCACATGGAGAAATAGCTCACTTTAACAGAAAGAGAAATGTTTCCTGGCTTTTGGTAGGTACAGTGGGAACAGTGTCCTTTAGTGATCGACATAACAAATATTGAAGAATTTGCTCTTTATCAGTTCCTGCACTATTCACTTGGTCTCTTGAACAAAATGAAAAGTGAAAATTCACCTGCCTTCTGTATTTCACATCTGATCAAATGCTAGAGCATAATTTTTGATAGTTTAAACATATCCATATATGCAGTTAAATATGTTTCAAGGGGATTTACTTTAAAATTGTAGATTAATGCAGAACTGGAATAGAATTATGGACAAAAACACACACAAAAGGGGCAATGACCAGAAATATACACCCAGGTCAACTTAGATCAGTGTTAGAATCAGGATTCTAGAGATACTGTAGCTTCCTAACACAGCTGCTATACCAAACATTTTACCTGATAAGGTGAAAGCAAGTGAAGATTCTTCTCAAAAATGCTGAAAGTATTTAAAAAAGAGATCGCATTCATATTTTCAATCTGCAAACAGGTTACTCCTTTCAGTAGCTGGGTGATGCTGATTTGAAGGGGGGAAAAGACAAACAGTAAACATTTGTATAATCTTTCTTGAAACAGATCCTACACTGGCCACTGGCCAATACAATTCCAGGCACGGCTACTCAGCAGCTCGCCCCATGGACTTCCCTTTCTGCTGTCTAAACTAGCGCAGGATTGCACCCTAAGTATATTTAGGAATGCAGCTGTAAGATTGCAGAGTTAGCTACCAGCCTGGTAACAAGGATTAAAACATATAGGATTGAGCATGAAATTAACATCCCTACCTTAACAGGTCAGAAGGCAGAGTCTTCTTTGACAATACATCATACAGATACAAGGCCTGCAGCAGAATTGGTATAATATTTCATGTGTTACTCCATTGATATCCTGTTTTTCCCTTTTGCAAAGTAACTTACAAGATTCTTCTTGTCTCTGTTGTCTCAACAATCCCTTGAAGTAGGTTGGGCTGAGAGTCCATAACTGGTCCAAGTCACTCAATGAGCTTCATGGCCCAGTAGTGACCACAGTCCAGGTCTCCTGTGTCCCAGTCCCAGTCCAAGCACCCAATCCAAGCCCAGTCCATACACACACACACTCACAACGCTGTGCTGTATTCTCTGAAGACTCCAAACAGAATGTTCTTTCCAGAGCTTCATTCCCTTCTCCTTTTCTTTTTGACATCTCAAGGTTCTGTACCATTTGTCAGGCCATCTCGGACTTTACCAATAAAGCTTCTTTTTAGTTTAATTTACAAACTGTACAAGTGTTTATACAGGTCTCTAGAAACCACTCCCTTATTTTGGAGTGGCTTCATTTTCCTGTTCAAACTGGTTGCCTGCTGGCTTTTCAGGACTTGGCTCTTTAATTCTAGGACTGCCAAGGCGATTAGGGCTGTATTTTTAGGGGAGAAGGATGTACTCCTTTGGTACTTTTGCGACCACCCCTGCCCAACACCGGCTATATGTGTTTTAAAAAGAGAAACACACACCAGCCCCCTGTGAGAGAAAATCTGGCTGACCCATTCCCTTTGTCATCCAAACCTTGAGGACAGCAACTGTAAATTACCTGACTTGGCCTTAATTCTTTTTCTTTCACGAGTGAAGAATTGAGCCTTTCCTCCTTCCACAAATCAAAAAGTGACACCTCTTTGAAAAAGGCTCCTTGTAGATCAGTAATCACTGGCCACAGCTCTGTGGATGTAATTAGCTACAGAAAAGGGAGAGAAGGGGACATGGTCGTTGTTTCCCAGTCTGTACCGTTTGCTTTGCTAAGGACCCAGTCCTGTGCATTGAGATAGAAAAAGGTCTTACAGCTCCTGATATAACCCCTGATAGCAGGGGAGTTTTAAGAGTTTTTCCCACGTAGTCCAAATTCAGCACCTGGCTTTGAAATCACCCCCAGAACAACCCACAGTATTGCACCGTTCCTTTGATAAGGGCTTAATTAAATTGGACAATTGTTGGAGATGTAACTCTGCTCCCATCTACTTATAATTTGGCAATGTCCCTTGGCAACTTTCTTTTTCGAGGAGGAAATAATCCTGATAAATCTTGTGACAATAAGTTCTTTAATATTTAAGGATACACGCGTCCTTTTGAATTTCCTACCATCTCTTGGAATTTAACCCAAGGTCAGTGCAAATGGATTTTCTATGCACTTTTGACAACTAAAAGACTAATGCTGTAACACCGGAAGGATAAATGGGCACCTACAATGGGTAGAGGAATTAATCAAATATCCAGTTTTTGGACAGGTTGCCTTTAGGCATAATCTACAAGTGGATCCATATGCAAATAGTGGTCTGCCTTTGTTGAAGTTTATATATAATAACTTTCGATTATGGCAGTATGTTCTTTATAGACATATTTTATTTTATTTTATTTTGTCTATAATTCTATTCTCCCCAGCCTCACAGAAGTCTCGGACTATAAAATCATCTGAGGGTCCTTGAACAAGTCCTCCAGAGCTGACTCTGAATCTGACCACAGTATAGGTCAGCCTACATAAGACTTCAGTTGGCTTCGATTCCCTGCTGAAACAACATCCTCCTTTTTTTTTAAGTAGGAGAGAATTCCAGCCACCAGGACTCATTTGAAGTAATCTAAAGTCCTGCTTTGATTTCTCTTCCTGCCTTTATCTTGCTACCAACCTCCCCTGTGAGCTTCAAGGAACATCGGACATCTGAACCTCACTTGCCCACTCTCTTCATGCAATATCGGCACTTACCTTCCGAAGGATCCCATGTTGTTGTGCAGGTGATAAATCAGACATGCGCTGAGCCAGCGTGCCTCTGATAACCTGAGCGAGTTCTTTGGGGTTCATGTTGTGAAATGAGTGAGTGCTAATGCCAGTCACCAAAGCACCCATTTGGCTAATATTATGAAACAGTAGAACCTATAGGAAGAGCAAAGGAAATATACATTTATTTATTTAAAACATTTCTATGCCGCCCCCATCACAACAAAGCCTCGGGGTAGCTCACAACATCCATAAAAATACAATCAATAATTTAAAAACTGGTACCATCTCAGCTATGTATTAAAATCTATAAATGCAATAATAATAAATTAACAGTTAAAACAACTTTTAAATAAAAAGGTCTTCGCCTGGCGCTGAAAAGCAAATAATGACGGCGCCAGGCAGACCTCTCTGGGGAGCACATTCTATAGGTGGGGCGCCACCGTAGAAAAGGCCCTCCTCCGGATACTCACCCTCCTAATATCCTTCACAGAGGGTTCCTGGAGAAGGGCATCCGCTGCCGATCGTAGGGGGCGGGCGGGCATATATGGACGCAGACGTTCCTTTAGATAACCAGGTCCCAAGCCGTTAAGGGCTTTATAGGTCATAACCAACACCTTGAATTGGGCCCAGACTTCAACAGGGAGCCAGTGAAGCTGACGGAGGACTGGGGTTATATGAGAACAATGCCCAGTCCCCGTCAGCAACCTGGCAGCTCTATTTTGCACCAATTGAAGTATCTGGACTGTCTTCAAGGGTAGCCCCACGTAGAGCGTGTTACAGAAATCTAGTCGGGAAGTTACCAATGCGTGGGTCACTGTCTCCAGGCAGTCGTTCTCCAGATAGGGATGCAGCTGATGGATCAGCTGGAGCTGAAGGAAGGTGCTCCTTGCCACCACCGTCACCTGAGCTTCTAACGACAGCTCAGGGTCGAGGAGCACTCCCAAGCTGCGAACCCTGTCCCTCAGAGGGAGTACAACCCCATTTAGGACAAGGCCCAAGTCCCCCACCCCGAAGCCCGAACCACCCACCAACAGGACCTCCGTCTTGTTTGGATTGAGCTTCAGTTTATTGGCCCTCATCCAGCCCATCAACAGCAGAACTGAACAATTGCACTGGCATTGGGTCAGTATGCATAGGTTACCTATAAAATCTCCATGTTTTTGCATATCATATATAGAAGACTTGTAGGGGATTTGTACTCAATTAGTTCTGGTTAATCTAGGATAACACGCCAAAAAGAGCCATTTTAAATGCATCGTCTTGGCAGCGTCATTAGGCATGTGCTCATTACAGATGGAAGAAAAGAAAAGCAATTTCGTTTTGGTACAACATAGGAAAAATGTCTCAACTGTAGCTTTTTAGAATTTGTAAACTATCAGAGAATCAGCCATTCATGATTGCATAGGTATTTATCTGTGTGAGTGTTCCATGTTTTGGAGGAATTACAGATGTTCAGACCTGGGGATATAATTTGAAAACCTGCCTTTATTTTATTTTGTATTATATTTCAAAATTATATCCTGTCTGTCCTCCAGCACACTAAGTGTAGTAAAGCTACACGGTTAACCCTTTACAGCCTCGCAAGGACACGGTGAGGAAGGTTAGGCTGAGAGAAGATTAATAGCCAAAGGTTACCTGGCAAGTTTAATGACTTGACTGGGGTTTGAATCTGTATTTTCTTGGGCCAGGTCCAATACACCGGGGGGCACAGAAAGTAGATCTCCAGATGTTTTGGACTTCAACTTCCAGCATTCCTTTTCATTGACGAAGGAACGGACAAGGGCTTTCAGGAACCAAAGTCCAAAATACCTGAATGCTGACCTTCCACCCACCCCGCAATTCAACTCACTGCTTCACATTTCACAGCTTTGGTTGATCTAATAATACTGTTATTCTAATGTGAACTTTCTTCCAATGAGCCAACCCAGAAATCTTGCTTTTGAACCAAATCCCCAGACATACCTTTTCATGCATCAGATATTTGCTCGATAAAATCATGACTTGGCTTTTGGCCCATCCAGAGATTTGGTTTAATGTTTGGATGGCATTCTGCACAGCCTCGGGTGAGAGAGATTCTAGCTGTAGGGTTGTCAGTCCCACAACTGCATCTGAGAGTGAGCCAAGTGTGTCGTTCAACGTCTGGTTTTGCATGGCAATACTGAGAAGCTGAGATTTGAGCTGAAACAATTGATGAAAAAACAACACATTTGAGCAGCTGCTTCTGAGATGCTAACACTGGTATAATAGTAAATTTTGGGGTGCAAGAAGTCATCATGACTGCCAGCCACACACAAAACATATGGGGAGAGCAAACAACAGATAGCATAATACCCAATTTATTATCACCATGTTTGGAATGGGTGGACCCTTGAATGTCCTTCCACAAGACGAAATTGAGCTGGTGGTGGCAGTGAGAGCCAACTCTGTACCCACCTTCTGAATATCAGCCTGAAAACCTCTCAGCTGGTTACATTTCATCATTTGATGAAGTAAAGCCCGGGCCACACTGGCATCTATCTGTTCCAGGTCATTGTAAAAACAAACCAACAAGCCCAATCTGGGTGAGAGAAAGAAGACGTTAGCGGCTTCGCTTTTCCCATGGACACCTTCACTCTTCTGGAATTCCCTCCCTGGAGAAACGGCGTTGGCTTCCACATGGTTGAGTCTGGGTGACTTTAGAAACATTCCTGCTTGCCTGAGTGTCTGGGTGCAACTATGAGCAGAAATGTGCATTGTTTACATTGTTGTTAAGATATGATGCTGGAGGTTTGGGGATTTCTGTATGGAGGCATATTTTTTTTTGCATTGCTTGTGCTGCCCTGAGCTTCCTGGAGAGGAAGCATAATATTATCAGTTAAATAAATATTATTCAAGTACAGTTAATGGACAACTTAGGGTCCTCCATAGAGATCAAATCAGTCAATCCTAAAGGAAATCAACCCAGACTGCTCTTTGGAAGGTCAGGTGTTAAAGCTGAAGCCCAGATACTTTGGCCACCTAATGAGAAGGAAGGACTCCCTGGTGAAGACCCTGACACTGGGAACAATTGAAGGCAAAAGAAGGAGGGGACGGCAGAGGATGAGGTGGCTGGATGGGGTCACTGGGGTGGTGAGTGTGGGCTTGGGTGGACTCCAGGGGATGGTGGAGGACAGGAGAGCCTGGAGGAATGTTGTCCATGGGGTCATGAAGAGTTGGACACGACCTTCTGACTGAACAACAACAACAAGGTCCTCCATGTTTTTTGGCCTACAATTCCCATCAGTCCTAGTTATCATACTCAGTGCTAAGGGATGATGGGAGTCATAGGCCAAAAAATGTAAGGGGCCACAAGTTGCTCACCTCTGGTGTAATGGCCAAGGGAGTGATAGTGTAATCCTATACCCACATACCTGGGAGTAAATCCCATTCAATCCAATGGGCTTTACTTGTGAGCAACCATAAATAGGATTGCTTTGACTGATACCTGGATTGAATTTCACCCTCATTTAGTTGGCTCCCACACCTCCTCCGTCTGCAATATTGTGCTAATTGAGCTGTCCTACTTTCCAGGGTGGATGTTTGGATCATCACATGGAACAAAATACTCCAACCACACCATATATACATGCCAAGTGTTAACACAGCGGGGGAGGAAGCAACTCTGAGCAAATTGTTTGGAACCAAACTACAAACCAGAAATACCACATGTTGGACTGTACCAGATCAGAATGTAAGAGGGAGGCAGCCTCTTTGGTGCCCTTCCTTATTCAAAAGCCCAGTTGCAATCCCAAACAGAACAATTTATCCTCTCTGCATAACAATACTCAGAACAGTTTTGGAGTCCACAGCCCAGACTCAACCCATGAAGCGTCCCCATCCGGCTAGATTCTAACCAGCGTCTCCTGATTCCCTTGACCCACCTGCAAAATGTTTCTCCAAAATGCAACCTTGAAAAACATGGACTTGCCTATAGAGAGTAGATGTATTTTTCATATCAAATCCTGATGCATTTATCCTTTCCAAGAAAGCTTGTGCAAGATCGGGCGTGATGTCATACACAGTATCAAGCTGCTTTGTCGCATTGTCATAACTGATGAAAAGCCTCATCTAATTAGCATAAAGGAAAAGGGAACTTTATCATGGGCTGAATTTACTAAAGTGCATTTAATATCCATAGTGACTTCATTTCCAATGTAATCTTGTAACAAAAAGAATGATCAGCCCACCCTACCTCACAGGGTTGTTGTTGTGGGGATAAGATGGAGGAGGAGAATGATGTAAGCTGCCTTGAGCCCTTTGAGGAAAAAGGCAGGATATAAATCAATCAATCAATCAATCAATAAAAGATATCTACTTTTCCTGAATAATACTGTATTTAATGACCCAGTCCTTCAATAATGTATCAATTCTCAGAACAGTTCCGAAAATAAAACAACATTCACCAGCAACTCCAAACGCCAAGAAGGCTGTGTGTGCAAGCCTTCGTTTATGCATGCATCCTAATTAATCTTTAATATAGTTAATGCAATGCAAAATATGGGAAACTGACATTTTAAAGTCTACCAAAAATACCAGAAAACATTAATTTGGACAATTTTTCTGTTGTTGTTATTATCAATACACTGAACTTCTTCCAAGGAACACAAGGTAGCTTACAAAAGTTCACCTCCTCTCCATTTTATCTGTACAACAACCCTGTGAGGTAGGCTAGGTTTATGAGTGTCTGCTGACAATGCTGACATTCAGCTAGAGAAATACTAGTGATAGATGTATGAATTCCACAAATTACCCCTCAGTCAGTCACCTTTGTTTCTGCCCTTGCAAAGTATGTATCTTAGAACTTGCAAAAAAAATACATTGTTGTTTGGGGTTCTAGCCAGCCATGGCTCTTTCTTTGACATTCCTTCTATTCTCCCTTTCTCCCTGTTTTCTATTTTGCCTTCTGTATAACCAGCTATATTCCATGTCCCCTGAGCAGGGGATGTTTTTGATGTTCCCCTTCTTAGCTTTCTCCACTAATCCTTTGCTTGCAAGAATTCTGACAAACTCTTCAAACGTTGGAGTTCTGTTTGAAAACGGAGTTTGGTATCAGGAATTTGGGCCATCCAGATGCTGTCAGACTCCAGCCGACTGCCAATCATGGGTATTAAAGATATTCAACTACTGCCATGAGAATCCTATCATCCATGCATCATATATTCCATAACCACTATTCAAATGTGTACTTCATAGAAACATAGAAAGAGAGCGAGTCAAAAGGGGCCTCCCGGGCCATCTAGTCTGACCTCCGGCACCAGTCTTCGTTTTTACTTACTTCATATGGGTTAATCTTCTTGATTTCTTCTAAAGGGAGAAGAACCATATATCTTCCAAGGATCCACATGCTTTCTGCACTAACCCATGAAGTATCATTTCCTGAACCTAGAATATCTCAAAATAAAATTCTCAGAATATCATTATTATAAGGGTGCAATCCTGTGCACATTTAGGTAGAAAAAGTCTTACAACTCCCAATTCTTACAACTCCCTAAACAACTTGGGCCCTAGACACCTGAAGGGGCACCTCCTTCCCCATATGCCCTCCTGCCCCTTGAGATCTGAGGCGGAGGTCCTTCTTCGGGAGCCCTCCTTGAAAGAGATTTGGAGGGTGGATACCCTACCCGGAGGAGGGCCCTCTTTGTGGCGGCTCCCCAGAGGGGTTTGCCTGGTGCCAATGTGTTTTTCCTTTCGGCATCAGGGAAAACCTTTTTTATTTTCCCATTCTTTTAATTATTAATCGGTTTTAATGTGGTTTATATTATTGAATTACTGGATGCTGTGCCATTTTATTTGCTGCTTTTTGGAAACCCTCCTGAGGTGCCAGTAGATGGACGGTCTATAAAAGCTTTAAATAAATAAATAACTACGATTGAGTTTTCAGCAAATCCATGAAACCGACAACACAGTGCACAAAGCTCCTCCTGCTCAGAATTCCAGCTAGCTGGCCACAACCTTTTCCAGCCTCCATTCCCTCCAGTTTCCACTCCAGCAGTCAGCTAGCATTCGATTCTCAGTCTCACGAAGTTGCTCTTTGTGTTTCCTCTCCTTATGTTTTCATTAAGTTTTCTAAAAACTTCTGCAAACGGCAAGGTTCCTGCAACCCTGCCAAGACTTCCCTCACGGGCAAGGATGGAGGTTTCTGTGTGGAGCGTAGAAGAGGGCAGTCGGTTTCTACCCCTTCACCCATCTGCATGGGATTCCTCCTCACCTGTGGCTACACTAAAGGATGGAGGCTTTTCTTGCAAGCATTGACCTCCCCTGCGCCTTAGATTTTAAAGAGCGTAAACGGTTAGCCCTGGCGTTCCTGCCAACTGAGACAAAGGCGCAACCTGTGTGGATGGCACAGAATTCCTTGTGTGCTTTGCTCCCTCCAGTGAAAACTCAGGCATCTGTACGGTGGACCAACTGCACTTCCCTAGCTATTTACAAGGCAGCCCCACAGAGGGGACCTTACAGAACTTCAGCTCAGCAATACTGATGCCCGGAGAGGCCAGGCCTGCTGGAGAGCAGCTTTCAAGTCAGCCGGTGCTGATCCATCGCTTTTGCTTTGCAGCCCTCCTGGTTTGTGAGGCAATGATGGTCACACTGCTGTGGTATTTAGAGACAGTCCTCAGGAAACAGGATCCAGACTCCAAACATCCTCGGAGGATCACCTTTCCCCATACCTTATGTCCCACCCCTTCCAATCTTGTGATCATAAACTCTGCATCACAAGCCACAACATGCAAAATAAGTTCTTTCTGTTTTCGGTTCCTAGAAAGGCAAGAGGTGTTCTTTGCTGCTTTAATTACCCTTTTCCTCGAAGATGCTCAAGGCATCTCAGGCCAGGAAGACACATACTCGGGGTAGTATCCCACAGCACCCTGACACAGGGAAATTATCATGTTTAGTTTAGCAGAGCTGCTGATATTATCTACCATCCCTCTCAGAATTCCTTTCTCCCTCTCAGTTTGGCTCACAGTAGCTAGCTGGAAATTTCCCCAGCAATAATATTTTGTATCGTTGTGATGCAAGGCAATTTTGGGAGAGGTATGCAAAAATGGGCAATGAAGAACCATTATTTTTACAAAAGATAAAAATATCTTTATCTGCTCCTGGTGGAAAAGAAGACAGCTTGAACTGGTTGCTGATATGGTCCATCCAGCTACCTGTGGGTTGTTTGTTTTTTTGGCCTCTCCCTGGGGCCGTGGAAATAGCAATATGTCATGAAGAGCGTCTGTGGTGCAGGGGGAGAAAAAAGCCGCTCACTTTTGCACTAGGAGGAGGTATTATCAGGCCTGAAAACCCCCGATGTTTACAGAACATTTTAAAAGCCATTTAAAACCCAAAGTGCATGCCCGAGAGGAAACTCCAAAGGCAATTGGATCCTTTGCTTGCTTAGTAGCCATGGAATATTGGCTCAATATTTCAGGATGGGAAATGGGGGGAGGGGCCTGGAATGCAGCATTCTGCAAAATGGCATAATCCTGTGGATTTTTAGAGAGAGAGAAGCCTACAACTCCCAGAATTCCCCAGCCAGCCATGCAGGGAGTTGTAAGACCTTTTATTTTCTAAGCAAGAATGGGATTATAAGACTTCGTTCAGGCTAAACATGCATGGTTCGCCCTTTGGTAGAAAGTTGCAGGCTAAACATGCATGTTTCGCCTTTGGTAGAAAGTTGCAGTTGTTGATTGCTAATGAAACTCAAATACTTTGGCCACCTAATGAGAAGGAAGGACTCCCTGGAGAAGACCCTGATGCTGGGAACGATTGATGGCAAAAGAAGAAGGGGGCGGCAGAGGATGAGGTGGCTGGATGGGGTCACTGGGGTGGCAAGTGTGGGCTTGGGTGGACTCCGGGGGATGGTGGAGGACAGGAAGGCCTGGAGGAACATTGTCCATGGGGTTGTGATGGGTCAGACATGACTTTGTGACTAACAACAACAAGTATCCAACCTACCACTGGTGTTGTGGAATTTCTGTAGGATTTGCGTCATCCAGAGATACAGAGCCCGTTGTGCATTTGCAGTCATTCGGTCGTACAGATCTTTGAATACTGTTGATCTAAAAGACAAAAGCAGTGCAAAGCAGTGGATGGACGGATGACGGTCGGCCAAAATTCTTTAGCAGGGAAATAACTTACAGGTTTCGAAAAGCATCTTCCTGCAGGTCTCTCGGTAGGAGGGTTACCGCGTGGCTTTGGAGATAGGAGATGGAAGATGTCCGCAGGACTTGACTTAATATGTCGACACATTCCACGGGGTTCAGTGTCAGAAAGCACCTCTCCAGCGTAATTAGGAACAAGGTTCTGTTTCCTCCCGGGCTTTGGAAAATTCTCTCTCTTATTGTAGCCAGATCAATAACTATATTTCCCAACTCCTGTAGACACAGAGCCTAGATGTATCAATGAACGTTATGCATGGCAAGGGGAACCTACAGCAGCTGGCTAGCCATGTTCTGTGAGCGACAGTCCATCTCATTCCCCCAGCCAAATAGATTTGCCTCGAGCTGGTGACATCCAGGGCTTTCGGATCACGTGGGAGGCCATTCCTGTCCTTAGGAATTTGCTTGCACCCTTTTTCTACTCCTACAAAACTGTCACTCCACCGAGACGCATGATACATTGTTCTTATGCACGTATGGTGACCTTCTGGCAATATCAGATTAGCACGCATGCCTGAACTTCAGAAATAAAGGGAATGAGAGATATTCCTGTCATGCCCTGGCCCCGGAATCTTTTTTTTTTTTTTTTTAGTTTCTGCAAGGCTTTTTAAACAGAACATATTTTAATTTATCTCAAGCTCCCAGATTTTACAATGTTGCATTTTTATTGTTTATAGATTGAGGTTATCAAAAGCAATTGCATTTAAATTGTTTCATTTGCAAGGTAAATAAATATTTTAAAAGGTAAGCTACACTCTTGAAATAAATTAGCAGTTAATAAATCTTTTGGCATCTGTGGGAAAAGGCTCTGGACAAGAGAGCAGTTGGTCTTTTAAATTATAAAGAATCAATGCTGACATCATCATTATACAGTTGTTGTTCTGGTGTTGTTGTTGTTAATTATTTTAACTGCATCGATCCTTCACATAACTCAGGGCAGCAAATGTTCTTTCCCACACACCTCACAACAATCCTGTGAGGTAGGTTAGGCTGGGAGATGGTGACTAATTGAGCTTCCTGTTCTAGGGAGAGCAGAGCTGAAGCATTTATCAAACCTGGCTTTGCAGAGGGCAGGGCAAGGTGTTTGAAGATGCTGGACTGAGCTATGTTGGCCGAAACTCACCCGCAAACGCTGCTGCATCAGCAAATTCAGGGATTCTGAATGCAGGTCGGCCTGGAGCTGCTTCTAAGCTTGCCTTCTCCCAGGACCTGTTAGCTCCCCTTCTAAACCAGAGCAGGGATAAAAGCTGGAGAACAGAGCGTCGCCTGGCAAGCTTCAAGATTAAATTGAGCTTTGCAGCTGAGCCTGCTACTTCATGCTGACGACTACATCACACTCGCTTTGCCGGTATGTCATATTGCCTGCCATGTAAAAGGGAATCTAGGCTAGTGTTGCTCCAGTTTGTTAGCGACCAAGTCCAAAACCAGCTTACCAAATAGCTCTGTTTGCTGCCAAAGAGATATTTCATCGCAGCTTGAAAATGTTGTTGATTCATCTGTTGAAACTCTGCCAAAAGTACTTTGGGATGGTATAAGAAGTTCTCCAAATATTTTTTTATGGATACCTGAAAAACAGGACCAAGGGAAGGAGAAGGGGAATGCAACATTATTTTCAGCGTCCATGTCTGATTCTCTGTGGTGTGGCAAAGGACCACACTATGTACAATCCACGCTATCCCCTGGGATGCTATAAAGACTGCTGCTTACACAAGCGTGACTTTTGTCTGCACAACATAAGCACAGGGAGGTTCACAGTGTGGAATTTGAAGTCTCAGCTAGGAAAGTGTCCTCGGGGCCGAAGCACAGCATGGACCAACCCTGGGCATTGCCCCAAGGAGACTCTAAAGAGGCATTTCCTTTCCATTTGTTTCTCTTGGGAATGTGCTGTCAAAATGTGAGCCGTCAAGGGAAAGCAAGAATGTGAGTGATCTCCACCCACAAAAAGGGGGTGCTGCCAGGTATACTCCCTTTATGGTAAGATCACCCTCCACTTTTTTGTGGGGGGGAAGGGGGTTGCCTGGCTGTTCTCAAGATGGCGGCACTTCTCCGCTTTTGACTGTTCAACGTGCATCCATTTTGGGGGGAAAGGAGTTTTGACAGCTAGCTCTCCCCTTTAAGAGGCTGCCTGGGTTCAGACATGATGACCCTTCCCTGGAACAAGCCATGGTTTATTAGGGGGCCTTGTTGCCCTCAGATAAACCAATCTGCAGGAACTGATCCTGGTCCATGTGACATGCCAATCCATTGTGGGTAGCAACGCACAATGGGTTGTCCCACTGTGACAAACCAGCCTTTTCTTAATTATAGCTACATCAAGGAACAACCGAGAGCAGGTTTAAACAATATTTCATCCCTGCGTGCTTATCTTTTCATTCTTCTACTTCTTCTACTATTCCAGTAGGAAAAGATTAGACAATACAGACCTGTAGGTTACTATACGTCATTACGTAATTCTGAGAATGGAAATAAATCACAATTTTGTTGAGGAGATCTGTGGTCCACATGTGCGTACTGTAAAAGAGAGAGAGAGAGAGAGAGGGAGAGACACTCCACTCCAAAGTATATTCCACAAGTTGCACTGAAATTGTAAAGTATCACAACCAGTGCATGCTGATGCAGCAATAAAGTTTGAATTACTGGATAGAAATTTACCTTTAACACGTTCAAGATTTACAAAGCAACTGAAACGTGAGCTGTGCTGAATCGTGCTTGTGACGTCTTGCGGCTTATTCCATATTTAGCCACAGGTACTTTGAAAAGCTTCAGAACTAGTAAGACTACCTTTATCTGGACAGTGTACAAACATACCGGGATGCCTGATGATTGTGCGATCCTTTACTGCACTCAACCTGCACAAAGTTGCTTATTTTACCCTAAATGGCCTGGGTTCTGGATACCGGAAGGAGCTGCCTGAAGGAGCACCTCCTTCCCCATCCGCCCTCCTGCCCCTTGAGACCCGAGGGGGAGGTTCTTCTTCAGGAGCCCTCCTTGAAGGAGATTAGCAGGGTGGCTACCCTACCCGGAGGAGGGCCTCCTCTGTGGTGGCGCCATGATTATGGAATACGCTCCCCAGAGAGGCTTGCCTGGCGCTGACACTCCTTTCTTTTCGGCGCCAGGCAAAACCCTTTTTATTCTCCTGTTATTTTAATGCCTAGGTGGTTTTAATGTGTTTTATGCTGCATGTTGTGCTATTTTAAATTTCTATTTTACTTGTTGTTGGTTGTCAGCCGTCCTGAGACGCTAGTATAGGGACAGTCTATGAAAGCTTCAAATAAAAATAAGTCAATAAAATAAATAAAAATGTCTCACCCATTTAGTGAAGTGCAGACAAACCAAGAAAGTGTGTATAGCAAAGGTCTCTTTCTTGCCACAATGGCGCTTCCTCTAACCATGAGGACTGGCAGCGAGTGTATTTATTTATTCCATTTCCACACTGCCTCCTAGCCAAAGCTCTGGGGGCAGTTATTTGAGACCTCACCTGCAAAGCATTGATTGTGCAGAATGATCGCCCTTTTTATTCTGTGCAGAACCATATGTGTAGAATGGCTCTCACATAAGAGCTGCATTTAAACTTAATACTAAACAACTGTGTACATGCTCCCTAGTTCTTTTTCTACCTCCAGCACAGTGGCAAAGAGACCAGAAGCTTCTGCTTCCAGGTAGGGTGAGTCATGAATTAACACATTTAATCTACAGATTTTAATATAAATGCAGTGTAACATGTTGCTTGAATCCTAAATTGAGGATAATCTCTGGTTATTTGAAACAAGCCAGGATCATAAACTATGATTGGGACAATATCTTGTTAGTTGAAAGAAGCTAGGATCATAAACTATGATTGGAAGTTAACTCATTTTAAGTAAGCAGAGACATAATTAACCACACTTTCTCTGGGTTCAGATGAGATGGCAAGCTGCAATTACTTTATGAACGCTTCCAAACTCCTTTTGAATACTTTTGAGTAGAAGAAGATGTGCATGTGAGCCATGACTCATTTTCGTAATATAGAACCAACCTCAGCCAACCCCCCTTCCCTGTCTAGGGACTCCCGAGCCTTTCCTATTATGAGCCTTTCTATTGTTTTTCCCACAATGGGCGTAAGGCTAACCAGCCTATAAGTTATTTATTTATTTATTTATTAAATTTATTAAAACATTTCTATGCCGCCCCTTGCCGAGGCCTCGGGGCAGCTTACAACATCAAATAAAATACAAAATACATTAAAACAATAACAATTAAAATATATACAGTAAAATAAAATAAGCCGCCCTGGCCAAATAAATTCAATAATATTAACATTTAAAATGCTGCTTAAATAAATAAAATAAATAAAAAGGTCTTTGCCTGGCGCCGAAAAACAAATTCCCCAGGTGCCTAGTATGGGCACTTTATGTTGAACTGATTAATCAAAAAAACTCCTGCTAATTGTATTTGGGCATGTGCCTTGTTTTACTGGAGGAGCACACTATAATTAAAGATGCTATAAAGATTTGCAAAATGTAAGCTAACTAGAATTAATCAACAACTCCATGTTTGCTTTGAGATGCAGGCATATACATCTCAAGGAGTGAGCTGGGGGCAGCTAACTTTCACCAGCATTTGTCCGAGAACTTAACTCAGAATTGTTTCTCCAACTCATCTCCTTATACCTGATGGGCTGAAACTGACGAAACCAGAAGTAGGTGATGGTTATTTTGTACAATTTGTCCTATGAACCTTTTGGGCAAAAACTGTATTGGAAGAGTAAATTGGTATTTATCAAGAAACATTTTAAATAAAATCTCTACTCTAGTCGTATCATCCTCTAAATCTAACACAATCTAAAGAACACTAAATTTTCTTTACCTTTGGAACTGAAGCATATCAAGGAGAGCTAAGAGAAAAAGCATACAGAAAAGTTAATCTGCTTTCTTATATAAGGAGTATTTTATAAAATAATAAATAATAATACAAAAATAGTATGCAGTTACCATGTAGATACTTTCCAGCTATAACTTCTTCCTAAAAACAAATGAACAAACAAAGCAAAAAGAAAGACATTCATACACAACCATAAATATGTAAATATGAAAGAATACGGCTAACATGATTGATGACTATAAAAATACTGACCACAGTTTTTTGTAGGTGTGGAGGCAGATCTAAGGGAGGAAAAATCTCATTACACAAAACATAAATAGAAACAGCTTCATAAATACAGAAAATATGGCATCATAAATCATTTAAATTAATGCTTTTCAGACTGCAGGTATCTTCATATGTCAGGGAATCACAATTTGAGCAACAAGGCAAAGTATAGTTACTTAAAAGTGGAATAAAAGCAATATGGGGAGGGGAGAGGAGAGGAAGGCACAAGTCTAGGGTTTATTGTGGCTTGTATACTTTGTGCTAAATCATGGTTTAGTGTGACATGCAAAGAAATCCATAGAATCTGATATTTAGGATCTGATAGACTCATACTGTAAGAAAATTGTGATCCTAGATGCCTACTCAGAAGCAAATTGCACTAAATTCTGTGAGACTTACTTCCGGGTAAGTGGGTACAGGATTGAAGATTAAACATTATCAAATTCTACTTTAATGTCTATACTTACTTAATACACAAATTATTTTTGTAACACATGAAGGATTTCATCTTACCTTGACTTATGTTCTGACGATTATCCGCCTTTGCATGATTCGTTAGCATCAACAGGAAAAGTATCTTCAAGTATGGGGCCATTTCTCCTGTTGTTTTCTAGACAGATAAAAGAAAAAAAGCAAGAGAGAATTTTCACTGAAATGGTATTTATAGTTTTCTTGATCTGGTGTCATTGCACAGATTCTGTCATGTCTGTTTAGTGGGTTTTTTAAAACTTTTAAAACTTGTAAAGTCTCCAGACTTTTTGCTGCCCAATATGAAAACACATTAATAACAACATTTGGATCCATCTATATTTTTCTTTCAGTTGCCTCGTTATGTTAAATTGCCTGTTTCAAAGCCATCTTGTAGTCAACAGAGGCTAAAAACTGATGCTCATTTTTTGACATTCTTTTCCAGAACTATTTCACGGATACTTCCAGAGGAGCCTTTTCCTACCATCACCTTGACACTTTCAATTAAAAGTGTAAACAGTTCAACACCTTCTCCCCCAGCCTTGTACGCTGGTCTCTATTTGGTTCAAAATTCGTAATGTGGAGCATAAAAAACCACGAACAATAGTTTGATTGAAGATGATAGACATGTGAGCTTGGGAACTAGCTTGGCTTATTAGCCCTCAACATACTGAAAGCGACTTGCGCTCTTCTTTCAACTGTTCTTTGGGGAATTCTCCAGTACATTTGTGTCATTTCTAAGTATCCAGTTTCCCAAACAATGAACTTGATTGTATTTCTTTCTGCCTTTGCCCTATTAATTTCACAGTAAGGTTTGTGATTACACTGCACAGCTTACCAAATCTGTTCCTTTATTGACTCTTGTCCTTATGGATATGTATGCAAACGTATGCAAATTTACATGGAAGCAAGCCCTGCTGTGTCCAATAGGACATACTTCCAAGGTACTGGAGTTTTTAGAATAATTAGCTGGTGTACTTGGGGATGTTCATTCTTCACCTCCAGCTGCAGTCTAACCTGGCTCATTCTGCCCCCGTTCCTATTGCATTGGGAAGAAAGCTCTTATTGGGAAACCGTGGGAGATAAAAGGTTAAATGCCAATTACAACTGCATGCAACCAAATTGCAGAACCTTTCTGGGGATATGGTTTGGAACCATGGACAGTTCCTTCAAAGTTCAGACGAAAACTCAGAGTAGACACACCACCCCACTAACGCTGGAGTTACCAGTCTCCATGGGGCACACAGTTTATTATAACATGCAAATCCAGTGAGGGTGGGTTGTTCCCATACTTAACAAACCACCCACAACCCATGGACTGCTTGGGGTGTTTTGAACATTGCATCAAGCTGAAGGAATTCTGGGGTATGTACAACTCACTGCATCCTACTGTGGGTAACAAGCCGTAGCGGATTCAGCCAGTCGTGCTAACTAGACTCACGTGTCAAGGCTGAGCAAGGGAAAAGCAGAACCACCAGACCAGGAAGCCCTACCTTCTGACCAGTGGAATGCATGACCAGATCATTTATTTAAAGGTCACATAGCCCATTCCTATCAATATTCATGGGGTCTTACAAAAACTTTAAATGACTCGCACAAAATGGATTCTAACAGCCTTCCCAACCCAGGGACCTCCAGAAGTGTTGGACTGGGGGAAGACTGCCTTAAAATGTTGAAGAAAGCAGTCTCAGAAATCAAAAAGAAGAATCGGTTGACCACAAATATATCCAAAAGCCTGTCCATAATGATAGTCCACCCAATGTTCTTCTTGGTACATGCCCTTGTTTTTTGTGGTGTTAGTTTAGTTCAGTTTATTAAATGAATACTTTGCACAACCCACAAGTAGTCCCAACAAAATTTACACAAAAAGGATACCATGCAAAGAATACAAGATGCAAGCACAGATGCATTAGTAAATTAATTAGATTCACTAAAAAGTCTGTCCCAAAGATTGCCTAAATCTATATTCCTTCCAACAAGAGAATGAATCGCAAAAATAACCAAGGCTGCATTCTGCATTATGGCCTGGAATTGAAAGGGTGACAGAGTTGGCATCTGGAAAGCTTTTTGGGGGAAAGTTTTCCAGATGCTGTCTTGTGATGTTGGCTGATGGACATGCCTTGGAGAGGGACGGGGGGACTCATCCTAGGAAAAGCTCCTGGTCAAAACCTCAAAAAGGGAAGAGCACTTCAAGAGACAATCTTGACAAACAGGCTTGGGAAATCCAACTCAAGCACACCTCCAGCTCCGAAGCTTTCAGCAGACGACAAATTTTACTCTATTTCTAGGCTGGAAACTATTCTTGATTTATTTTGTTCACAACTAAATTGGACATCCGACAACACATCTGGAGTTTGCTCCGCAACACAGAACACTCAGTCCTCTTTAGATGCTCTTTGCTTGCGGAGGGGAATCTTGGAAAAAGTAAACAAGGAGGAAAATGCAGCAGGCACAATCTACCTACTATTTAGGCTTATAAAGTTTCCTTGATCCTGATAGCTGCTCCAGAACAGGGAAGGTAAACTATCGCAAGCTTTTATTTTCCTTCTGAGCTTCTGGCAAGGGTAATGAATCCCCAGCCTTATCACAGGGTTGTTTAAAAGAAACAGTGCCCTTAGGGAAACTTTCTCATTAATCTCTGGTTAGTGTTACCTGCATAGCTATGCTCAACAATACCCAGAAGGCTTGGCGAACCAACGATAAATGATGGTTACCAAGAGGCATATCCAGCCTGGTGCCTTCCAGAGACACATCACCACAACCTCCACCCTCCATTGGCCATGCTGGCTCAGGCTGATAGGTGCTGGAGTCCAATGCATCTGAACAGCACCAGATGGGAGGAGAAGGCTGCTCACTGAGGATGCCAGATGCTTTAAGTGAGGCGAGCTCTTGAAATTTCCCTGAGTAGGGGAAAAGGACCCACATCAGCCTAGAACCTCACTTCTTCCTCAGAGGTAGAAGGGAAGACATCAGGTTAAATAACAATTAGCTATTGTAAATTGCTGTTGTAAACAATTAGCTATTGTAAATTGCTGTTTTGTAGACATGGCCGGCCCACCCAGCAAGAACCAGGAACTAGGGTTGGGAAAGAAATTGATTAAACGTTCATTTTAATGCAAAATTGCCTACTTTTGCATTTTTAACAGGAGCACAAGAATCCTTTAGAATCGGCCCTTCTTCAAATGTTGTAATGGAATTCTCCAATAAAAAATGCTTATAGAAATGGGAAGGGAAATAATGTTCAAAAGTGCATCATATTAGGGAAAGTCTTTGCAAAATATGTATCTTAGGCAAGAATGCATATAAAAATGCATTTTTTTTTTTATAAATGTTAAGACTTGGTTTTATGTATTGCTTTTTTCTTGAGACCATGGACAGCCAGCTGCTTAAGCCCTAACATTGACAATTGGCTGTTTGCTTTTACATATGGCATCAAAAGTAACCCTATAAATAGCTCTTCAAAAGTGACTAGTCCTCAAGCACTTTGGCTGCCTGCCTATATTAGTAATCTGTCACCAAAGGAAAAGGTGACAGAAGGTGAGTCTTGCCATCAGCAATTAAGCAGTTAAGTGATTGGTTATTGATAAGCCGATCTCAAACTCTCAGGGGAAATTGGGCAAATGAGGGCTATTGTTGGTGCCTAGTCTGTCCCTTGTCTGTCCCTTGAGGCTACCCTGGTCATTTTGCACAATCCAAGGAGAACATTTCGAGTTCCCTGTGTTAAATGGACAGTACAATCCTCTGTATGTTACTGAGAAGAAAGTTCTATTGTGTCACGTAGGACTCCCTTTCAGGTACGTGTGTATAGACTTGCAGCCACAGAGCATCCATGTCAGGATGGGACTCAGACCCAGCAGACCCACTGACAAAACCTGGAACTTAACTGCAGCCCCCTTTTCTGACTAGTCCAGCCAAATGTTTGAGTTTGTGCATAAGACAAATTGACTCCGTTTAAATTACAGCATTTCTCGGTGTTAGAAGCATTTTATCTGCAAGTTTCTGTACAATATGCATCCTTTAATGTGCAGTAATTGAACAGAAACTCTGGAAAAGGTGTAGTGACTTTTAACTTTGTTTCATTTTGTGGGCAAGTTCAAATGGGAGTTGGTATAGACATGCAGACAAAATACAGTTCTCCCCTCATCTCTAATCAACCATCAGGATGCTTCTTTCCTATCTCCAATAAATCACTTAGCAATCTTTGCTGGATTTTGAACACTTTTGTGGGTTACAAATATTCCCAGAAAAAACCTCTTGCATTCCAGATACTTGTAATCCATCTCTCGCATTCTTTTCCCCTGCATTATTCCTGACAAAGAAAACAAATTAATTGTTTTAATTTATGTCACAAGAGGGAAGTGATTATAGATTATTTATATGGGAAAGCCCCTTATTGTTGATTAACAAATGTCACGATAACATGTAAAAAGGGCAGGGGGTGGGATTCTTTGATTCCATTATTTAGTGCGAGTTAAACTTCAAGAAAGAACATGACACTTTTTCTACAGGAGCTTCAATGTTTATAAATAAGAACTGAATTTTAAAAAACCAAACAATGAACCATGTAGCCAAATGTTTCACAGCAGCAAGTATACAAAGAAAGAGCATTTCCCCAAACAACCGATTCCAAAAAGAGACTGATAGATAATACGTGAAAAATAGCAATTACCCCATCAAAGGTTAGGAAATGTGTAGGGAGGTGCTCAATGAGAAGGGAATCTTAATTTAATTTCTGACTTACCCTATGCAAGAAATCTGCAAAGTTGGTTAAAATCCAAGGTTTCCAGCAGGTATTTTCTGCAGGCAGAGGTTTAATGTCTGAGATGAAGGAATTGTTACCAAAGACAATCCATTGGAAGAGGAAGACAGAACTGGAGAGTCTAGGAAAGTAAAAGGAACAGGAATGCCTTGCACAATGACCAAAATTAATGTAGAGAAAAGCAGTGGAGAGAGTATGAAATGTGAAAAGAAAGGAACAGAGCAGAACATGAGTGTGAAAAGAAAGACGAGAGTTGAGGATATATGCAGTGAATTTCTCTCTCTCTCGGTCGCACCATGTGTACGCAGACAGACTTACTTTGTTTTCTGCTCCGTCGCGCTCTGCAGCCCAGTGATCAAATGGCTCCCAAAAAAGGCAATAAATCAATTGAACTTGAGAAGTGGAATAGGTCTGCCCTAGAACTTGGGGTAGAAATTCTCTCAAGCAGGACTGCCTCAAGAGATCGGAGATATTTCAGGCCAAGGCTGATCCAGAAGCCTAGCCACAATACCAGATTGTTTGGAAACCTTTTAAGAATGTTCAAAACTGTTTGCTTAACTGAAACGGCTATAAAATAGTGAACAGGTATTCCACATGTTCAGAGCCATGATATATAAGTAAAAACCAGACC